AAAAAGAAATATTCGAAGCGGCTGATGCTTATTCTTTATACTTAGAGAATACTATGCGCTCTCTTAGCGTAAGCAGGCGCTCAACTTAGCACAGAAGTTATGCGAAGTGTCGAGAAGAAGGTCCGAACGAAGTGAGGCCTCTAGGTCTCTCTAGGTAATACAGCTCGAAACCAGGTAAGGAGGGAGGTTTGTGGTCCACTGAGGGGTCCGGAGGATCTCCTATTCGATCAGGATCCTCCAAGGAGCCCGGTATATCTTTACTGGCTCGGGGACCTCAAGAGATTGAACTATCGACCTAATAGCTTGGAAAGCTATTGATCGGGAGATCGAGCTGAATGTGCTGACGTAGATGGCTTACGCGGCCTTCAGTGAGGGGCAAGGAGTGCCCTCTTCCTGATAGAATGTACATTATACCTGAACACGGGATATGAACACAGGGAAGGCACAGAGGGATATAAAAGGGGAGGGCTAGACGGATACAGGGCAACCAGAGGAGAGCAATCAACACATGCATTTCACATACCATCTGATCGTATGATACTTGACCTTCGAAAAGTCCCTTTATCCACTTTTATGCCCACTTTTGCTCTCTCCTTCGCGAGACGAAGGGCCTAAACATCTAGCTCCGACAATTTCAGCGATAGCGTCTATAGCAGGGAGAATACTTAAAAGAAAGGCTAGTAATGAGGCTAGAGGGTATTAAGAATAGTCTATCTATATTAAACACGCTTATTAGCGAATAAAGAGAAGATTGGCACTATTTGGAATGCCGATGCGAGGAGGCTGATAGGTAATAAGGATGTCGCGAAGCCTGCGCCTGCCTGTACCATACGCGTCAATTGACGTGTACTCCTGTAACAGCAGGCGACTCTCTTTTTCGTGACAGTTATGAGCCCGGGAGGGGCGGCTAACCGCCCCTGGAACTTCCGGTAGCTGCGCACGATGACTACCTAGGCTAGCGCGCATAACCCAAGGTTGATCGGTCGGAGTTCGAGTCCCGACGGGGAATAAGCCTGTGTAAAACCTAAAAAAGACGCGAGTATCTACCCGTTGGTCAAAGGCAGGCGCGGCTGACCAACTTAACTGCCGTTAAGTTGGCCCAAAAAATCCGGGACAGCACAAAAACCCCCGGGACAATCTTAGAATAGTGGAAATTACTAATACAACTGTTAAGAATTAAGTACCTCAGATTTTAGCGTATTTTCGAAGAAGTACTAACTTCTTAACACTTTTTCTAGTAAATTACTAGGCCCCAGGATTGTCCCCGGGGTTTTTGTGCTGTCCCGTATTTTTTTGGGCCAACTAAGTGGCGAAGACACTTAGTTGGGCTGCTGTGGCCCCACACCTAGACCAACGGGTAGTCAATTGGCAGATGCGTATTCTCATAGCGTTGGGGTCCAGGAATCCCGGGGATTACCCGCGATCCCTGAAGTGACATATATTAAGGAATGTAAGTATCAGCCAAAAAGGAATGTGACGTTAGATAAAAAGGAATGTGATATTAGCTGAAAAGGAATGTTATTATATCAGCTGAAATCTGTTACGGCCAGGCACATACGAGCCTTGACGGCTATAAAGATGTATTGGCACTATGAACGAAGACTCAAAACTAAGGAGCAAGCAAGAAAGACTAGACTACACGACCGAGCTGGCCCTTATGTGCATATGCACGAGGTTACCTCAGCAAGCTCAGGCCATTAGTAAGGTCATGTGATGTCCTCGAACAAATGGCCTGAGGTCCGTGTCAATGATTTTGGGCGTGAGTCAAGATGAACACAACGCGTGTCCTACAACACGATAGAAAGATAAAACCTGGCCGAGGAAAGCATTACGCCACGCTCAATAGAATCATACACAATTTGAACGGAATTTCTCTACGGTTCGTAGGCTATAGGGTGGAAGAGTGGCTGGGATGATGATTTCGCCAAAGTCTTAGCTCTCCACATACCAGAGTTTTCCACAAGATACACGCATCTGAGTGTTAAAAAAATATATTATCGGATAGGGAGTGCCTTAATGAACAGCCCAGTGAAATTAGGAGCATATGTAAAACACGTTGATGTGACCATTGATGGATATATGAAAAAGGGATACTCCAGAGTCGCGAAAATTGTCGAATAGTCAGTGCGAGTGTTGGACAGAATCCTCAGGCCATTTGGTCGAGGAGCGCATGTGACTTACCGATTAGGTATAGTCCGCTCCGGTGGCGTAGTCATGACCAATGGCCTGAGCACTGCTGAGGTAAGCACGAGGTCGCACGTGGGCACGTGATGCTGCTTGGGCACGTGACACGTGTGAGGTTCTGCGCTGGTGTCTCTACGCTGGCGCGCAGGGTCGTGACACTACCCCCCGTCTAAGGCCTTGATATGCGTATCAAGGTAGTCAGTCGTGGCGGCGGGTTCTTGGTTTCACGGCTTTCTCTGCTGTGTCGTCATCGTCTCGTTCCTCGTAGCCCTCCTCCGCTGCAGCACATTCGATCCAGTATTGTAGGTTGACGGGTGGGCCTGCTGCGTCCGGTCTGAACTTGACGTTGAAGCCTTTCCTCAGTTCACCTTGCCCCCCGCCGACAAACACGAAACAGACGCGACAGGGTAAAAGCAGAGGGATGTCGATGACCTTCTAGGTCAGGCTGGTTGTGATAGCTTCTAGCAGCGTTGACTTGATCACTCAACGCTGGGGGGTGTGTCGCATATCAAGCCTGCCTAGGATGATTATTCATGAAGTGGCGAAGTTACTCGCAACGCCGCTGTTGCCTGCTAGGCAACCGCTACTGCGTAATCACGCAACGGACCTTTCATTTGTGTATAAAGAGCTGCACAACTCCGTGCGTTCGTTCATTCACTTCTTGTTCTTTAGATAATTCTCATCAATTGCCTGATGCCATCTCTGACCCGTGTGGAGCCAAATGTCTGACAAAACTTCTAGGAGGCATCATCGACGCATCAGTGGCTTCCAGATGATCTGATCAGATGCTTCCATTCACTACCATTCCCTTCCATTCTCATATTCAGGCAGTCTATAAAGATCTCGCCTCTTTCCCACCTTAGATAGCAGAATCAAGAGTCTTCCAGTCCCTGATCTTTATGCCCACTTGCTCATCCTCCGTGCGATAGAGGTTATTGAGTTTATCGAGCTCAAAAGATCTCACACTGGCAAACACGAGATAGTTGAGAAGACACTTGAGGAGCTCAGGCTCAAGCCAAAGCTTCTCGCCATTACGGGAGACAACGCCGCCAACAACGGCACGCTCTATTATTTGAAGACCAGACCACATTTCTCACGAAGAGAGCATGCAAGTGGGCATTGATTGTGTAACGATGGGTATGATGTGTTGTATTCCGTTGTGTCTGTCCCTCTTGCAATGCCCTCTTCTAGGCTCCCTATTTATATCCCTTGGTTCCCTATTTGTTGCACTGTTACACTGGCACATCAATATCTACAAGCCTCATCAACCTTTCTTTTGCAAGGCTTATTCACCATTCCCTCAGCCGAGGCATATTCGGCCGTATACTCAGCCAAGACTCATTTTGTCTTCCAGTCAACCTAGGCTAATGCAGGCAATTAACCTTCCTTTTGCCTACGCTTTTCACAGCCACAACCCAACAGCTGGGTTATTCATTCACTTCCACTGTTCTTCTAGCTATATAAGATCATTTACACTCCCTCTCTAGATAGAAGAATCAAGAGCTTTATTCCACTCAAGATTAATGCTTGCTGCCCATCTCGTACTGCAATACTATTGATATCCCCTTTTCAGTTGTATAGGTACAATATCTAGGGGGCTGGGCTCCTCTCCCCAGCCCCCCCTTTGCATACTGACTTTCCCTAGTCGCCGAGGGCTCTTTCAGCTTCCCCCGTATATGCAGTCTCTCTACAGCCTATGTGGCTGCCTAATGCGGTCTCCTAATAGTCTTCTGCAGCCGCAGAACTCTCTGCAGGCTGCCTTTCTGTCTAGCCCGTCGGGGCCCTTAGCTGTATACCCCTTATGGGACCCCGAGCTCAAGATCTCAGACGTGCTTCGCGACAACATTCCAATTTCTGGGCAAGCTGGTAGATGGTGTGAATATACCCTCATTGTTTGTGTATATGCTAATATGCGTTCAGGCGAGAATCCTCCTCCTCAACCCCCTGCTCCGGCGGAAGTTCCCACCGAGGCTACTACCGAGGCTCCCACCGAACCTCCTACCCCCCAAACCTCCTGCCTCCCAAGCCGATAAGTCTGCGATATCAACCCCCTGTCCAGATACAATGGAGGCTTCGGAGGATTGAGGCTCTACAAGTGTGTAACTGTGTACAATCGCGGATTCGAACGCGTTGGACCGACATATTTTGAGGATTCGGCAGAGCTTTTGAAAGTGCTTATTTTCGGTCCATTTGCCTAGGACGGGCGGATCAGTATTTATGTAAGTTAATTTTTGTAGTATTCGAGATTATCGAGAGACTTCTCAGAAGGCTATACCCGTTGGCGGGGCCTCTGGCAGCCAACTAAGGGGAAGGGGCCCCTTAGTTGGGCCCAAAATTCCCGGACAGCCCCAAAACTCCCGGACGCGCGCCTGGTGGGCAAATCCGGGCAAATCCGGGCAAATCCGGGCAAATCCGGGCAAACAGCCGCCACAGCATCCTATGAGTGTCTAGATAAATTTTCTGGACATGCAAATTGTAGAGCCAGTTGCCCTTATTATTTGAGGCTATTGACGATGCAGAAAACACGCGTTTTGCGGCGTTGCGCGGCGTTGAGGCGCGCATGTCACGCGCTTAAAGCTGTGGGTTGTACGATCTGAAACCGAAGTGGGGATCACGACGCGCGGCCAGAGGTATAAAATACTGCGCTACGCCTTGCACTTTAGTCTTTAGGGTTGTGGTGCAAGGCGTACAATCAGCCGAAGGCTGCGAGTCTGGCTACCAGTCGAGCAGTCACCGAACAATCAATACAGTATCTACAATCATACAATCTGTGCCTTGGAAAGTGTCGTTCTTGTCGCGAGTAGCATCAAGTGGAGTTACGTATGCCCGTGGCCTGTCTTGTACGGATTCTGGGTGAGAACCTGTCGTTTGCGAAGTTGCTGATCCCTCATTTTCATCTTAATTCCTTCCGGTGGCGACGCATAAGTCAGGTGGTTGCGGTCAAACGGGGCATCCAGCATCAGACCCTGCAGCGTTTTCACACGCGAGACGGCCACGTAGCTCAATCCGGTCTGAAAGTCACGGCAGGACAGATCCGTCACGATCGTGTCTTCGGTGATGCTCTGCGACTTGTGAACTGTAATGGCGTAACACACGATCAGGAAACTGCGTACGAGTGCAGAGTGTGGCTCCGACGAGGAAGTCCCTGTCTACTGGCAGAATGGGGACAATCTTCCTGCCATCTGCGGTGGTCAGGAATACCGGCCCCGTGTACTTGTCAAACTCCATCATGATCACGCAGGGAGGGTCTTGCATGGGGTCAGCTCCAGGCGCCCAGGCGATATCGTATACCGTACCGCGTGCGCCGTTGCAGAGGCCAACTGGCTGCCAAAGGTTGGACGTCAGCATCAGACGGGCGCCAATGCATACGGAATCTGCTTCGCAAGGTTGCCCGCCTTGTCGTCCGGAGCAGCTGTCGCGCCGGGGCCAACGTTTGTAGCGATGACCTGGATGACTGGTCGGTTGAGGCGGTCAAGGTGGTAATGGTTATATTCGTTCACCCGGTCTTTCGTGGCGTATACCCGTAAGGCGTCGGCGAACCTGGCGACCTCTTGATCGTCTAGCTTTGCCTGCACGCGGCCAGAGAGAAGTTTCCAGGACTCGTAGGATAGTTGGAGCAGCCGCAGTTCCCCGAGAGAGCCTTGCGAAAGGCCGCCTGGTCATCGCCGCACTGCCGCTGAACAACGCTCAGGAAGACAGTCTTATCGAAGCGCATATACGCGTTCCTTCCCTTGATCTCTACTCCCTGCACCTCTTTGTCGTAGTATAGCGGTTTCTGTAGAACAGGAGGAAGCTGGAAGAAGTCGCCCACCAAAAGGACATTGAGTCCGCCAAAGAACTCCTCGTTCCTATGCGGAAATGCCTCGCGGAGACGGTCGTCAATCCAGGATAGCATACGCAGTCCCAGCATGCTTTTCTCGTCGATGATTAGGTACTGAATATCCTTCAGTTTCTTCTGGAGCTGGGCTTTGTCGATGGCGGAGAGCGGCCTGAAGTCCTTGTTGATCGGGAGGTGAAGCAGCGAGTGCAAAGTAGTGCCTGATATCTGATTCCCTGCGACGCCTGTCGGTGCGGCACGCCAGACAGGTGTCCCTCTCCCACGTGTCGCAGCCTGGAGGTGCGCCGAGAGCAGGTTGATGAGATATGACTTGCCTGTGCCACCGCCACCATCCACATGGAGTAGCAACTGGGAACGGTCCTGGGCGAGAAAGTGACCCATCACCGTGTCATACACTATGCGCTGCTCTGGATTCAGGGCATCGCGTGCTTCCAAGGGCTGATGCTCCACATCAAGGTGAAAGGAGCTTTCCGCCTTGCGTTGCTCCCAGTAGTTGCCGCTGAGAATGTCGTCGTTGGTGTATCGTCCGACGTGAGGAGTCCAGTCATAATTCACGTCGATATTTCGCCGGCCAAGTACGTCGATGTCTTCTTCCTCCAGCGGCCGGTCTGGCAGCATGTGGGCGAGCTCATGCCAGTCCTCCTCTGCGATGGGCTCGTCATGCACCTCCTGCACAAACTCATCGTCCTCCGCCTGGAGCTCGTTTGTCCCCACCTCCCCCGTAATGGTCGTCCTCATGGAAATGGTGTCGCCGCCGACAGCACTGGTACGCCGCAACAAAGGACTCACACAGCTGCCCGTCCACAGCAAGCAACTCCTCCGGAGCGCGGTGCGGATGGGCCATCATCAACTTGACACGGCAGAAGTCATGAAACTGGGTTGAGGTTTCCACTGGCCTGTACCGAGGAAAGTAGGACAGAACCCTCTTCTTCGCGTTCGCACCGAGTCTCCTCCATGTCTTGAGATTGTACAGCTGCAGGTACTCGAGATAAGTAATACTCTCATGCTGGTCATTTCTCTGCAGATATTTCCGGTAGCTGCCGACAGCCTCTCTGACATCATCATCGACGCGGTAGGACCGTGCATGCTGCTCTGACGGGCGGCAGTCGACGTACACAACCATCCGAGTCCCTTCCTGCAGAGGGATGTTGAGCAGCAAGTGGGAAATTTCCTGCGCTGAATAATCTCTCTCGGCAATCAACTTATTCATAAGGCGAGAGGAGAAAGACAACAGGGGTTGGTGGTGTGCTGTATGCGGCAAAACCTGATCCGCCAGCCTGCAGTAAGGCTCTGTCTTCTTCTCCGATTTGCTGCAATACTTGGCAGCGTACGTAATGACTGCTTGCAAGCTGGTGCATGGAGATATGTCAATGTTGGCCAGCCATCCCAGAATGATGGCAGGGTTGAAATGATTCATAAGGCTGTCGTTGCGGGCCGCCTCGAAGATGTAGTACGACTTGCCTTCCTTCCTGATGACCGCGGCCAGCTCTCGCAAGGCACGGGGAAGTCAAACGACACTCCCTTTCCGGATTGGCTGCGTTGGCCGCCTCAATATCGGCAGCAGATCCTTCCATGTCCCTCGCCAGGTCGCCGCTTCCTTTTCTGACACGCAAGCAGTACGTGGTATTGCATCTGTGGCGCTGGCAACGGTTGACAATTTGCGAGAGCCGCAGGAATGTCATCTCCACGCCCAGCGGATCTACGCTCAGCGGGTTACCCTCCCCCCGAGGCACAGTCCTACGGGGCTCCGGGTTCACGGCCGTGATGTGGAAGCCCCACGTGCGTGCAAACAGGTCTCGAGCGGCTTCGTCCTCCATGTCGGCGGCGGGGCCCTCCTTCATCCAGTACAGACCGTGGTTGTGCGGACTACCACGCCCTTGCCATTCGTACCGATCCCAGTAATCCGTGACGTTGAACTTCTTCCGCAACACGATATCTCGAAAGAAGCAGTATCGGCGGTAGAAGTGGAAAGCAGCAATGTGAGGGTTCTGTCGCAATAAGTACCGCGACAATGCCATCCTCTCCGGCTCGGAAACGCGCAGCCATTCTCCATATCGGGGCATGTGCTGGTAGAGGCTCCGCCAGTGCAAATCGGCTGGGCTGAATGTGATAAATGCGCCAGGACAGCCCAGGCTGTATGCATACGCCTCGAGGTCCTGCCTCTTTCTGTTCCAAAAGGGGCGCGTACCGCGAATCGACACCGCATGCCTTGTGATCGAGTTGATCAGCGCCTGCGCCTCGGGATCTTCGCTGTGTTCAAGTGCCTGAATAAGCTGCTCTCGCGTGAGTTGTTCGCGGGTGCCGTCATGTTGCTTCACGAAGAATCTCGACCGCGCGCGTGCTTGGGACCGCATCAGAGTGTTGAACGCGACAAAACGGAAGGTCGGGTGCCGTGCAAAACGGCCGTCGTGCCACCGCATCGCGTGCTCGATGTAATCCTTGTACTCAATTGACCGCAAGCGAGGTTCCACAAAGTCGGCTCTGCCGTCTGGAAAGAGGCAGGGGAATGCCAAGGAGAGCAGGGCATGAGAGCGATTGAACTCATTGATCGGCGTGTGCCGTATATTCGGCAGCCGCAGCCCGTGCTGCCCCGCCCTGGGAGCCTGTGGCGAGAGGAAGCCTTGCGTTCGCTTCTGGTTCGCCCGCGAGAACAGACCGCAGAGCATCGAGCTCCGTGTCCTTGGCCAACAGGTCAGGCACCGCAGCCGCGTCCTCTAGCTCAGGCTCTGCCTCCTGATCTTCCTCCGGTCCCACATCGGCAGCCTCCACCTGACTTTGGGGGATGGCATCCACCGCATTGCCGTCCTCGGGCAGTTGGCTCAGTCGCTCTTCGTCGATGACGATGCATCGATAGCCAGGATGATGATGGCGGAGGTAGTCAAGCCATATCATAACCGCCTGGCGGCGCACACGGAACTGGCGGGTGAATTGCCGACTGAGATTGGCGTGTGACGACGTGTTGGCAGGACGCAGCAACACCGTGTTCAACTCCCGCGGCAGAAGCGGGAGCTGGTTGTACACCAAGCCAACCTCGCGGAGAAAGTGAACGACGTGCCCCCGATACTTGTACTGCTGTCCCCGCACCAGCATGATATTGACGTGGACGTGCACGCGAGCGATCAACGACTCTTCAGTAGGCGTAAGCTCAGGCAATCGGGCCGGCACAGGGCCAAAGTCGAGTTGATTTTCGGCAGAGAAGAAATAAGGTTCGTCGGGGCCACGCTTCTCATCCTTTCGATAGCAACGCGAGCAAATGCCGTCATAATCTATTTCCATCTGAAACCAACACTCGCGGCATCGGCTGCAGTATTCCATCTGGTCATTGTCAAGCTTAGTCCAGAACTCGCGCAGGGTGGCCTTATCGCGGTCGGTCAAGGCACAAGCGTCGAGGTCGCCATTCCACACCGGATCTTGCGCATGGAAGACCGCCAATTCTTCCGGTGGAATTATCACTGGACTCCGAAGACGTCGTGGCGGTCTCGACGATCGTGTTTCTCTCCGAGACCTTCTTGGCCGCCCTCCTGTACCTGGGGCGGGACCTCGGCGACCACGCCTTGGCCGTGCGGACGGCTGCGGCGGCCGACGGCGAAGTGGGCTTCTATCCACAGAATCATTGTTCCTGTCACCGTCCTCGTCTTCCTCACCAGGTTCAGAGTCCGGCTCGATCCCCAATCGCTCGAGATACCTGCGTGGTCGAGCGGGTGAAAGCAGGACGTTGACATAATCCTCAGCGTCAATATCAGACTCTGAGAACTGGCCTGTCGTCTCCTTCCTTAGGTATCATACCCCACCTTGAAACCCACCCGTCCGTAGTCGATCTGGGCTCGCATCTATGTTCCATGGTCAGCCCGTAGAAGCTATTGCGAACCACAGCACGAGGATAAATACATTCTCCAGCCAACTCCGAGCCTTGTAAGACGCCCAGCTGAGATATCGTTGGCGTCAGTGACACAACCTCCTGCGCGACGTCGTGACCGGTGGTCGCGCTGGATCGCGGCTACCTTGGTCCTTGCCCTGGCTTTCGAGGATCATCTTGAGAGTTCTTCCCCTTATGGAATCTAGCAGCCACATAAGAGTAATCTATACCACTTGTGCTGCTTCTCGCAGACAAGCCTGAGTGTGGCGCGGCCTGCTCAGTCGTCGACTGCATCAAGGGTGGCGCAAGAGTCCGAAAGGAGCGGGCACTTCCTTGGCTTGGTGGAATTGGCGTCCCCAGCACTACCCGCGGCTGGTCAATCGACTCTTCGAAAGACCTCGCCGTATGACGCCCCAGTAACGTCTCTGATGACGCAGGCCGGGTTCCAGATCTGTTCTGCGCAGGCGATAATCCGACGACTGGGTCGGTTCTCTTTGATGCGGGTCTCTGAGGCGAGGGAGGACGGATTGCGACGTCCCTCAAGGTCTGGGTCGCGCCTCTGGACCTGGAGTACTTCAATTGATCAGCATTGAACACCTCACGGAGTTAGGGATAAAAGCCAACATGAGAGGCGCGCTGATTGCGGCAGCTCAGGCAGCTCCTGGTGTGCCCAACCGACTTCCGTCTGCCGAGGAAGTCTTCCGCGAGTTTCTCTTCGCGACAGCGAATGCACACGATGGAAACTACCCCATCTTGGGCCCCTCGATGAGTAGGTACGGGACTCATTGTAAACGAAAGAAACAACAGAAAGACGCGGTGTGATCGCCATGCTCAGGGGCGGCTACGAAGATTGGACCCATTTTTTCGGGAGTCATCATCCAGTTGAGTTACGTTTTACAAAACCTCAACCAATCAGAAGCCGAAAAACTTAACGAATCCCTGTCAGCACCACGAGAGGAAGGCTCGCCAGCCGCGGCTCGCGCAAAGAAGCCTTTCGGAACGAAATTTGGCGACAAGAGAACCGGAGAAGAGTTGGCTACAGAAGAGAGAGAGTTGGCGACAGTAGATAGGAGACAGGAAGAAGAGTGAGGTCGAGATACGAGACACGGCGAGAGACGTAGAGCATTATCGTGAGTGAAACCGAGACAGAGCGTCGGGGAGGCAGGCTAGGCCGCTGGAGGGAGATTTTGTTTAAAAGGCGCAAACTCAAAGGGCGTGGAGAGACGGCAGGGTTGAAGAGAGATGTGAGTGGGTAATGCATGTCTGGGCGAGTGGAAGGCTCGGAAAATTTACATGTGCTACCGGTATAAGTCGTAGGTATAAACAGAATAAGGAGTATATTGGGGAAGTTTTGACTTGATCGTCTTCATGAAAAGGAGAACAAGAAGAGAAGAGAATGTGCTATTCGAGCCTTTGGCAGTTGATTTTGAGGATGATGAGACATGTTGTCATGTTGTATTGTTTCGTTTGATGCTTTAAAGTTTAGAGAATATTCTTGGGCGGACGTCGGGCGCGCAGTGGTCTGGAAGATATCGACGCGGGAGGTCTGATAGAGCCAGATGCGGATGTGTCTTGGTGATTGACCTGTTCGGTGTCCGTCTCTGACTCTGCGGGTCTTCCGGGGACAGAAAGGAGGAGGTATCGGATTTGGGAGTCTTGACCGTCACAGTCGGTGATTATGGTGGAAGTTTCGGGAGAAAGTCGCGGTCTCTTGGTTGGGGTTTGGTAGGGATCGGGCATTGACCGACTTGATGCCAGCATAAGGGGATCGACTGGGCCAGAAGCATGCGGCGTGGGGGAGGCGGGGCTTTGGGCGGCCTTGGGTTTCTTCGTAGAGGTAAACCTGGCCAACGCAACGCTATAGTCCGAGGATTGCCGACCGCGCTCTTGGGTGTCGTCGGCAGTAGTTGTGTTGCAGAAGCCTGGTCGGACATGGCCTTGTCGTGGAAAGTCCACGTGTCGGGGACGACGATGAAGATATAGTCTTGGTCGAAAGCCGGGGCATGTTTCATGATCTGGTGATCCAGTAAGCCGGCGATTTTGCCCGTACAGGTGAAGAGAGCGTTCGACTGGAACTGGCTGTCGCGCCTCTCGGTCATCTTCTTTCATAGGAGGTCCAAGGATTAGCGTGAATGGGAAGATGACGAAAACTTGGAAGGGTGAAAGCCCTTGAAGGGGGTTTTGCCGGGAATCCCAGGACAAATAAAGGTGGAGAGCTGGACAAAGCCGCAGCAGCTCAGCTGGGTGTCGTCAAGGGCCGCAGCCGAGTTTCCATGCAGGAGGTCGCGGCCGGAGCCGATGACAGGTCCCATGAAGGAGACAATGGGTTGTATCGTTGGGAAAGTATCCACCGAGCTGAGGTGCGAGTGACAATTCTATGGATATCGTCAGGAGGGCAGTGGCGACAGAGATTTGGAGCATAGACTCACGGTTGGTAGCTGTGATCGCGGACTATAAGCGCGGGGACGGTGTATTCTGTGATGTTATCATCGTCCGACTCAAGCCATCACGTCGCTCGATTTCCCACGTCAGGGCAAAGGATGAACACGGCCGACCATGAAGAACCATTGCTCGGTCCATTCCGAGGAGATTATCTGTTGGTTGTATATGGAAATATTAAGGCTGAAGAAGATGCAGGTCGATGGATTGCCAGTATCTGACCGGATTGCTGCATACTCCGGAGTCGACAGCCATGAGGGCGTGGGAAGGAAGACCCTCGCTAGGGTTTCTGCGTTGAGTCCTTTGACACGATGCTCATTCTGGTAGGCGAACCTAGCCGGGCAGCCGGGCTGGACAAAGGCCATCATGGACATGTCGGCGCCAGCATTTTCTGGCTGTCAAGAGGTTGCCGAGGGAGGACGAGGTATCGACGTTGAGCTGGGAGGCCGACATCGTGAGAACATGGCAGATGTAGTCACCGTGGAAGTGTAAATGAGGGGTTACGCAGAGTGGAGGTGGGCATCCTATAAAGCAGGTTTTCTTGCTGCTCGAAAGAGGGCTCGCGGCTAGGGTCGGGGAGACTTAAGAGTCAGAGAATGCTACCTAGATGATAGATCAGAAGCGGGGGTATGCGGGAATGAGCTGGCGAGGTTCTTGAACAGTCTCGACCATCTGGTTCTATGGTCGTGAGTGAAGTAGGGAGCCGGGGGTTGGAAGTTGAGTAGGGGTGATGGCTATGTCGCGAGAAGTTGGAGGTCGGCGAACAGTAAGGTTAGTGTGGGTAAGTCTGCGGAGAAAGAAAGTCCAGCAGTACCCTTCGGTGTCATCGTTGCATGGAGTAGATAGCAAAGGCGACAATAACGAATGAGAGTGAAGGAAAGAAAGAGGTTATGGTAGTATTGCAGGGGTCCCTTTGACGGTCGTCGGTAGTTGGATGGGCATTGCGTGCGGCTGAGCGAGGCGGGTGCCGACCGTGTCGAGTCCACTATTGGGACACGGTGAAGTCGGATATAGGGGACGAGCTGAGGAGGAGGATGCGAGTTGGTCACGAGAACTCTCCAAGAGGGTTTGCAAGTCGAGACTCCGGTGGCTAGCGACTACAAGAGGACAGGCAGGGGGATCCTGGCTGTCGCTTTAGCATGAAGGCCGTTGATGCGACGTTGGTGGTGGCGAGGGAGCAAACCTAGCCGGGTAGTCCGGTTGCACGAGGACACCGTGGACATGTTATCGCCGGCAGCCTTTTGGCTGTTGCTCGACGAGGTGGAGTGGCAGATATTGATGGAGCAACTGATGCGCAAGGTGGGTGGGAAGGCGTTGGAAGGGCCGGAGAGTATGGTTGGAAGTGTGCGGCGGGCGGTTGGCGCGGCCACCCCCATGTGCCGGAGGTCGGCAGTAGCCAGGGATTCGCTGGAGTGCGCAAAGAGAGCACGGCGATGGAAGGGCCGCCTTTGGCAAAGCTGGGGTAGCAGGTCGCACGTGGAGACCAGCCGAGGTCGGGACGGTGGACGCACATAGGGAGGGTAAATGGGGATTACAAAGGGTAGTAGTATTGCATCGCTTCGGTACCATAGGCAAGCATTATAAGGAAGAAATGCCACGGCCATGAGAGTAGTGATCGTTAGGAAGCTTCCCACTCGGAAAGAAATAGTGTACGCCAAGAAGCGAGATTATCCAAGTGGAAGTGCTCCGGAGCCAAAACTTTCTAGCCTGTTGCCAATCCACGCTAGTCGACGTCGAGGAGGCAGTAGCATGGCGGACAGTCCTGCAGGAAGCTAGGCGAGGCGGCCGCTCACCGTGGAGCCTGTTCGTTGTCAGTCGAGGATGGAGAAGAGGGTAGGAACGGGGAGTGCCTGTTTCGGGGTGCGGAGATGATACAGGGCAACTCCGAGAAGGGCACGGAGCACGGGAGACAAGGTTGGGGCGGTTCGGGAGATACAGATCAGTGGCGAATGAAGCATTAACGTTCCGGCTGATTCAGCCTAAGCAGTCTGCGGTCGAAGAAACCGCATGGAGAAAGCATGCAGGGGCGATCGCAAAGTCACTGCCGAGAAGACCGCCGCGAGGCGGTTTGCGGTCAAGCAGAGCACGGAAGTCCCGTAATTTGGTCAGCAGCGGAAATTCCGCGCAACGTCAGTCACCGAGTCCGCTTCCGAGGTTCGTGTTGCCTACAGAACGTGGAGACCAGGGGCAGTGGGCTCTGACAGTCCGCCCTTCATCGGCCGTTTTGCCCCAGGAGAGGGTCCTGAAGGTGACGGGCAGGGAGATAAGGCGGCGACCGGCGGTGTCCCGGGTGTTCGTTCGAAAAGGGACCGACGCTCCGACCTATCCAGCCCAAGGATACGACTTTCCAAGACCTAAGACGAACGGCGCAATTTGCAGCATCGATTGCATGGGGTTTGCCCAAGCTCCGTCGGGGACCGGTTCGGCGGCCAAGGGCACAGGTGGGTGTGGACGATGGCGCAGCAGAGGCAGCGGACGGCTCGCTGCGCGGACAGAGGCAGTCCCGGAGGCGGGAGAAGAGAGCCCGTCTTCCTAGCCGGGATGGGCGCCCGATAAAACAGGTCCGAAGTGGAATCGGAAGGCATAGGAGACGGGAGCTGCAGGCCGAAGACCTGGCGAGTGTGCTGCGCTTTTTGGAGGAAGACTTTGCCTTGAAGGAGAGATTGTCTAACGATCAGACGTGGTGCACGCCAATACCGCTCGAGAGGAAGGTGTCGACGGTGCGAGACTTCTATCAGGCGTTCCACGATGCGAGCACGTTGCCGATACGGACCTGCATGGTGTGCTACCGCAAGTGTACGAGAGGAGAGTTGAGGGAGATTACATGGGATCATTGGCTGTCAAGTTGCGTACCAAAGGGCGGCCGCTCACCATTTTCATGCCGGAGTTGCTTTCCTGAGGGCGAGTCCGTGTCGGTGTGCGCCGAGTGTGGCCGATGCCTGGCGCGCAGGAGCCTGTCGCCGGCGATCCACCTTCACAGTCGCCTTGGCTGCGAGCACATGTTCCCCGATGAGCTCAAGGGACTGACGCCGGTCGAAGAGAAGCTCATCTCGCTGAACTCATGTTACGGGTTTGTCACGAGATATAGCATTCCGGGCGGGCAGAGACAGAGCGTGAAGTATCCGAGGCATGTCAGGGCCACATCACAGTGTTTCCGAACAATGTGCAGGAGCTGGCCACCAAAGTGCTCCCGCACCCCTTTGCAAGCACTGGACGAGATCCACATCTCGTGGCAGGGCGCGGAGAAGCCGGCACCGAGCGACCTGTCGAGTCTCTTGTCGGTGAGGCGGCGGGTGGTCGAGAGGGCCTTGTCTGGCTGAAGCGGAACAACCCCACTACGCCGAGATCGAGATCGACGCGGCGGAGATGGAGAGCTGGGAGACTCGATACACGGGGTACCGTCGTCGGTGTGCGATCGTATGGAGCGGAACGAGCCGCCTGGGTGGGAGAAAGCGCGGACGGCGCACGTTGTGCCGCCCACGGAACGCGCCGTGGACGAGGAGGGCCGGTGGAGATCGAGGAGCTCTTCGCCCTGCTCAACCAAGGACAAGAAGCCGGCGGCCAGGGTGAAGGTCACGGGCCCAACGGAGAAGGCGCGGTTCGCGATGGAAGTGACGCCTGCCCCGACCAGAACGTTCCAGCGATCAACGAGGTGACGTCTTCTGGCATGTTCGCGCTCGACGGACCGCCAGACGTCGCGGACGTGGAGAAGCTGCAGTTTGCCTGTGACGCTGTTGGTGAAGGTGCCGACGACGGCCGTGCGGGCCCGAGAGCGTGGGTCGGGTCCCTAGCCGGGGGGGTTCGGGGGCGTGGCGACGGTGGTTGTGAGCCATACATCCGGGTTTCGCGGGGTGAGTTTACCGATTCCTTTGAGGCGTCCTTCTTTGCCAGGACGTTCCCGACCCTGTTCCCATTTGGCGTTGGGGACCAAGGCTGGTTGAAGAGACCATGGTCGACGCGGGAAGGTCACGGCCAACTTGCGAGGCAGGGCTGTCGAGGCAGAGGCGGCCGCGGAGACCCGTATCGTCTCGAAGCTTGAACCTTCAGGCGTGGGCCGAGATCGTGCTCCGGCGCCATGGTGGTCGATTTGCACTGCACCACATCTTCGCATTTCTCGTCTTCAACATGGGGTGCGGTCGAGGAACCGCCGGGTCAGCATGTTGAGTGTGGGAGGAAGAACTTCCGCAAGGTAGAGCGCATCGTGCGTTCGATGACCACAGAAAGGCTAGCGGCGGCGAGGGTCGAGTTGGAGAGCTCGGGTAAGACGACCGATGGTGACGTGAAGGAGCTTCTCAGGAGCCTCTCGCTTTACGGCCACCGGCAGCCCATGTCGAGAGGTCCGTCTCAATATGCGGCGGAAAATCCAGTCGCTCATCGTCGGATATGGCGTGCCGGCCATCTGGTTCACCATCAACCCGAACGACATTACGAACCCGGTGAAGCTGCGACTGGCGGCATACCGCACACGCGATCCCGACGCGGCCGAGGAGTTCTTAGAAGGCCTTGGGGATGCGTATAAGCGGGCACGGCTGGCGATATCGGATCCCATGAGCTCGGCCGTGTTCTTCCACCGCGAGATGAAGCTGTTCTTCGATCATTACGTGAAGGTCGGTGAAGAGTCGGTATTCGGGCGCATCGGCAAGTACTATGGCGCCGTGGAGACGAACGAACGAGGGCGCTTCATGTTCACGGCTTGCTCTGGCTGCACGGGAACGCGCATCTCAGCTCGATGCTTGCCGACATCCACGGGGAGGATCAGGCGGCGTATCGCGAGCGAATCGTCCGATACATCGATAGCGTCTTCTCAGAGGTAAGAATGCCTACCTAAGATGTGCCACCGGGAGCCTGAAGTACTCTTCTGATGGCCAAGTGGGGCCGGGTTGACGTGCAAGGCAGGATCTGGACCAGGAAAGTTTTTGCGCCGTGCAAGCGGAGCGATCTGTGACGGGCGGTATTGGTTCCCTGCTGGACAACGCCGCGCAGTTCTCGGCCGCGTTTATCGAGGAGGCCAACTTCTGTGCCGGCGCGACGCAGGTGCACACGCATAGCCCGACCTGTGTGAAGTACTCCTTGGGCAAAGGAGGGCGGAAGGGGACCTCTGCCGGTTCAAGGCGCCATGGAGGTTAGTCGACAAGACCGCCCTCACGGCAGACGGGTGCTGCAGATCCGGAGGACACACAGCATGGTCAATCGATGGAACGAGGCTATTGCTGTCGGGCTCCGGCACAACCATGATATTTCCTTCATTGCGACGCAGCGCAAGACAATGGCCCTCATCTATTATGTCACGAACTACGCGACCAAGGTGGAGGACCCGGTGTGGAAGCGTGTGGCGGCCGCGGCCGAGCTCCTGGCCACCTCAACAGGTGATGGCACGGCAAACGGAGGGCGGGACGGTGGCGGAGACGCTGCCACCGATGACCCTGTCAAGGGGACAGGACGCGACAGTTCCTGATGAGAGTGGCGAACCGCGTGTTCACGGAGCGTCCGCTATCACAGGTCGAGGTCGTCGCTCACCTTCTCGGATATCCGGCCGAGTTCACCGACAGCAGCGCGTGGGCGTACCTGAACTGTTCTCTGCTGTACTGGGAAGTCTTTCGGCGATGGCGGCATCTCCGAGAAGCCAGTGGCGCTGCGGCTACGGATGACACCTTGGATGAGTCGGTCGTCGTCGAAGAAGAAGGCCTGAGAATCTCCCACGTCGAGGCGTACCAGCACCGGGGAGAGCTGCTGAAAGGCCTATGCCTGTATGACTACATATCGATCGTCAGACTGAAACGCATCGGCAACGACGAGAGCTGGGCGGCTTGGGAGATGTCTTTCGAGGATGGATGGGCGCCGGGACGACGCTGGGTTCAGGTGCTCAGGCGGCCGGGCAAGCACGCTACCGTCTGCCTCGACGGCTACCTGAGCAAGGACTTCACCTACGATGACGAGTCGTGCTACCGGAGGTGTGTATGGCAACTGCTCTGTCAGCGGGCATTATCGGAGAGGCTAACCCACCCCAGAAGGGCAGCCGTGCAGCATCTTGCGCTGTTCGTGCCGTGGAGTCCTTCCTGGGCGAAGGAACAGGTGAGATCAACAGCATCTGGGCGCGGGCTCGAGACGCTATGGCCCCGAGAATATCATGTCTGGTCGACAACGTGCAGCTGCTTCGACGATCCGCCGAAGACGCAAAACGCGACGCCAAGCAATGGGCAGCCTCGTCCGGCGATGGCGACCCGACGGTCGCACACGTCGAGGAGGGTGGAGCAGGCGAGGCGGGCGCGGAGTCTGCAGCGACATATCAGCCCAACAGCATCGGAGACGCAACGCGGCTCATCGACGTCGTCCGAGGTGCAGTGGGAGCGAATCAGGTGACGGCCAAGTCGCCGGAGCTCATGGCAATGATACAGCAGCTCTGTCGGTTTCAGCAATCGGCGCTGCGCTCGACGGCCGAGCTCGAGGCCACGGCGCTGATCGAACGAGGGGAGAGGCGGTTAAGCATGCCAGGGCGGGTATTTTCCGGGGCCGCACTACCGCCGCAGGATCAGGTCAAGGCTATCAAGTCGCAGCAGGTAAGTGCCTCGAAGGAGAGGGAGAGGATGATCCAAGGGATACAAAGCACGCCCGCCGCCTGGGAAAGCGATCGCCGCGCAGCGTTGCGAAGGGTGATGACCGGTTTGGGGAGGACGAGGTCGAAATGACGATGGCCGACTCCGACGAGACCGCTATCGACGCAGGGGCGGGAATGGACGTTCAGTTTGGCCCATCAACCTCCTTCCTCGCGGCGGGCAAGGTGTTGGCAACACGGCTGACGCTGAACAAGAGGCAGTCCATCGCTTTTCTGATAATATGCCGCCAGCTCGATTTGATGCAGCAGACCGACGGGGCGATGCCTGCCAGCTGCGCCAGTTCGTCGGTGGCGAGGGCGGTACCGGCAAGTCGCGAATCATCGAGGCACTCGTCGAGCTGTTCAGTAAAAGAGCCTTTCGAATCGTCTGCTGATCACGGCGACGTCGGGGACTGCGGCGGCGCGGATCAACGGCATCACGATCCACTCCGCCTGCGGGTTCACTAAAGACCAAGGGGCGGGGCGCGAACATGGTCAAAGACCTTGACGGGGTGCGGCTGCCGAAACAGGCGGAGCGGTTCATCCACGGCCAGTCTCGAATGGATTGGCAGGAGAAGGATGTGCTCGTCATCGACGAGGTGAGCATGCTCGGGGCGCGGACGCTGCACGCCGTGAACGAGCGGCTTCGCCGGCTTCGCGGATCGCGGCAAGATTTCGGGGGGATCCCCATCGTCCTCTTCTGCGGAGATTTTCAGCAGTTCCGGCCGGTCCAAGAGAGGTCGATCGTCCTGCCTAGCGCGGCCATCTCGTGGGACGTAGACAACTCGTTCAAGGCCGAGCAGCGTCACCAGCACGACAAAGCGCACGCACTGTGGAAGAGGTTCACGACGGTCGTCATGCTGGACGAGCAGATGCGCGCCGCCGGCGACCCGGAGCTGCAGAGGCTGCTGAAGCGGATCCGTCTAGGCGTGCAGGATCGGACGGATCTAAACCTCCTCAACTCAAGGTGCTACCGGGAGGAAGGCGGATCCCTTGGGAGACGGGCATCACCGTGGTGACGCCGCTCAATAGGAATCGGTGGAACCTGAACATGGAGGCGAGCCTGGCGTTCCGGGTCCAGCAGCGGTCGACGATGCGCATTTTCATCTCCGAGCACAAGTGGAAGGAGGAGCTGCCGACGGAGGAAGAGGCGATCATGATACTCAACCAGGGCGACGATAGCGCGATCCCGGTGCCGGCCGTCTTCATGTTCGTGGCCGGGATGCCCATCGTCGTGAACCACAACACCCACCAGGGGCTGAAGCTAGTGAACGGCGCGAGCTACTCGGCGGTGGAGGTCATTGTCGACAAGGCGTACCCGGGGCATCGGATCTCGGCCGATATGACGATCCACTTCGGGCCGCCGGCGGGGATCATTCTCGAATCGGAGACGACGAGATATCTCCACTTCGTCGGGATGCCGCCGGGCACGATCTTGTTGACACCCATGACCGTTAAGATACAGTGCCAGCGAAAAAGGCCGTGGCAACGCAACGACGTCAGCCGAAAGGGTTTGCCGTGCGCAGCAGCGTTCGCGTGCACGGACTACAAGGTGCAGGGCAAAACGCTGGAGCGCGTGGCCCTCGAGCTGCGAGGACACGGACGACGAAGATGGATGGAACGGTGGTGCCCTCGCAGTGCGACCCGTACGGCCTGTACGTGCAGCTATCGCGCTGCCGAACTCTAGACGGCATCATGCTCGTGTCCAAGGTGCGGGACAGAGACTTGGTGGGCAACCGGGTCCCCGAGGAGATGACTGCCGCACAGGCCAGGCTCGAGGTACTGAGCGAGAGGACCGTTGAGGAGGCGTTGCGCTGGCTGGACGGTGATGCTGAAGAGTCAAGGCGGCCGGGCTAGGTGACGCGATGAAGAGTTCGGCAGGCGGGAAGAGTCGGCAGGCGGCAGACAGGGTGGGAGGCGCCTAGTGGTGGGATAAGGCACGCGAAAAGGCAACAGAAGCCGGGGGAAGGGCAGCGACCAACGAGGAGGGAGGCAAGGAGGGACCAATCACAAGGGACCAATCAAGGGGCGGAGAACTTTTGGGGGGAGAGGGCGGGGTCTGCGGGGCACGTTAGAAGGCCTTTCGTTCCTCAAGGCAAATAGAAGGCCTTTCGTTCCTCAAGGCAAACCCTCATACGAGGGGAAGGCTCGCCAGCCGCGGCTCGCGCAAAGAGGCCTTTCGGAACGAAAGTTGGCGATGGCGACAGGAGAAAGTCGGCGAGAGGAGAGAGTTGGCGACAGGAGATAGGAGACAGGGGAAGTGAGAGGAAGACAGGAAGAAGAGTGAGATAAGAGATATGAGATGGAGATCCGGCGAGAGACGTAGAGCATTATCGTGAGTGAAATCGAGACAGAGCGTCAGAGAGGCAGCCTAGGCCGCTGCAAGGAGATTTTGCTTTGCAAAGGCGCAAAGGGCGTGGAGAGGCAGGGGTGAAGAGAGTTGTGGGTGGGTAATGCATGTGTGGGCAGTGGAAGGCTCTGAGGATTTACAGGTGCTATAAGTGGTGGATATAAACAGAATAAGGAGTATATTGGAGAAGTTTTGACTGGATTGTCTTTGTGAAAAGGAGAGCAAGAGGAGAAGGAAATATCCCATTAGGGCCTTTCGCACTTGAGTTTGAGGATGATGAAACATGTTCCTTGTCATGTTGTGTTGTTTCGTTCGTTGCTTTACAGAATATTCTTGGGCGGATGTCGGGCGCGGTGCGGTCGGGAAGAGATTGACGCCGGAGGTCTGATAGGGCCAGAGGCGGATGTGGCTGGGTGATTGACTGGCTCGGTGTCCGTCTCTGAGTCTCCGGGGTCTTCGTGGGACAGAAGGGAGGAAGTGTCGGATTTGGCGGGGCCTCGACTATCACAGGCGGCGACTATGGTGGAAATTTCTGGAGAAAGTCGCGGTCTCTTGGTTGGGGTTTGGTCGGGATCGGGCAATGACCGCTTTGATGTCATCATAAGGGGATCGACTGACCTAGATGCAGGCGGCGTGGGAGGCGCCGCTTGGGGCGGCATTGCGTTTTTGGTAGAGGTAAACCTGGCCAACGCATCGCTATAGTCCGAGGGTTGCCGACTGAGCCCTTGGGTGTCGTCGGCAGTAGCTGTGTCGCAGAAGCCTGGTTGGACATGGCCCTGTCAAGGAAAGTCCATGTATCGGGGACGACGATGAAGATATAGTCTTGCTCGAAGGCCGGGGCATGTGTCATGATCTGGTGATCGAGTAAGCCGGCGATTTTGCCCGTGCAGGTGAGGAGAGCGTTCGGCTGGAACTGGCTATCGCGCCTCTCGGTCATCTTCTTGCATAGGAGGTCCAAGGATTGGCGTGAATGGGAAGATGACGAAAAGTTGAAAGGGATGAAAGCCCTTGAAGGGTGTTTTGCCCGGAATCCCAGGACAGATAAAGGTCGAGAGCTGGACAAAGCCGCAACAGCTCAGCTGGGTGTCGTCAAGGGCCGCAGCCGAGTTTCCATGCAGAAGGTCGCGGCCGGAACCGATGACAGGTCCCGTGAAGGAGACAATGGGTTGTATCGCTGGGAAGGCATCCGCCGAGCCGAGGGTGCGAGGGATGACTCTGTGGCCATCGTCAGAGATGGTAGTGGTGACGGAGGTCTGGAGCATACACCTACGGCTGGTAGCTGTGGTCGCGGACGATGAGAGCCGGGATGGTGTATTCTGTAATGTTGTCATCCTCCGACTCGAAGCTATCACGTCGCTCGATTTCCACGTCAGGGCAAAGGGATGAACACGGCCGACCATAAAGAACCACTGCTCGGTCCATTCCGAGGGGATTATCTGTTGGTTGTATATGGAAATATTAAGGCTCAAGAAGATGCAGGTCGATGGATTGTCAGTATCTGACCGGATTGCTGCATACTCTGGAGTCGACAGCCATGAGGGCGTTGGAAGGAAGACCCTCGCTAGGGTTTCTGCGTTGAGCCCTTTGACACGATGCTCATTCTGGTAGGCGAACCTAGACGGGCAGCCGGGCTGGACAAAGGCCATCATGGACATGTCGGCGCCAGCATTTTTCTGGCTGTCAAGAGGTTGCCGCGGGAGGACGAGGTATCGACGTCGAGCTGGGAGGCCGACATCGTGAGAACATGGCAGATGTGGTCACCGTGGAAGTGTAAAGGAGGTTAGGCAGAGTAGAGGTAGGCATCCTATAAAGCAGGTTTTCTTGCTGCTCGAAAGAGGCTCGTGGCTCGGGTCGGGGAGACTTGAGAGTCAGTGAATGCTACCTAGGTGATAGATCAGAAGCGGGGGTATGCGGGAATGAGCTGGCGAGGTTCTCGAGCAGTCTCGACCATCTGGTTCTGTGGTCGTGAGTGAAGTAGGGAGCCGGGGGTTGGAAGTTGAGTAGGGGTGATGGCTATGTTGCGAGAAGTTGGAGGTCGGCGAACGGTAAGGTTAGTGTGGGTAAGACTGCGGAGAAAGAAAGTCCAGTAGTCCCCTTCGGTGTCATCGTTGCATGGAGTAGATAGCAAAGGGGGCAATAACGAATGAGAGTGAAGGAAAGAAAGAGGTTATGGTAGTATTGCAGGACTCCCTTTGACGGTCGTCGGTAGTTGGATGGGCATTGCGTGCGGCTGAGCGAGGCGGGTGCCGACCGTGTCGAGTCTACTATTGGGACACGGTGAAGTCGGATATATGGGTCGACCTGAGGAGGAGGATGCGAGTTGGTCACGAGAACTTTCCAAGAGGGTTTGCAAGTCGAGACTCCGGTGGCTAGCGACTACAAGAGGACAGGCAGGGGTCCTGGCTATCGCTTTAGCATTAAGGCCGTTGATGCGACATTGGTGCTGGCGAGGGAGCAAATCTAGAAGGGTAGTCCGGCTGCATGAGGGACGTCATGGACATGTTATCGCCGGCAGCCTTGTGGCTGTTGCTCGACGAGGCGGATTGGCGGGTATTGATGGTGAACTGATGCGCAAGGTTGGTAGGATGGTGTTGGAAGGGCTGAAGAGTATGGTTTGAAGTGTGCGGCAGGCGGTTGTCGCGGCCATCTCCATGTGCCGGAGGTCGGCAGTGGCCAGGGATTCGCTGGAGTGCGCAAAAGAGAGCACGGCGATGGAAGGGTCGCTTTTGGCAAAGCTGGGGTAGCAGGTCGCACGTGGAGACCAGGCGAGGCCGGGACGGTGGACGCACATAGATAGGCATGGTAACGGGGGAATATAGAGGGGTAGTATTGCATCGCCTCGGTACCATAGGGAAGCATTTTATAGGGAAGAAACGCCACGGCCATGAGGGAAGTGATGGTTAGGGAGCTTCCCATTCGGGAGAAGTAGCGTCGTCAACAAGCGAGACTGTCCAAGTGGAGGTGCTCCGGAGCCAAAGCTTTATAGCCTGTTGCCAATTTACGGCAGTCGACGTCGAGGAGGCAGCAGCATGGCGGACAGTCCTGCAGTGAAGTTAAGCGAGGCGGTTGCTCACCCTGAAGCCTGTTCGTTGTCAGTCGGGGATGGAGAAGAGGTGAGAACGTGAGCGGGTCGGGTTCGGGGCTCGGAGATGGTGCGACAGGAGCCGGTGTAGATGTGGTGGCAGCTTCTGAGAGGGGCCGCAGAGCACGGGGGGAGAGCCTGGGACGGTTACGAAGATACGAATCACGGGCGAATGCGGCATCAACGTTCCGGCCGATTCAGCCTAGAAACCTGTGGTTGAAGACACCGCATGGAGACAGCACGCAGAAGCAATTGCGAGGTCGTTGCCGAGAAGACCGCCGCGAGGCGGTTTGCGGTCAAACAGAGCACGGAAGTTCCATAATATGGTTAGCAGCGGAAGTTCCGCGCAACATCAGTCACCGGGTCAGCTTCCGAGGCCCCTGTTGCCTAGGGAACGTGGAGATATGGGGTAGCGGACTCTGATCGTCCGCTCCTCATCGGCACTTTCTGCCTCAGGAGGAGATCCTGAAGATGAGGAGCAACGTGTTACGGCGGCGGCGGGCGATGTCCCGAGTGTTCATTCGAAGGAGGTACCGAAGCTTCGATCCATCCAGCCTAGGGAACCGGTATTCGACAACTTAAGAGAAAACGGGCAATTAGCAGCAGCGATTGCGTCTGGTTTGCCCAAGCGCCGTCGGGGACGGAGTTGGCGGGTAAAGGGAGTACCAGGCCGCAGGGGTGTCTCCAACGCAGCAGGTACGGCGCAGCATCCGGGGCCGTCTCCTGTGGGGGTGGGCGACGCCGCGGCAGAGCCAGCGGACGCTTCGCTGAGCGGGCGGAGGCTGCAACAAAGGGAGGTGGGCGGCTCATCGCGGGTGGCGGCTGGGGAGCCCGTGCAGTTTGATCGGCAGCAAGAACGAGGAGAGTGCTGGAAAGGGCAAGGACTGAGGTCAAGGTTCGGCATGGAAAACGTTCGCCAGCACGGCCCGGTGCCTGTCCAGTGCAAAGGGCCGGATGGCGTGTCAGGGGATGCGCACGTAGTCGGGCAGTCGTCGCCAAAGCTGCCGCATCCGACGGCTTGCGAAGAAGCGAATCAGCCACGGAGAGAAGAAATCATGGATCGGAGGCGGCCCCGGAGGCGGGAGAAGAGAAAACGTCTTCCTGGTCCGGACGAGCGCCCGAGAAAACAGATTCGGAGTGGAATCGGAAGGCAGAGGAGTCGGGAGCTGCGGGCCGAAGACCTGGCGAGTGTGCTGCGTTTTTTGGAGGAAGACTTCGCCATGAAGGAGAGGCTCTAACGATCAGACGTGGTGTACGCCAATACCGCACGACAGGAAGGTGTCGACGGTGCGGGATTTTTATCAGGCGTTCCACGATGCGAGCACGTTGCCGATACGGACCTGCATGATGTGCTACCGCAAGCGTACGAGAAAAGAGCTGAGGAGATCAGATGGGATCAATGGCTGTCAAGCTGCGTGCCAGAGGGCGGCCGCTCACCATTTTCATGCCGGAGCTGCTTTCCGAAGGCGAGCCCGTGTCGGTGTGTGCGGAGTGCCCGATGCCTGGCGCGCGGGAGTCTGTCGCCGGCGGTCCATCTTCACACTCGCCTTGGCTGTGAGCACATGTTCCCTGACGAGCTCAAGGGACTCACGCTGGTCGAAGAGAAGCTCGTCTCGCTCAACTCCTGCTATGGGTTTGTCACGAGATATAGCATTCCGGGCGGGCAGAGGCAGGCCGTGAGGTATCCGAGGCACGTCAAGGGCCACATCACAGTGTTTCCCAACAACGTGCAGGAGCTGGCGACCAAGGTGCTCCGCACCCCTTTGCAAGCACTGGACGAGATCCACGTTTCGTGGCAGGGCGTGGAGAAGCCGGCACCGAGCGACCTGTCGAGTCTCTTGTCGGTGAGGCGGCGGGTCGTCGAGAGGGCTCTTGTTTGGCTGAAGAGGAGCAACCCCACTACGCCGAGATCGAGATCGACGTGGCGGAGATGGAGAGTTGGGAGACCCGATAGACGGGGTGCCGGCCTTGGTGTATGATCGCATGGAGCGGAACGAGCCGTCCGCATGGGAGAAAACGCGGACGGCGCACGTTGTGCCGCCCACGGAGCGCGCCATGGACGACGAGGGGTCGGTGGAGATCGAGGAACTCTTCGCTCTGCTCAAGCAAAGGCAGGAAACGGGAGGCGAGGCTGAAGGGCACGGGCCCAACGAAGAAGGCGCGGGTCGTGATGGAGTTGGTGCTAGCCCCGATCAGAACGTTCGACCAATCAACGAGGTGACGTCTTCCGGCATGTTTGGGCTGGACGGACCGCCAGACGTGGCGGATGTCGAGAAGCTGCGGTTTGCCTGTGACGCTGTTGGCGCAGGTGCCGACGACGGCCGCGCGGGCCCGAGAACGTGGGTCGGATCCTCGGTGGGGTCGAGGGCGTGGCGACGATGGCAGTGAGCCATACATTCGAGTCTCGCGGGGATGAGTTTGCCGACTCCTTTGAGACGTCCTTCTTCGCCAGAACGTTCCCGACCCTGTTCCCATTTGGCGTTGGGGACCAAGGCTGGCCGAAGAGGCCATAGCCGAGGCGGGAAGGCCCTACCAACTTGCGAGGCACCGGTAGAGCTGTTGAGGCAGGGGCGGCAGCGGGAGACATCGTATCCTCCCGAAGCTTGAACCTCCGGATTTGGGCCGACATCGTGCTCCGGCGCCATGGTGGCCGGTTTGCGTTGCACCACATATTTGCATTTCTCGTCTTCAACATGGGGGTGCGGTCGAGGAACCGCCGCGTCAGCATGCTGAGTGTGGCGAGGAAGGACTTCGGCAAGGTCGAGCGCGTTGCCCGCTCGATGACCGCGCAAAGGTTAGCGGCGGCGAGGGTCGAGTTGGAGAGCTCGGGCAAGACGACCGATGAGGGCGTGAAGGAGCTTCTCAGGAGCCTCTCGCTGTACGGCCACCGGCAACCCATGTCGAGAGAGGTTCGGCTCAATATGCGGCGGAAAATCCAGTCGCTCATCGTTGGCTACGGCGTTCCGGCCATCTGGTTCACCATCAACCCAAACGACATTACGAACCCGGTGAAGCTGCGACTGGCGGCATATCGGACACGCGATCCCGGCGCGGCCGAGGAGTTCCTAGAAGGCCTTGGGAGTGCGTACAAGCGGACAAGGCTGGCCATGTCCGATCCGATGAGCGCCGCCGTATTCTTCCACCGGGAGATGAAGCTGTTCTTCGATCATTACGTGAAGGTCGGAGAAGAGTCGGTATTCGGGCGCATCGGCAAGTACTATGGCGCTGTGGAGACCAACGAACGAGGGGCGCTTCATGTTCACGGCTTGCTCTGGTTGCACGGAAACGCGCATCTCAGCTCGATGCTTGCCGACATCCACGGGGAGGATCAGGCGGCGAATCGCGAGCGAATCATACGATACGTCGATAGTGTCTTCTCCGAGGTAAGAATAGCTAAGACGTGTCACTGAGAACCTGAATTGCTCGTCCGATGGACAAACGGGGCCAGGCTGACGTGCAAGATAGGATCTGGATCAGGAAGGGTTCTGCGCCGTGCAAGCGGAGCGATCTGTGACGTCCGATATTTCCTCCCTGCTGGACAACACCGAGCAGTTTTCGGCCGCATTTGACCAGGAGGCCAACTTCTGTGCCGGCGCTACACAGGTTCACACGCATAGCCCGACCTGTGTCAAGTATTCCTTGGGCAAAGGAGCGCGGAAAGGGAATCTATGCCGGTTTAAGTCTCCATGGAGGTTGGTCGACAAGACCGCCATCACGGCAGACGGGGTGTTGCAGATCCGGAGGACTCACAGCATGGTCAATCGATGGAACAAGGCTATCGCTGTTGGGCTCCGGCACAACCACGACATTTCCTTCATTGCGACGCAGCGCAAGACCATGGCCCTTATGTATTATGTCACGAACTACGCGACGAAGGTGGAGGACCCGGTGTGGAAGCGTGTGGCGGCCGCGGCCGACCTCCTGGCCGCCTCAACGGGTGACGGCACGGCCAACGGAGGACAGGACGACGGTGGAGGTGCTGTTGGCGATGACGCCGCCAAGGGGAACAGGACGCGACAGTTCTTGATGAGGGTGGCGAATCGTGTGTTCACGGAGCGTCCGCTGTCTCAGGTCGAGGTCATTGCTCATCTTCTGGGATATCCGGCCGAGTTCACCAACAGCAGCGCCTGGGCGTACCTGAACACATCTCTGCTGTACTGGGAAGTCTTTCGACGGTGGCCGTATCTCCGACGAGCAAATGGCGCGGCGGCCATAGATGATGCTCTGAATGAGTCGGTCGTTGTCGAAGAAGCAGGCCTGAGGATCTCCCACGTTGAGGCGTACCAGCACCGGGGAGAGCTCCTGCGAGGGCTATGCTTATACGACTACATATCGCTCATTAGACTAAAACGCACCAGTAAGGATGAGAGCTGTGCGGCCTGGGGGGGGAGGTGCCCTTCGAGGATGGATGGGCGCCAGGGAGACGCTGGGTCCAGGTGCTCAGGCGGCCGGGCAAGCATGCTACCGTCTGCCTCGATGGCTACCTGAGCAAGGACTTCGGCCACAACGACGACGAGGAGTCGTGCCACCGGAGGTGTGTATAGCAACCGCCCTGCCGGCAGGCATCATCAGAGTGGCTAACCTCCCCCCCCTTCCCCTTAAAGGGCAGCCGTGCAGCATCTTGCGCTATTTGTGCCGTGGAGTCCTTTCTGTGCGAAGAAACAGGTGAGATCAATAGCATCTGGGAGCGGGCGCGAGGCGCTGGCCCCGAGAATATCATGTCTCGTCGACAACGTGCAGCTGCTTCGACGATCAGCCGAAGACGCAAAGCGCGACGCCAAGCAATGGGCGGCCTCATCCGGCGATGGCGATTCCACGGTCGCCCACGTCGAGGAGGGCGAGACAGGCGAGGCGGGCGCAGAATTTGCAGCGACATATCGGTCCAACAACATCGGAGACGCAACGCGCCTGATCGACGTCGTCCGAGGCGCAGTGGGCACGAATCAGGTGACGGCCAAGTCGCCGGAGCTCATGGCAATGATGCGGCAGCTCTGTCGATTCCAGCAATCGGCGCTCTGCTCAACGGCCGAGCTCGAGGCCATCGCGATTCCCGAACAAGGGTTGAGGTGCATAAGCATGCCAGGGCGGGTATTTTCCGGGGCCGCACTACCGCCGCAGGATCAGGTCAAGGCTATCAAGTCGCAGCAGATAAGTGCGTCGAGGGAAAGGGAGAGAATGATCCAAGGCGTACAAACCACAATCGCAGTCCGGGAAAGCGATCGCCGAGCTGCGTTGCGGAGGGTGATGACCGGCTTCGGGAGGACGACGTCGAATGACGACAGCCGACTCCGACGAGACGGCTAGCGACGCAGAAGCGGGAATGCGCGTCCAGTTTGGCCCATCGACCTCCTTCTTCGCGGCGGGCAAGGAGTTGTCAACACGGCTAACGCTGAACAAGAGGCAGTCGATCGCTTTCCTAATAATATGCCGCCAGCTCGATTTGATGCGACAAACGAATAGGGCGATGCCGGCCAGCTCTGCCAGTTCGTCGGCGGCGAGGGGGGCACCGGCAAGTCGCGGATCATTGGGGCACTCGTCGAGCTGTTCAGTGGGAAGAGCCTTTCGAATCGTCTGCTGATCACGGCGACGTCAGGGACTGCCGCGGCGCAGATCAACGGCATCACGATCCACTCCGCCTGCGGGTTCACTAAAGACCAAGGGGCGGGCGGCGCGAACACAGCCAAGGACCTTGACGGGGTGCGGCTGACAAAACGGGCGGAGCGGTTCATCCACGGCCAGTCTCGGATGGACTGGCAGGAGAAGGACGTGCTTGTCATCGATGAGGTGAGCATGCTCGGAGCGCGGACGCTGCACGCCATAAACGAGCGACTCTGTTGGCTTCGCGGATCGCAGAAAGATTTCGGGGGGATCCCCATCGTCCTCTTCTGCGGAGACTTTCAGCAGTTCCGGCCGGTCCAAGAGAGGTCGATCGTCCCGCCGAGCGCGGCCATCTCGTGGGACGTAGACAACTCGTTCAAGGCCGAGCAGCGGCACCAGCACGACAAAGCGCACGCGCTGTGGAAGAGATTCACGACGGTCGTCATGTTGAACGAGCAAATGCGCGCCGCCGGGGATCCGGAATTGCAGGGGCTGCTGAAGCGGATCCGGCAGGGTGTGCAGGACCGCACGGATCTGGACCTCCTCAACTCAAGTGCTACCGCGAGGGCAGGCGGATCCCTTGGGAGACTGGCATCACCGTGGTGACGCCGCTGAACAGGAATCGGTGGAACCTAAACATGGAGGCAAGCTTGGCGTTCCGGGTCCAGCAGCGGTCGACGATGCGCATCTTCATCTCCGAGCACAAGTGGAAGGAGGGCCTGCCGACCGAGGAAGAAGCGATCATGATACTCAATCAAGGCGACGATAGCGCGATCCCCGTGCCGGCCGTCTTCATGTTCGTGGCCGGGATGCCGGTCGTCGTGAACCACAACACCCATCAGGGGCTGAAGCTGGTGAACGGCGCCGGCTACTCGGCGGTGGAGGTCATTGTCGACAAGGCGTCCCCGGGGCATCGGATCTCGTCCGACATGACGATCCACTTCGGGCCGCCGGCGGGGATATTACTGGAATCGGCGACGACAAAGGACCTCCACTTCGTCGGGATGCCGCCGGGCACGATCTTGTTAACGCCGATGAGCGTCAGGATACACTGCCAACGAAAGCGGCCGTGGCAGCAGAACGACGTCAGCCGGAAGGGATTGCCGTGCGCAGCAGCCTTCGCCTGCACGGACTACAAGGTGCAGGGCAGAACGCCAGAGCGCGTGGCCCTGGAGCTGCGGGGACACGGACGACGAAAGTCGATGGAAGGGCCGTGCCCTCGCAATGCGACCCGTACAGCTTATATGTGCAGCTATCGCGCTGTCGAACGCTAGACGGCATCACGCTCGTGTCCAAGGTGCGGGAGAGACTTGGTGGGCAACCGAGTCCCCGAAGAGATGACCGCCGCGCAGGCCAGGCTGGAGGTGCTAAGCGAGAGGACTGTCGAGGAAGCTTTGCGTCGGTCGGATGGCGACGCTGAAGAGTCAAGGAGAGTTGTCAGGTGAGGTGACGAGGGGAGAAGACGGAGGAGCGCCGGCGGGCAAGAAGACAAGGGCACTGGGCAGCAGCGATCAACGAGGGGCGACTTTTAGACTTGAAGGAAGAACCCGCTAGAAAGGCATGAACGAAAAGGGCAAAGACAAAAGACGCAAGTTTTAGACACAATAAGAAAACCGGCGGACGAAAGGAAAAAGGTTGGCATTGGCATTGGCAAGGGGGTAAACAGGAGTGCCTTGAGGAACGTTAGTGACGAAAAGGTTCTTCTGGTTCCTCCCCGGGGAGTTCCTCCCCGGGGAGAAAGAAAAAAAAACACCGCCATCAATTTCCCCCCCCCTAAATGCCGCCCTCTGATTCGTCGGCTGCCGTCCTCTAATTCGTCGGCTTGCTCTCTTCAGATTGGTTTAAAAATACAACCTCACCGCCCTCGTCGCCGCCCCTTTTTGCCCTCTTTCCTTGAAGCCCGTCTTCTTTCCTGGCCCTTTCTTTCAAGCTCGCCCCGGAATCCGCCCTTTCCTCTTTGCCCCCCTCCTGGCCCTTGACCTGTGCTCCTTTTACGTCGGTAGCTACGGCAAGCCCGCTAGCCTAGAGCCGGCTGGCCTGTGAAGTCTAAATCTCCGCCTTTGCGGTCCGTCTATATTAGACACGCACCCGTCGATGTCCATTAACTAACTACCTTGAGATTGTTGCTCTTATTTCTATCTCTCTACGTTGCGCCTTCCCATAATTTTTGCTTTCTCCGCCCCCTGATTGTGTGCTAGGGTAGTCGTCCTAAGGGCAGGATCTCCTCCGCTGCGAGCGAGACGCCTACGCCGCCCGCGTTACCCGCGGAGCCAGTCGGCCGCCTCCTGCGTCGTCTGCCTGCTAAGCTCCTCTAGCCGGGCCTGCGCTGCCGTCATCTCCTCGGGCACCCGGTTCCCGACTAGATCCCGCTCCCGCACCTCCGATACGAGCATGATGCCGTCGAGCGTCGGGCACCGCGACAGCTGCACGTACAGGCTGTACGGGTCGCACGGCGACGGCACCGCCCCCGACCGTCGTCATCCTCGCCCCCCGCAGCTCCAGCGCCACACGCTCCAGCGTCCCGCCCTGCACCTTGTAGTCGGTGCAGGCGAAGGCCGCCGCGCACGGCAGGCCCCTCCGGCTGACGTCGTTGCGCTGCCACGGCCGCTTCCGCTGCGCCGTGATCTTGACGCCGATGGGCGTCAGCAGGATCGTCCCGGCCGGCATCCCGACGAAGTGGAAGTCCCTCGTCGTCTCCGAAGCCAGCACGATGCCCGCCGGCGGCCCGAAGTGCATCGTCAGCTCGGCCGAGACCCGGTGGCCGGGGAAGGCCCGGTCGGGGATGACGTCTACCGCCGTGTAGCCGGCCCCGTTCACTAGCTTCAGCCCCTGGTGCGTGTTCTGGTTCACGACGACCGGCATGCCCGGCACGAAAACGAAGACGGCCGGCACCGGCGTCGCGCTGTCGTCGCCCTGGCGCAGCATTAACACCGCCTCCTCCTCCGTCGGCAGGCCCTCCCTCCACTTGTGCTCGGACAGGAATATGCGCGCCGCCGTCCGCCGCCGCGCCCGGAACGCGAGCGCCGCCTCTAGGTTGAGGTTCCAGCGGTTGCGGTTGAGAGGCGTGACCACCGTCAGGCCCGTCTCCCACGGGATCCGCCTGCCCGGCCGGTGGCACCTCGAGTTGAGCAGCTCTAGGTCCGACCGGTCCTGCTCCCCCCGGCGGATGCGCCCGAGCAGCCGCCGCAGCTCCGGGTCGCCGGCGGCCCGCATCTGCTCGTCCAGCATGACGACCGTCGTGAACCGCCGCCACAGCGCGTGCGCCTTGTCGTGCTGCCGCCGCTGCTCGGCCGCGAACGCCCCGTCCTCGTCCCACGCCACCGCCGCGCTCGGCAGCAGGATCGACCGCTCCTGCACCGGCCGGAACTGGTGGAAGTCGCCGCAGAAGATCACCACCGGGATGCCGCCGAAGTCTCGCGCCGACCCCCGCAGCCTGCACAGCTGCTCGTTGGCGGCGTGCAGCGTCCGCGCCCCGAGCATGCTGACCTCGTCGATCACCAGCACCTCCTTCTCCTGCCAGTCCATCCGCGACCGGCCGTCGACGAAGCGCTCGCCCTGGCCCGGCAGCCGTACGCCGTCTACGTCCCTCGTCGCCCCTCCCGCCCGGCCGCCCTGGCCGACCGTAAGGCCGCAGGCCGAGTGTAGTGTGATGCCGTTGATCCGTGCTGCCGCCGTCCCCGACGTCGCCGTCACCAGCAGCCGGCTCGATAGGTCCCTCCGGGCGAGCAGCTCGACGAGCGCCTCGATGACGCGCGACTTGCCGGTGCCGCCCTCGCCGCCGATGAACAGGCAGAGCTGGCCGCCGCCATCGCCGCCTGCGTCGTCGCCCTGCCGGATTCGGTCGAGCTGCCGGCATACGATTAGGAGAGCGATGGCCTGCTTCTCGTTGAGCGTTAGCTGCCCCGCCAGCTCCCTGCCGGCGGCGACGAACGAGCTCGACGGGCCGAGCCGCACGCGCATCCCCGCCGCCGTGCCAGCGTCTACGTCGCCGTCGGCCGCCGTTACGTCCATGTCGTCCTCGCCGAAGCCCCCCATCACCCCGCGAAGAGCCGCGCCGCGGTCGGCCCCGACGCCCGCCGCCGCCCCGCCGCCCTGGATGCCCTGGATGGCTCGCTCCCGCTCCCGCGCCGCGCTCCTCTGCTGCGACTTGATGGCCCGCACCTCTTCTTGCCGTGGCAGCGCCGCCCCCGAGAGCTCCGAGCCCGGTAGGTTCACCCGCCTGCCTGCCCTCTCCTCCGCCACTACCGTCGCCGCGAGCTCGGCCGCCGACCCCAGCGCCGACTGCTGGAACCGGCAGAGCTGCTGCGTCATCGCTAGCAGCTCTGTTGACTGCGCCGTGACTTGTCCCGCGCCGGCGGCATTCCGGACGACGTCGATGAGCCGCGCCGCGTCGCCCGCCCCGCCGGCGCGGTACGCCTCCTCGCCCCCCTCGGCCGCCCCCCTGCCTTCGTCGCCGGCATGCGGCGCCGTCATACCGCCCTCCTCGGCCGTGGCGGCCCACTGCTTGGCGTCGCGCTTCGCGTCCTCCGCCGACCGCCGGAGGAGCTGCACGTTGTCTGCGAGCCGCGCGACCCTCGGCGCCAGCGACTCCCGCGCCCGCGCCCAGATGTCGTCGATGTCGCCTGCCTCCTCGCCGAGGAAGGACTCCCACGGCACGAATAGGGCCAGGTGCTGTACCGCCGCCCTAGGCGCTGTTAGCCGATGCCCTAGCCGCGCTGCCTTCCCTTGGGCGCTCCCCGTCTTATGGTGCGCACCTTCGGTGGCACGACTCGTCGTCTCCCTCGCTAAACTCCTTGCTGAGGTATCCGTCGAGGCATACGGTCGCCCCGCTACCCGGCCGCCTAAGCGCCTGCACCCAGCCCTTCCCCGACGCCCAGCTCTCCGCGAAGGGTACCTCGCCCCAGCCCGTCCCACCGTCGGCACCGCGGCCGTTTCGCTTTAGCCTTACGAGCGATGCGTAGTCATAAAGGCAGAGGCCCCGTAGGAGCTCGCCCCCTGTGCCGGTAGGCCTCGACGAGGGGGGATCCTCGGCCCGGCCTCCTCGACGACGACCGTCTCGTCCGGCGCGTCGCCCGTCGCCTCCGCGCCGCTCGCCCGTCGGAGGTGCCGCCACCGGCGGAAGACGGCCCAGTAGAGCTGGTTCGCGTTCACGTACGCCCACGCCGAGCCGCTGCTAAATTCTGCCGGGTACCCTAGGAGGTGCGCGATCACCTCGACCTGCGACAGCGGCCGCTCCGTAAATACTCGGTTCGCCGCCTTGAGCAGGAACGTTCTCGTCTTGTTCCCCCTGGGGTCCGCCGCCGTCGCCACCCCTTCGGCCCCGCCCCTCGGCCGGCGTCGCGGTCGGCGCCACTTCCGTTGCCCTCTCCCGTCGGCTCTAGCGCGGGAGGAACTCGGCCGCGGCGGCCACACGCTTCCACACGGGTCCTCTACCTTCGTCGCATAGTTGGTAATGTAGTAGATTAGGGCCATGGTCTTGCGCTGCGTCGCGATGAACGAGATGTCGTGGTTGTGCCGTAGTCCTACTGCCATCGCCCGGTTCCACCGGTTCACCATGCTATGCGTCCGCCGGATCTCGAGCACCCCGTCCGCCGTCAGCGCCGTCCTCTCCACCAGCCTCCACGGCGCCTTGAACCGGCAGAGGTCCCCCTTCCGCGCCCTCGCGCCGAGCGAGTATTTTACGCAGGTCGCGCTATGCGTGTGGATCTGCGTCGCGCCGGCGCAGAAGTTGGCCTCCTCGTCGAAGGTGTCCGTGAAGCGCGCGACGTCGTCGAGCCGCGACGATATGTCCGCCGTGGCCGACCGCTCCGCCTGCACGGCGCAGTAACCTTCTGCGTCTAGCTCCTATAGCCTCGGGTCAGCTCGGGGCCCTTCGGCCTGCTACGGATGGGGGTTATCATCTTAAGGCGGCCGCCTTACCTCGGAGAAGACGCTATCTACGTAGCGGACGATGCGCTCCCGGTACGCCGCCTGCTCCTCCGTATCGGAGCCGCCGAGCGCCTCGCCAAGGCCCGCGTTGCCCTTAGCCAGAGGAGCCCGTGGATGTGGAGAGCGCCTCGCTCGTTGGTCTCGACCGCCCCGTAGTACGCGCCGACGTGCCCGAACACCAACTCCTCCCCGACGTTGACGTAGTGCTCGAAGAAGAGCGTCATCTCCCGGTGAAAGAAGATGGCCGAGCTCATCGGGTCCGATATGGCCAGCCGCGTCCGCTTATACGCGGTCCCCAGGTCTCTTAGGAAGGCCTCGGCCTCGTCGGGGTCGCGGGCGCGGTGCGCCGCCAGCCGTAACTTTACCAGGTTCGTGATGTCGTTCGGGTTCAGCGTAAACCATATGGCCGGCACCCCGTGCCTTATGATGAGGGAGAGCATCTTCTTCCGCATACTAAGCCGGCTCTCCCTCGACATCGGCTGCCGGTAGCCGACACGGAGAGGGACCGGATGAGCTCCTTTACCCCGTCGTCGCTAGTCTTGCCCGTGGCCTCGAGCTCGACCCTCGCCGCCTCGAGCCTCTGCGCCGTTAACGACTTTAGCAGGCCCTCGACCCTTGCGAAGTTCTTCCTCGCTACGCCTAGCATGCTGGCCTGGCGGTTCCTAGATCGCACGCCCATGTTAAAGACAAGAAAGGCGAAGATAGGGTGCGTCGCGAACCGGCCGCCGTGGCGCCGCAGCACGACGTCGGCCCATGCTTGGAGCTTCATGTTCCGCGTCGACATAAGGCCCTCCGCGACCCGCTCCGCCTGCGTACCCTGGTTCCCGACGCTAGGGCACGCGCTCTCTCCTGTGGCGTCCTCGTCGGCGAGCCTCGGCCCGCCCAAGCCAAAGGGGAACAGGGTCGGAAAGGCCTTTGCGAAGAAGGAGGCGTCCGCCGAGTCGGCGAAATCATCGCCGCGCCGCACCTGTATGTACGGCTCGACGTCGCCGCCATCGCCCGCCGCCCCTCGGGCCGCGGTCCCTACCCACGTCCTCGGGCCGGCGCGCGCTCCCTCGGGCCCGACGGCGTCGCGGGCGAAGCAAATCTTCTCGGCGTCTGCCACATCTGGCGCCCCGTCCAACGGGAACATGCCGGAAGACGTCACCTCGTTGATTACGCCCCCGTCCTCTTCAGGCCTAGCGCCGTCCCTGTCGTCGTGTAAGTCGTCCTCGCACGTGACCCCGACGTCGCGGCTCCCCTCGGCGGGGTCCCCCGCCCCTGCCTTAGCATCGCGAGGATCTCCTCGATCTCGGTCGCTCCCCCTTCGTCCATGGCCCGCTCCGACGGTGGCACTACCTGCGCCGTCCGCGTCCTCTCCCGCGCCGACGGCTCGTTTCGCTCTAGCCGCTCGCACACCACCGGCGGCACCCCGTGCGGCGGCGCCCCCCAGCTCGCCATCTCCGCCGTGTCGATCTCGACCTCGCCGTAGAGCGGATTGTTCTCTTTAAGCCAGGCCAGCGCCCTCTCCACCGCCGACCGCCTTAACGACAGCAGGCCCGATAGGTCCCGCGGCCCAGGTCTCTCGGCGCCCTGCCACGAGACGTGGATCTCGTCCATGACCCGCAGCAGCGGGTGTGGCAGCACGTTAGCGGCTAGGCCCTGCACGTCGTTTGGGAACACGGTAATGTGGCCCTTGACGTGCCTTGGGTACCTTACGCTCTGCCTCTGGCCGCCGGGGATGCTGTACTTCGTCACGAAGCCGTAGCACGAGTTGAGCGAGATGAGCTTCTCCTCGAGCGGCGTAAGGTCCTTCAGCTCGTCGGGGTACGCGTGCTCGCAGCCGAGCCGCCCGTGGAGGTGCATGGCCGGCGACGCCCCCTCGCGCCCGGCCCATCGCGCGCACTCTGCGCAGACCGGCACCGGCCTGCCCCCCGGGAAGCAGGTTCGGCACCCGAACGGGGGCCGCCCGCCTCCCGCAACACTGCTCCGCGACCACCCCTCCCACGCCGTCTCCCTCAGCTCCCCCTTGGCCCGCTTCCGGTAGCATAGCGTGCAGGTCGCGATCGGCAGCGTGCCTGCGTCGTGGAACGCCCGGTAGAACCTCCGCACCGTCCTCACCTGCCTCTCGCGCGGCACCGGCGCGCACCACGTCTGCTCCTTGGCCAGCCTCTCGCCCGCCTCGAACTCCTCGTCGAGGTGCCGTAGCGCGCTGGCTAGGTCCTCGGCCTGCAGCTCCCTTCGTCTTGGCATCTTTTCACCCACCCTGGCGCGTTTCCGCCCGGCCTGCCCACTACCAAGATGGCGTTTCCTCTTCTGCTCTTCTCTCGCCTGCCGTCTTATCGCCGCTCTGCCTGCGTCCTGTTAGCTGTCGCCGCCATACACCTTCACCTCGCTCTACGGCCGTACCTGCCGATGCGCTATCTCTGCCGCTAACATGCGGCCCGGCTGCGGCGGGAGTTGTGGCAGGAGCCTCGGCCCTACTGGCCGGCCGGGACTGGACGGCTCGCGGCGACGGGCCGGCGGCTCTCCTCTGGGGCCGGACATCCTGCGGAGCCCCCCGCCTTCCGGCCAAGGCTGAAGCCAAACCCATCCCGTTCGACGGCGGCGAAGGCCCGGCGGTCTCCACCGTCGGCAGAGACCGGATTTCTCTTGGTGCGCGCTGGCCTTTCCCTGAGGCCGAGACGGCGCTGGGCCCGCCTAGCGGCAGCCAGTGCCCCGCCGCCCTCGGTGTCGGCGGCAGCCAAGTTGCCGCCGCACTCGGTGTCGGCTGAGGCTGGATATCCCGCGGCGCGACTCGGCCTCGGTCTTCCCCGCCCTCGCCTCGGAGGCGCCTCCCTTGACGCCTCTTCTTGCTCTCTCCGAGAGGCGCCGCGACCGAGTGCCGGCGCTGCTGTGATCGGCCGGATCTCTGGTCCTGTGTACGGCGCTGCTCGGGCTTCTGGCGCCGGGCTTGCCCTGTCACCCGCTCCGGACTGGACCCTCCCGTTAGCTGGCTTCATCGCGACACCGGTCTACCGAGGCCCCGCGGACCTCTTGTCTTCCTCGCTTGCGCTGCCTCTCCGGCCCCGCCTACTTGCGGTGCTACTGGGCTCCCGGCGTAAATCCTCATAAGTGTAAGTGTAATAACGGCGTATAAGTCCTTGCCTCGACCATTCATCCTGCACTTGTCTTGCTGACTGGCACCCTCCTGTGCGTACAGGATCCTCTAGGAAAGTCTATATATCTTACTCGTAGCTCTCTAGTACGTCTACAGGCGTGCCGCTGCTCTTTACATTATACCGGCGCCGCCTTTCTATCGAGCCCGCCCGCTATTGCCCGCCGCTAAAGGCGGCGGGCTATACGGCCTCGGCCGGTCCTTACATGTAGGTCGCCAAGACAACTTCTTCTTGCCTGTGCTTTGCATGGTACACTTTTCCGTCTTGTCATCTAGGTCTTGTCGGTCAAAGCCTCAGTACGCCCCTAGACGCTCGCCTGCTGAATTTTGAACCCATGTCTTACACGTGTTGCGAATAAGTCTGCCTCCTTCTCCTCGAACATAGCTTCGCGCGTCCTGCTTGTCTTAAAACCCTCTACGTCTTACTAGACCGCCTTTCGAAGTTTCCTCTTCTCCTCTTGTCGCATTTTTCTGTATACACATCTTATAGACCTACTTTATATAGGCTCCTTATCTTAGCCTACCGCTAACGCTACGTTGCGTCTTCGTTTAGTATCCTTTGACTTCTCTTATACACCACGGCCACCAGCCCTTCCCTACTACACTAAACTCTTAAGACGGCATATTGGTAGGGAGCACTCCTGCCCCTATTCCTCGCCGCTTATAGCTTCGCTCCGGCAACGTTGCTCTTCCACTACACGGCCTCGCCATGTCTTCGTCTCCGTCGGCGGACAGCTCTGCCCCGCACCTCCGCAAGCCCCTTGTCACTAGCAAGGGCGCGGGCGGCGACATGTCCATGATGTTCTTCGCCCAGCCTGACTGCCCCGCGAGGTTTGCCCACCAGGACGAGCACCGCATCAGAGGCCTTAACGCCGAAGCCATCGCCCGAGTCCTCCTGCCGGTGCCCTCGTGGCTGCTAGAGTCGGAGTATGCACCCCTCCGGGCCGAGGGCGACGATCTAGGGCCCTCCCTCTTCTTTAGTCTAAACCTCTCCATCTACGGCCAGCCGGTCGTCGATACCGACTGGTCCGAGCAGTGGTTCTTTATGAGCGGCCGCGTTCACCCCTACGCCCTCTCCTGGGAGGTGGAGCGCCGCGACGGGCTCGAGGCCGGCCCGGACGATACTATTCTCTATACCGTGCCCGCCCTTATTGTCCGCGACCAAGGTTACCAGCCGTGGGCCCCCCTCCCCTTTTCATTTTAATGCGCCTCCTCACCCACCGCCCCGCTGACTTTGCCCCCTAGCGTCCTGCCGCGCTCCTTGGCCTCTAGCGGCCAGTTCCCGTCTACGCCTCCCGTTGTCTCCTTCCATGGCGTCGTAGCCGGCCCGGCCTCGACCTCCTGCGTCGAGATTTCCTGCCCAATCTCGGGCCCGACCAGCTCCGCTGCTGCGGCTTCGTCCGGCTCACGACCTACATCGCCCTGGCCTGCCGGACAGGATTCCATTTAAGGGCTACCACCCCTTCGAGGTCTTTGTTATCTTTCCCGTCTACGTTAACCCTTGGGCCGTGCTATGCAAGAAAATCGCTGAAAAGCCTAACTCTTCCTTCCTGCCCGGCGTCCCCTTTACCTGCACCGGAAAGGTCGTCGGCCTTCTCGACCACCGCGTTATGCTCTCCCCCCCGGGCTCGGAGCGCGATTACGTCTTTATCATCGTCCCGGACAGCTGGACCTTTGTCGATCGGCCCTCGGCGGCGGCGGCCGCCGCCTCGGCTTCCCCCCTCGCTACGCCCTTTAGGCGTCAGACCCAATCCGCCTCCTCTACCTTCGATTCTGTCCGTGCCGCCTTGTACTCTGTTGCCGCGCCAGCCTCGACCGCGCCGCCCCCCCTTTCCTCGGCCCCGGCCCCGCCAGCCCTCGACCCCGTCACGCCGCCGCCTAAGCGATCGCCCCCGGCCCTGGCCGATACGCCCATGAAGAGGGCGCGCTTCCTGCAGCAGCAGTATTCGCCGCTTTCCTCGTCTTCGAACACCGTCGGCTCCGCCGCCCTCCTCCTCTCCTCCGCCGGCCGCTTTTCCGTCTCGACCGGACGGCGCCCCACCTGTTCCCGCCCGACGGCCAGCCCGGATTCCTCTCAACTCTATCGTCGCGAGCACCTCCGACCCGCCCGCACGCCCTCTTCGCTATCGCATGCAGAAATAAGCTACCTACTATAGACCCATCGCTCTCTTAAGCCTCCTACCTTTACTAAAACGAACTGTTCTCCTCCCGGGTGCTGCTCCTAACGCAAATTGTCGCTCTAGAATTACTATTACTCTGCACATTACAGCGTTTGTCCCTTTTAGGACAGTTTTAGCTTCCGAACCCGTTTCTTACGAAAGTGCCTGCCTCTAGACGTTCTCCGTGACCTCATTTGTGTCCTGTGCGTTGCGCTTCGCCCCTTCTCTTTTCCTTGCCAGCTTGCCGCCGCACCTCTCGGCTGCATTTAGCGACGACGGGGGGCCTGTAGTTGCGCCTCGGCAAAAGGCGTCTTTGTTGCGGAAGCCGACTCCGCTTCTCGCCTATCGGTCATTGCTCTACATGGAGGATACGGTTTTCTACTATAAAATATTATATGCCGTTCCTTAGTTGTGCAAGCCATAGGGACGACGGTCGTTGAAGTCGGCGGGTTCTACAAAGGCCGTTGCGGCGTTTGAGGCTGGCCGTAAGGCCGCCTCGACGGCGTTGCTTGCCCCTCACTAGCTCCTAGCTTGCCTTTGGCTTGCATCCCTTCTTGTGTACCTTCCAGTCCTCCTTTTGGTGTTGCCTGCTGCAATACGCGACCGCCAGGCATCGGCTGCACCTCCTCGCCCCGCCATCTCTCCACAAACCCGGCAGACCTTCCTCTGTGCTCTGTGCATCCTGCCCTTGCATTTGCTTTGCGCCCATACTTCCGTCCGCCTGCCCCGCCTCTGCCATCGTGTCCTGCATTTCCTGCCTCGCCCTTATTTCGCATCCTTCTTGGCCGCAGAATGACGACACGACCACGAGCACAAACGGCCTCTCTGCATGTAGGTACGATATCGGGCTCTGTAGAATCTCCTTTGCGAGTCCGCCGCAGCTCTCGCAGCGCACCCCTGCTGCTTTCCGACACGCTGCCTCGTGCTCCCGTAGGATCGGCCTTATCCACTGTAGGAACCGTGCGCTGCCTTCGTGGTTCGGCCTCGCCTGGCCTACCTGCGTCACGAGCGTCTTCGGGATGCTATGCTTGTACTTGAGCTCCGTGGCCCCGAATTCGCACCAGAACTCCACGGAAACGTTGCAAGTGGCCATGCTGTAGTTGTTTTCCTAACTGCTCGATCGGTAGCTAGGGTAGACGCTTCTGCTCTTGTTCTCCTATTCGTGCCTTGGTGCCTCTCTTATACTCCCTTCCTCTCTCTTACCCCGCAACCGTTATCATCACTGTATTTGCCTTCTTGCTTTTTCTCCCTCTTCCCGCTGCGGGATGGTGCCCGAATGGCCAATTTATTTGCCTACCTTCTTGCATGCATTAGTTCCTGGCGCTACCGCCTGCTTGCGTTCTTTGCTCTCGCCCTCTGTCTTCGTCTTGTTTGTCTCAATCCTCAGTCTTCGTTCCTCAAGGCTTTTTGCGCAACCCATGAGGGGTTGCCTTACCTGTACATTAATCAGAATAAGTGCCTTGAGGAACGAAAGGCCTTCTAACGTGCCCCGCAGACCCCGCCCTCTCCCCCCAAAAGTTCTCCGCCCCTTGATTGGTCCCTTGTGATTGGTCCCTCCTTGCCTCCCTCCTCGTTGGTCGCTGCCCTTCCCGGCTTCTGTTGCCTTTTCGCGTGCCTTATCCCACCACTAGGCGCCTCCCACCCTGTCTGCCGCCTGCCGACTCTTCCCGCCTGCCGAACTCTTCATCGCGTCACCTAGCGCGGCCGCCTTGACTCTTCAGCATCACCGTCCAGCCAGCGCAACGCCTCCTCAACGGTCCTCTCGCTCAGTACCTCGAGCCTGGCCTGTGCGGCAGTCATCTCCTCGGGGACCCGGTTGCCCACCAAGTCTCTGTCCCGCACCTTGGACACGAGCATGATGCCGTCTAGAGTTCGGCAGCGCGATAGCTGCACGTACAGGCCGTACGGGTCGCACTGCGAGGGCACCACCGTTCCATCCATCTTCGTCGTCCGTGTCCTCGCAGCTCGAGGCCACGCGCTCCAGCGTTTTGCCCTGCACCTTGTAGTCCGTGCACGCGAACGCTGCTGCGCACGGCAAACCCTTTCGGCTGACGTCGTTGCGTTGCCACGGGCCTTTTCCCCGGCACCGCATCTTAACGGACAAAGGTGTCAACAAGATCGTGCCCGGCGGCATCCCGACGAAGTGGAGATATCTCGTCGTCTCCGATTCGAGAATGACCCCGCCGGCGGCCCGAAGTGGATCGTCATATCGGCCGAGATCCGATGCCCCGGGTACGCCTTGTCGACAATGACCTCCACCGCCGAGTAGCTCGCGCCGTTCACTAGCTTCAGCCCCTGGTGGGTGTTGTGGTTCACGACGATGGGCATCCCGGCCACGAACATGAAGACGGCCGGCACCGGGATCGCGCTATCGTCGCCCTGGTTGAGTATCATGATCGCCTCTTCCTCCGTCGGCAGCTCCTCCTTCCACTTGTGCTCGGAGATGAAAATGCGCATCGTCGACCGCTGCTGGACCCGGAACGCCAGGCTCGCCTCCATGTTCAGGTTCCACCGATTCCTATTGAGCGGCGTCACCACGGTGATGCCCGTCTCCCAAGGGATCCGCCTTCCCGGTAGCACCTTGAGTTGAGGAGGTTTAGATCCGTCCGATCCTGCACGCCTAGACGGATCCGCTTCAGCAGCCTCTGCAGCTCCGGGTCGCCGGCGGCGCGCATTTGCTCGTCCAGCATGACGACCGTCGTGAACCTCTTCCACAGTGCGTGCGCTTTGTCGTGCTGGTGACGCTGCTCGGCCTTGAACGAGTTGTCTACGTCCCACGAGATGGCCGCGCTAGGCAGGACGATCGACCTCTCTGGACCGGCCGGAACTGCTGAAAATCTCCGCAGAAGAGGACGATGGGGATCCCCCCGAAATCTTGCCGCGATCCGCGAAGCCGGCGAAGCCGCTCGTTCACGGCGTGCAGCGTCCGCGCCCCGAGCATGCTCACCTCGTCGATGACGAGCACATCCTTCTCCTGCCAATCCATTCGAGACTGGCCGTGGATGAACCGCTCCGCCTGTTTCGGCAGCCGCACCCGTCAAGGTCTTTGACCATGTTCGCGCCCCCTCCCTTGGTCTTTAGTGAACCCGCAGGCGGAGTGGATCGTGATGCCGTTGATCCGCGCCGCCGCAGTCCCCGACGTCGCCGTGATCAGCAGACGATTCGAAAGGCTCTTTTACTGAACAGCTCGACGAGTGCCTCGATGATTCGCGACTTGCCGGTACCGCCCTCGCCACCGACGAACTGGCGCAGCTGGCAGGCATCGCCCCGTCGGTCTGCTGCATCAAATCGAGCTGGCGGCATATTATCAGAAAAGCGATGGACTGCCTCTTGTTCAGCGTCAGCCGTGTTGCCAACACCTTGCCCGCCGCGAGGAAGGAGGTTGATGGGCCAAACTGAACGTCCATTCCCGCCCCTGCGTCGATAGCGGTCTCGTCGGAGTCGGCCATCGTCATTTCGACCTCGTCCTCCCGAAACCGGTCATCACCCTTCGCAACGCTGCGCGGCGATCGCTTTCCCAGGCGGCGGGCGTGCTTTGTATCCCTTGGATCATCCTCTCCTCTCCTTCGAGGCACTTACCTGCTGCGACTTGATAGCCTTGACCTGATCCTGCGGCGGTAGTGCGGCCCGGAAAATACCCGCCCTGGCATGCTTAACCGCCTCTCCCTCGTTCGATCAGCGCCGTGGCCTCGAGCTCGGCCGTCGAGCGCAGCGCCGATTGCTGAAACCGACAGAGCTGCTGTATCATTGCCATGAGCTCCGGCGACTTGGCCGTCACCTGATTCGCTCCCACTGCACCTCGGACGACGTCGATGAGCCGCGTTGCGTCTCCGATGCTGTTGGGCTGATATGTCGCTGCAGACTCCGCGCCCGCCTCGCCTGCTCCACCCTCCTCGACGTGTGCGACCGTCGGGTCGCCATCGCCGGACGAGGCTGCCCATTGCTTGGCGTCGCGTTTTGCGTCTTCGGCGGATCGTCGAAGCAGCTGCACGTTGTCGACCAGACATGATATTCTCGGGGCCATAGCGTCTCGAGCCCGCGCCCAGATGCTGTTGATCTCACCTGTTCCTTCGCCCAGGAAGGACTCCCACGGCACGAACAGCGCAAGATGCTGCACGGCTGCCCTTCAGGGGGTGGGTTAGCCTCTCCGATAATGCCCGCTGACAGAGCAGTTGCCATACACACCTCCGGTAGCACGACTCGTCATCGTAGGTGAAGTCCTTGCTCAGGTAGCCGTCGAGGCAGACGGTAGCGTGCTTGCCCGGCCGCCTGAGCACCTGAACCCAGCGTCGTCCCGGCGCCCATCCATCCTCGAAAGACATCTCCCCAAGCCGCCCAGCTCTCGTCGTTGCCGATGCGTTTCAGTCTGACGATCGATATGTAGTCATACAGGCATAGGCCTTTCAGCAGCTCTCCCGGTGCTGGTACGCCTCGACGTGGGAGATTCTCAGGCCTTCTTCTTCGACGACGACCGACTCATCCAAGGTGTCATCCGTAGCCGCAGCGCCACTGGCTTCTCGGAGATGCCGCCATCGCCGAAAGACTTCCCAGTACAGCAGAGAACAGTTCAGGTACGCCCACGCGCTGCTGTCGGTGAACTCGGCCGGATATCCGAGAAGGTGAGCGACGACCTCGACCTGTGATAGCGGACGCTCCGTGAACACGCGGTTCGCCACTCTCATCAGGAACTGTCGCGTCCTGTTCCCTTGACAGGGTCATCGGTGGCAGCGTCTCCGCCACCGTCCCGCCCTCCGTTTGCCGTGCCATCACCTGTTGAGGCGGCCAGGAGCTCGGCCGCGGCCGCCACACGCTTCCACACCGGGTCCTCCACCTTGGTCGCGTAGTTCGTGACATAATAGATGAGGGCCATTGTCTTGCGCTGCGTCGCAATGAAGGAAATATCATGGTTGTGCCGGAGCCCGACAGCAATAGCCTCGTTCCATCGATTGACCATGCTGTGTGTCCTCCGGATCTGCAGCACCCCGTCTGCCGTGAGGGCGGTCTTGTCGACTAACCTCCATGGCGCCTTGAACCGGCAGAGGTCCCCTTCCGCCCTCCTTTGCCCAAGGAATACTTCACACAGGTCGGGCTATGCGTGTGCACCTGCGTCGCGCCGGCACAGAAGTTGGCCTCCTCGATAAACGCGGCCGAGAACTGCGCGGCGTTGTCCAGCAGGGAACCAATACCGCCCGTCACAGATCGCTCCGCTTGCACGGCGCAAAACTTTCCTGGTCCAGATCCTGCCTTGCACGTCAACCCGGCCCCACTTGGCCATCAGAAGAGTACTTCAGGCTCCCGGTGGCACATCTTAGGTAGGCATTCTTACCTCTGAGAAGACGCTATCGATGTATCGGACGATTCGCTCGCGATACGCCGCCTGATCCTCCCCGTGGATGTCGGCAAGCATCGAGCTGAGATGCGCGTTCCCGTGCAGCCAGAGCAAGCCGTGAACATGAAGCGCCCCTCGTTCGTTCGTCTCCACGGCGCCATAGTACTTGCCGATGCGCCCGAATACCGACTCTTCACCGACCTTCACGTAATGATCGAAGAACAGCTTCATCTCGCGGTGGAAGAACACGGCCGAGCTCATGGGATCCGATATCGCCAGCCGTGCCCGCTTATACGCATCCCCAAGGCCTTCTAAGAACTCCTCGGCCGCGTCGGGATCGCGTGTGCGGTATGCCGCCAGTCGCAGCTTCACCGGGTTCGTAATGTCGTTCGGGTTGATGGTGAACCAGATGGCCGGCACGCCATATCCGACGATGAGCGACTGGATTTTCCGCCGCATATTGAGACGGACCTCTCGACATGGGCTGCCGGTGGCCGTAAAGCGAGAGGCTCCTGAGAAGCTCCTTCACGTCACCATCGGTCGTCTTACCCGAGCTCTCCAACTCGACCCTCGCCGCCGCTAGCCTTTCTGTGGTCATCGAACGCACGATGCGCTCTACCTTGCGGAAGTTCTTCCTCCCACACTCAACATGCTGACCCGGCGGTTCCTCGACCGCACCCCATGTTGAAGACGAGAAATGCGAAGATGTGGTGCAGTGCAAATCGACCACCATGGCGCCGGAGCACGATCTCGGCCCACGCCTGAAGGTTCAAGCTTCGAGACGATACGGGGTCTCCGCGGCCGCCTCTGCCTCGACAGCCCTGCCTCGCAAGTTGGCCGTGACCTTCCCGCGTCGACCATGGTCTCTTCAACCAGCCTTGGTCCCCAACGCCAAATGGGAACAGGGTCGGGAACGTCCTGGCAAAGAAGGACGCCTCAAAGGAATCGGTAAACTCACCCCGCGAAACCCGGATGTATGGCTCACAACCACCGTCGCCACGCCCCGAACCCCGGCTAGGGACCCGACCCACGCTCTCGGCCCGCACGGCCGTCGTCGGCACCTTCACCAACAGCGTCACAGGCAAACTGCAGCTTCTCCACGTCCGCGACGTCTGGCGGTCCGTCGAGCGCGAACATGCCAGAAGACGTCACCTCGTTGATCGCTGGAACGTTCTGGTCGGGGCAGGCGTCACTTCCATCGCGAACCGCGCCTTCTCCGTTGGGCCCGTGACCTTCACCCTGGCCGCCGGCTTCTTGTCCTTGGTTGAGCAGGGCGAAGAGCTCCTCGATCTCCACCGGCCCCTCCTCGTCCACGGCGCGTTCCGTGGGCGGCACAACGTGCGCCGTCCGCGCTTTCTCCCACCCAGACGGCTCGTTCCGCTCCATACGATCGCACACCGACGACGGTACCCCGTGTATCGAGTCTCCCAGACAGTGCTTGCAAAGGGGTGCGGGAGCACTTTGGGCCAGCTCCTGCACATTGTTCGGAAACACTGTGATGTGGCCCCTGACATGCCTCGGATACTTCACGCTCTGTCTCTGCCCGCCCGGAATGCTATATCTCGTGACAAACCCGTAACATGAGTTCAGCGAGATGAGCTTCTCTTCGACCGGCGTCAGTCCCTTGAGCTCATCGGGGAACATGTGCTCGCAGCCAAGGCGACTGTGAAGGTGGATCGCCGGCGACAGGCTCCTGCGCGCCAGGCATCGGCCACACTCGGCGCACACCGACACGGACTCGCCCTCAGGAAAGCAACTCCGGCATGAAAATGGTGAGCGGCCGCCCTTTGGTACGCAACTTGACAGCCAATGATCCCATGTAATCTCCTCAACTCTCTCTCGTACACTTGCGGTAGCACACCATGCAGGTCCGTATCGGCAACGTGCTCGCATCGTGGAACGCCTGATAGAAGTCTCGCACCGTCGACACCTTCCTCTCGAGCGGTATTGGCGTGCACCACGTCTGATCGTTAGACAATCTCTCCTTCAAGGCAAAGTCTTCCTCCAAAAAGCGCAGCACACTCGCCAGGTCTTCGGCCTGCAGCTCCCGTCTCCTATGCCTTCCGATTCCACTTCGGACCTGTTTTATCGGGCGCCCATCCCGGCTAGGAAGACGGGCTCTCTTCTCCCGCCTCCGGGACTGCCTCTGTCCGCGCAGCGAGCCGTCCGCTGCCTCTGCTGCGCCATCGTCCACACCCACCTGTGCCCTTGGCCGCCGAACCGGTCCCCGACGGAGCTTGGGCAAACCCCATGCAATCGATGCTGCAAATTGCGCCGTTCGTCTTAGGTCTTGGAAAGTCGTATCCTTGGGCTGGATAGGTCGGAGCGTCGGTCCCCTTTCGAACGAACACCCGGGACACCGCCGGTCGCCGCCTTATCTCCCTGCCCGTCACCTTCAGGACCCCTCTCCTGGGGCAAAACGGCCGATGAAGGGCGGACTGTCAGAGCCCACTGCCCCCTGGTCTCCACGTTCTGTAGGCAACACGAACCTCGGAAGCGGACTCGGTGACTGACGTTGCGCGGAATTTCCGCTGCTGACCAAATTACGGGACTTCCGTGCTCTGCTTGACCGCAAACCGCCTCGCGGCGGTCTTCTCGGCAGTGACTTTGCGATCGCCCTGCATGCTTTCTCCATGCGGTTTCTTCGACCGCAGACTGCTTAGGCTGAATCAGCCGGAACGTTAATGCTTCATTCGCCACTGATCTGTATCTCCCGAACCGCCCCAACCTTGTCTCCCGTGCTCCGTGCCCCTCTCGGAGTTGCCCTGTATCATCTCCGCACCCCGAAACAGGCACTCCCCGTTCCTACCCTCTTCTCCATCCTCGACTGACAACGAACAGGCTCCACGGTGAGCGGCCGCCTCGCCTAGCTTCCTGCAGGACTGTCCGCCATGCTACTGCCTCCTCGACGTCGACTAGCGTGGATTGGCAACAGGCTAGAAAGTTTTGGCTCCGGAGCACTTCCACTTGGATAATCTCGCTTCTTGGCGTACACTATTTCTTTCCGAGTGGAAGCTTCCTAACGATCACTACTCTCATGGCCGTGGCATTTCTTCCCTTATAATGCTTGCCTATGGTACCGAAGCGATGCAATACTACTACCCTTTGTAATCCCCATTTACCCTCCCTATGTGCGTCCACCGTCCCGACCCTCGGCTGGTCTCCACGTGCGACCTGCTACCCCAGCTTTGCCAAAGGCGGCCCTTCCATCGCCGTGCTCTCTTTGCGCACTCCAGCCAATCCCTGGCTACTGCCGACCTCCGGCACATGGGGTGGCCGCGCCAACCGCCCGCCGCACACTTCCAACCATACTCTCCGGCCCTTCCAACGCCGTCCCACCCACCTTGCGCATCAGTTGCTCCATCAATATCTGCCACTCCACCTCGTCGAGCAACAGCCAAAAGGCTGCCGGCGATAACATGTCCACGGTGTCCTCGTGCAACCGGACTACCCGGCTAGGTTTGCTCCTCGCCACCACCAACGTCGCATCAACGGCCTTCATGCTAAAGCGACAGCCAGGATCCCCCTGCCTGTCCTCTTGTAGTCGCTAGCCACCGGAGTCTCGACTTGCAAACCCTCTTGGAGAGTTCTCGTGACCAACTCGCATCCTCCTCCTCAGCTCGTCCCCTATATCCGACTTCACCGTGTCCCAATAGTGGACTCGACACGGTCGGCACCCGCCTCGCTCAGCCGCACGCAATGCCCATCCAACTACCGACGACCGTCAAAGGGACCCTGCAATACTACCATAACCTCTTTCTTTCCTTCACTCTCATTCGTTATTGTCGCCTTTGCTATCTACTCCATGCAACGATGACACCGAAGGGTACTGCTGGACTTTCTTTCTCCGCAGACTTACCCACACTAACCTTACCGTTCGCCGACCTCCAACTTCTCGCGACATAGCCATCACCCCTACTCAACTTCCAACCCCCGGCTCCCTACTTCACTCACGACCATAGAACCAGATGGTCGAGACTGTTCAAGAACCTCGCCAGCTCATTCCCGCATACCCCCGCTTCTAATCTATCACCTAGGTAGCATTCTCTGACTCTTAAGTCTCCCCGACCCTAGCCGCGAGCCCTCTTTCGAGCAGCAAGAAAACCTGCTTTATAGGATGCCCACCTCCACTCTGCGTAACCCCTCATTTACACTTCCACGGTGACTACATCTGCCATGTTCTCACGATGTCGGCCTCCCAGCTCAACGTCGATACCTCGTCCTCCCCGCGGCAACCTCTTGACAGCCAGAAAATGCTGGCGCCGACATGTCCATGATGGCCTTTGTCCAGCCCGGCTGCCCGTCTAGGTTCGCCTACCAGAATGAGCATCGTGTCAAAGGGCTCAACGCAGAAACCCTAGCGAGGGTCTTCCTTCCACGCCCTCATGGCTGTCGACTCCGGGTATGCAGCAATCCGGTCAGATACTGGCAATCCATCGACCTGCATCTTCTTCAGCCTTAATATTTCCATATACAACCAACAGATAATCTCCTCGGAATGGACCGAGCAATGGTTCTTCATGGTCGGCCGTGTTCATCCCTTTGCCCTGACGTGGGAAATCGAGCGACGTGATGGCTTGGAGTCGGACGATGATAACATCACAGAATACACCGTCCCCGCGCTTATAGTCCGCGATCACAGCTACCAACCGTGAGTCTATGCTCCAAATCTCTGTCGCCACTGCCCTCCCTGACGATATCCATAGAATTGTCACTCGCACCTCAGCTCGGTGGATACTTTCCCAACGATACAACCCATTGTCTCCTTCACGGGACCTGTCATCGGCTCCGGCCGCGACCTCCTGCATGGAAACTCGGCTGCGGCCCTGACGACACCCAGCTGAGCTGCTGCGGCTTTGTCCAGCTCTCCACCTTTATTTGTCCTGGGATTCCCGGCAAACCCCTTCAAGGGCTTTCGCCCTTCCAAGTTTTCGTCATCTTCCCATTCACGCTAATCCTTGACCTCCCTATGCAAGAAGATGACCGAGAGGCGCGACAGCCAGTTCCAGTCGAACGCTCTCTTCACCTGTACGGGCAAAATCGCCGGCTTACTGGATCACCAGATCATGAAACATGCCCCGGCTTTCGACCAAGACTATATCTTCATCGTCGTCCCCGACACGTGGACTTTCCACGACAAGGCCATGTCCGACCAGGCTTCTGCAACACAACTACTGCCGACGACACCCAAGAGCGCGGTCGGCAATCCCTCGGACTATAGCGTTGCGTTGGCCAGGTTTACCTCTACGAAGAAACCCAAGGCCGCCCAAAGCCCCGCCTCCCCCACGCCGCATGCTTCTGGCCCAGTCGATCCTTATGCTGGCATCAAGTCGGTCAATGCCCGATCCCTACCAAACCCCAACCAAGAGACCGCGACTTTCTCCCGAAACTTCCACCATAATCACAGACTGTGACGGTCAAGACTCCCAAATCCGATACCTCCTCCTTTCTGTCCCCGGAAGACCCCGCAGAGTCAGAGACGGACACCGAACAGGTCAATCACCAAGACACATCCGCCTCTGGCTCTATCAGACCTCCCGCGTCGATATCTTCCCGACCACTGCGCGCCCGACGTCCGCCCAAGAATATTCTCTAAACTTTAAAGCTTCAAACGAAACAATACAACATGACAACATGTCTCATCATCCTCAAAATCAACTGCCAAAGGCTCGAATAGCACATTCTCTTCTCTTCTTGTTCTCCTTTTCATGAAGACGATCAAGTCAAAACTTCCCCAATATACTCCTTATTCTGTTTATACCTACGACTTATACCGGTAGCACATGTAAATTTTCCGAGCCTTCCACTCGCCCAGACATGCATTACCCACTCACATCTCTCTTCAACCCTGCCGTCTCTCCACGCCCTTTGAGTTTGCGCCTTTTTAAACCAAAATTTCCTCCAGCGGCCTAGCCTGCCTTCCCGACGCTCTGTCTCGGTTTCACTCACGATAATGCTCTACGTCTCTCGCCGTGTCTCGTATCTCGACCTCACTCTTCTTCCTGTCTCCTATCTACTGTCGCCAACTCTCTCTTCTGTAGCCAACTCTTCTCCGGTTCTCTTGTCGCCAAATTTCGTTCCGAAAGGCTTCTTTGCGCGAGCCGCGGCTGGCGAGCCTTCCTCTCGTTTTACGTTCCATAACCGCACAACGGGTAAAGTACGTCGATTCTAAGCAATGTAATTGGCCAATTTCGCACCGGTCCAGGGTAGTCATCTCCTCTTAATTATTGACATCAAGTACTTGACAACTTGACACTCTTGCAACTTGATTGATTGACGACAGCTATTAAACTTGACTTGAGAACTTGACTTGATGGGAAGTCAAACTTGATTGAGACTTGTCAAGTTCGAGCTTGATTGTTAGCCACACTGATTCTGTCCAACACTCGCACTGACTATTCGACAATTTTCGCGACTCTGGAGTATCCCTTTTTCACATATCCATCAATGGTCACATCAACGTGTTTTACATATGCTCCTAATTTCACTGGGCTGTTCATTAAGGCACTCCCTATCCGAGAATATATTTTTTAACACTCAGATGCGTGTATCTTGTGGAAAACTCTGGTATGTGGAGAGCTAAGACTTTGGCGAAATCATCATCCCAGCCACTCTTCCACCCTATAGCCTACGAACCGTAGAGAAATTCCGTTCAAATTGTGTATGATTCTATTGAGCGTGGCGTAATGCTTTCCTCGGCCAGGTTTTATCTTTCTATCGTGTTGTAGGACACGCGTTGTGTTCATCTTGACTCACGCCCAAAATCATTGACGTCGAAGCCACGATAAGTTCCTCTCGCATCTAGGCTCTTTCATCGGCAGGCTGAACCTGCAGTCGCATTCGCGGCCCGAGCTCGCACTCGCCATCAAATTATCAGCCACGTCAGGTGGGGAGCTCTTGGCCGTCATTGACAGTGTCTGCGCATACAACAGCTCGAGCCTCAACGCCCTCGGTCATGTCCGGGTGGCCATGTTTGAGCGGATCAAGACCATGGTGCTGTCCGCCCGCGACATTTTGGGTCACTCGACCACGGAGGATGGCTCGGACCTCATCATGCCCAACGACAACGCTACGCTGCTCATGGCGGCCACAGGCTGCGTGCGGGCCGCCGGTGAATGCGTTGCCCAGGCCAAGGCGGCCGTCGAGAGGGTGGGGAACTTCGAGTTTGAGCTGGGCGAGAACACCCTGGGAATCGATTTGAGCGTCCTCGATGCCGTCATGCAGGAGCGAACCAGGACCCCGTCGGTCACGGGCCGGTCCGATGCCACCAGCCCTGCCGAGTCTTGCAACGCTGCTGAGCCGCCGCAGCCGAGGCGGCGGACACTCGGCGCGGTCGACAAGCCGCTGCCTCGGGTTCCCAAGCGCAGCCTCCCCACGGAGCAGCATCATCCGCCGAGCCGCGCTCCCGGTTCTTCCCGGCGGCGTCGGTTCACGATAACAACGTTTCGAGCGCAGCGTCGTCCATCTCGTCGGCCCGACCCGCCCCCGGTCCTCGGACTGCGGGCTCCACCGCTCCCTATCCCGCCGATCGCATGTCGGGCGCTGATGCCTTGAGGAGCGAGCAAGAAATGCACTCGCGATTCGATGTCCTCGCGGCCTCGAGTGCTGGGAGCACCGCGACGTACCTGAGCCGAGACTCGAAAGCCAGTCTTGTCTTGCAGACGTCGACGAGGGCCACCACGCCGGATCATGGCCTGGGGCCGCGCAGCCAGCCGTCCATGTCGGAACTGAGCATGACGGGCAGCTTCTCGCAAGCCGAAGAGGCCGATGATGTCGAAACAAGGCTCGTCGAGAGAACCTATGCGCACGAACTGATGTTCAACAAGGAGGGCCAGGTCACCGGCGGCTCCTTGCCAGCGCTGGTTGAGCGGCTCACTACCCACGAGTCCACGCCCGATGCTGCCTTTGTCTCCACCTTTTACCTCACCTTTCGGCTCTTCTGCACGCCGGTCAAGCTGACACAGACCCTCATCGAACGCTTCGAATACGTGGGCGAATCCCCTCACATGTCGGCACCCGTCCGCCTCCGAGTGTACAACGCCTTCAAGGGCTGGCTCGAGTCTCACTGGAGGGAGCAGACCGACCGGGCGGCGCTGAAACTCATCATTTCTTTTGCCGAGGAGAGACTTGGCGCCGTGCTCCCTACGGCCGGGCCCCGGCTCCTCGAGCTGGCCAAGCGAGTTTCCGAACATGGCTTGCTGGTACCCCGGCTGGTGTCGTCGATGGGCAAGACAAACACGGCCATTGCCCAGTATGTGCCCGCGGACACGCCGCTACCCCAGCCGGTCATCTCCAAAAGCCAGCTGCACACGCTGAACTCCTTCAAGGCGGGGGGCAGCACGCCGACTCTACTGGACTTTGAGCCCCTGGAGCTGGCCCGCCAGCTGATTATCAGGCAGATGGCCATATTCTGCTCCATTCTGCCGGAAGAGCTGCTTGCCTCACAGTGGATGAAGAACGGCGGAGCCGAAGCGCGGAACGTCAAAGCCATGTCGTCTCTGTCGACGGACCTGTCCAACCTGGTGGCCGAGACGATTCTCCAGCACCACGAGATCAAGAAGCGCGCGGCCGTCATTAAGCAGTGGATCAAGATTGCCCACCACTGCCTGGAGCTCCACAACTACGACGGCCTGATAGCCATAGTCTGCAGCCTCAACAGCAGCACCATCAGCCGCCTGCGCAAGACTTGGGATTCCATCTCGTTCAAGCATAAGGAGATGCTGCGTGCCATGCAGGAAATCGTTGAGCCGTCGCAGAACCACAAGGTGCTGCGGACGCGGCTGCACGACCACGTCCCGCCATGCCTCCCTTCTCGGCATGTACTTGACCGACCTGACTTTTGTCGACATCGGCAACCCTGCCACCAAGCAGATGTTGCTGGGCACCGAGCCCGATGACGCGGGCGCTGGCGGCTTAACCGTTGTCAACTTTGACAAGCACTGCCGAACCGCCAAGATTATCGGGGAGCTTCAGGATTCCAAATCTCCTACCGGCTGATGGAGGTGCCCGATATGCAGGACTGGCTTGGTGCGCAGATCCGGCGGGTTCGCGACGGCGACCAAGGAAACGGGCAAGTCACGTACTATCGCAAGAGCTTGCTTTTGGAGCCGCGCGAGTCGGCTCACCGCCGAGAAAATGAGCCACCGATGCCCATTTCGACGGGATCAGGGGCTTCGTGTGCGGGTCTGTTTGCGTGGATGTCCTGCGATCGAGGTGGCCAGACCCCTACTCCGGCTTGAGGACAAACCGAAGTCCCCCGTCTCGCGAAGGAGCGAGCAAAAGTGGGCATAAACGTGGATAAAGGGACTTTTTGAAGGTCGAGTATCATACGATCAGATATTATGTTAATCGCTCTCTCCCCGGTTGCCTCCTTTCTCGTCCAAACAGCCCCTTTTATATCCCTCCAAGCTTCTCCCAAGTTGATATCCCGTTTTCAGGTATAGTATACATTCTATCAGGAAGAGGGCACTTCTTGCCACTTACTGAAGGCCACGTAAGTCATCTACGTCAGCAAACATCAGCTCCATCTCCCCGATCAAATAGCTCTTCTAGCTATGAGATCGATAGTTCAGTCTCTCGAGGTCCCCGAGCCAGTAATAGCTATGCCGGACTCCTCAAAGGGTCCCCGTTCGAATAGGAGATCCCCCGGACCCCTCAGTGGTCCAGGAAAAAGAAAGAACAGTCTGCAGACTTCCCTTCTTACCTGGTTCCAAGCTGTATTACCTAGAGAGATCTAGAGACGTCAACTCGTTCGGACCTTCTTCTCGACAGATTTTATAGAATCTTAGTCTACGAAATAAGATGGTGCGCGCTCCTGCTGAAAGATTTAGCCGTCTTTTTTTATCAATCGTGCGATAGTATGGCGCGGCCACTGGGCACTTACCTTGTACTCTGTGACTCGAGTCTGGCGGCGTTGGGCCGTTATACGCCTGAGTTCTCTTTGGGCAGGAGTTTCGGCGTAGCGAACGCTGATCCGACGCTGACCGGGCCCCACGAGAGTACCATGGAATTCACGAATAACTTCGTCGGAGACTTCACGACTGTCGAAGCTAAGATACTGTTAGCTTAAGTGACTTCGCGGCGACTAGGGGGGCGATACTTACGAAACGAACCCGTCGCCACGGCAATCCCCTCGACTATCGCGGAGGATATTGCAGGAAACACAAGTATATCCCGGGAAGAAGCCGGCAAGCTCCTACCTTTAATTAGAACTGCATTGGGGTTTTAGTTGCGCGTATACAAATACTCACAGCCTCAGTCAATTGCCGGGGGAGATTAAAGATATAAAGAGTTGTAGACGTAGGGTCGCCCTTCGCTTGATGACGCGAGTTGAACGATTCCTATCCATTATACGTCGTTAAATACTTGTGCGGTCTTTCTAACGTAGTAGCAAACTTACGCATGCAAATCCGACCTTATAGCCCATACGATAAAATGCCCGGATACATTCTTCGGCACTTCGGACCTCATAAAACTTGGCAAAGCCGCAGCTAAGCTCTATTAGCATTGGATTCTAAAGATTGACGCCGGCGGCAGCGCTGGGACACAAACCCTAAGCAAGCTCCAGTGATTCTATCAGTATATACTTTAATGGACTCAATGGACCCGAAACGCAGGGCGAACTTCTCAAGAAGCTTATCGTCCGTCGTAGGATGCAAGCCCTGGATGTAAACATTGCGGTTGTGGGGAAGTCGGTCGCCCAAGATTTGCTCCAGGCCTTGTCTCTGTTCCGAAGGGGCATAGTCAGACGATATAGCTTTTGGGATGGTTGGCTCCATTTGAATTATATCATCCAAACGCCCATGAGGAGTAGTAGAGGCAGTCGTTTCGTCCAAGTCTTCGTGACGCTTGCCGAGGCTGACCTGTGGAGTAGTTGACTTTGTGAATTGGGTTGAGGCAATACTACTATCACTCAGGATAGTCGGGGACACTCGAGCCTGTAAAATCGACATGGCGACTATGTTTATGGCCGAGGGCATTGCCACCTACCTGAGGGGCCTCTAATAAAGGGCGTCCGTTCATGTTTCCTTGGGTGACATTGGCGCTGAATGAAAGTAGTAGCAGAGGGGAATCTCGCAAGGGTTGAAATTGGAAGGAAAGGGTCAGGACGTGAATTGAGGTCTGTCTGTTCTATCTAAGAAGGTGCAAGGATCGTCCCTTATTTATAACTAAGGGTAGAAGAGTTAAAAGGGGAAAAGGGGGCATACGGCTGAAAGTGTGTCAAGTGCAAAGGGTACGTATCAAAAGTGCAACAGGCAACGAACGTTGCTATGCTGGTGGAGGCACGAATGTTAACTGTTGTCGCACCATCGCGCCTGGAATAGCCTGAGTGAGTGGCAGTGACGATCGTCTTTCCGACAACCTGATGCTAATAATCTTAATTCTACCTCAGAAGGGAGCTTGATTATGCTAAGCGAGGCCAACCAACTATTTAATCCCAGTTACCTGTGTTAGCTACAGCAAGAATAGACGATGCTGGCAAAGTGTCTTGGTTTGTTTCTGAATCATGCTCATCAAACATGTCGCTAACACCATAACGTAGGTGCTTCACCACCTTAGTGAGCCACCCCAACCCCACCCACTTTCCCGCCAGACCTAAATTCCGTGTCCCATATCACGCCCGTGTCATGTATCACAGCTCCTGAAACCTCACTGCTGCGCCGCGGCTCCGCTGCGGCTTCGCCGCAATGAGCGAGGTATATATTGTTGCACGAATGTGCATCGATCCTTTTCTTTCTTTTGTTCGTCAGATAATTCTCATCAATTGACTGATGCCACTCAGATCGCTTGGCCCAACTGCTGTCACGTGCGAGGTGTGGGACATAAGTGATTTACCCGTGATCTGCCGGATCCCGTGACTCGCCGGACTTCAACCCAGATATACGACCACACCAATCGCCTGCTAAAGCGTGGGCTGTTCTGTTAGACTTATGTGGGTACCGGCCAGGGACGTAGGGTTTGCATTGGGACCGGTTGCGAAGGCAGCAGCGCAGAAGGCCACCAAGGCAGGGAATCCCTTTATCGTCATATGCCTCGATTCATCTCGCGAAGGAGAGATCAAAAGTGGGCATTAAAGTGAATAAAGGGACTTTTCGTAGGTAGATTCCCAGATGATCTGATAGTCTGTGATGTGCATGTGTTGATTGCTCTGCCCCCGTTGCCCTTTTTCCGTCCAAACAGCGCCTTTTGTATCTGTCGGCTAGTATAGGCACCGCTGTTAGTAGGTGTAACGGGGTGGCCTCGAGTACGCACAGAGAGGGTCCGAAGGAAGGATATAATATTCTACAAAGGGGAAAAGGAAGAGTGTGCGGGTGCCGCACCCGGAGGTGCGGACCCCGCCTATATATATAACGTAATCTGTGGGAATGGTATTAGTCTAACGTAATCTACCCCCTACTCGTACAGACCCCCCACTCGGACAGAAATTCTCCACCGACCGCACCGTACAACTACACAATGTTTGCGTCACAACAACCTTCAGTTTTGCGCAAAGAACGGCTCCTCCGCGTCGTCAGGGCTTATCAACAGGCTCAATTCGAAACTATCCGAAAGGACGCAATCGCGCACTTTACGACGTCCTTCCATCCACAAAATATGATCGATTGCGCGGTGTATTACCCTGGCACGACACGCAGATGAATAGCGAAGGCATCGAAAGAGATGTCTCTTGTACAGTAGATCTTGTCATGGGTGAGTGAGGGATGCTGCCGACGGTAGCTTACACTCGCCGGACGACCAATCTATCCTTTCAGAGCGAGGTAAGATCCTGTCGGCGAGAACTGGATGCGCATTTCGTTGGCCGTCACGACTAAACCAAGGCGCAGCACTCTCGCCGATACGATCACCAACGTGCCAAATGCGAGGACCCGCAAAAAGATTCAACAATGGTACGATCGACTCGCGGCGACGAAACAAAAGTGGGGGGATTCTTGACGAGGATGTCTATAATTTTAAAGAGACCCGTGCTCAAATGGTTGTCATTGTAACGGCAACAGTCCCTACCAGGTCTGACCAGCAAGGCTTGCCTCAACCCACGCATTCTAGAAATCGCGAATAGGTTACTATACTCGAGTCTGCTGGTTGCTAAGACGGGCTTTACCAGCCAAGGTTATCTTCCAAGGCAAGCTACGCCAAGCAAGTCGGTATGAAACAGGAGTAACCCAACACTGGCATATCAGTGTTAATGAGAGAAGCTGGACTTCCGATGACTTTGCCATAGATTGGTTAAAGAAGTATCTGGTCCAAATAAACGCCGCCGCATGGTTCGTACACATCCGCATCATATTCTCGACGGGCATGGCTGTCACGTCGCGCCGGCTTTGGCAAGTCGACACATCCCATCGTAGTACTCCATATACCAGCAGACTTCTCAGACGTTTTCACCCTTCTAGTACCCTCTTCACATAGGGTATTTTCGTCGAGATCCGTCATATGACTTCATGTTATTTAGAGGCTCGCCGTCAAGCAATCTCGCCGTCAGATATCCGAAGAAATTTTGTGACCACGAGCGAATTGAAGAGCGAGTCAAGCGATGGAAAGAAAAGGACAGGAGAAGCGGGCCGAGCCACGGCGAGAAGACGAGGAGTGGGTCAACGACAGATAGAAGAGGAGGGGCCAAGGGCCCCAAGATAGCGTGCGCCACACAGACTTAGGAAATCCAGGTCCTTCAACCAACTTCCCGTACGTGTAATGGATAGTCCGAAATTGATTTACTTGCCTCTAGCAATAAATTGTCTTCCATGTGCGCAGTTTGTTGTCGTGGTGAGGTGCGAGTAGCATTGGTGGGGAATTTCTGTCCGAGTGGGGGGTCTGTACGGGTAGGGGGTAGATTACGTTATTGCACTCACCTAGCTAGCTTACGTACACAGTCACGTGTACGGCTGAGTACGGCTGAGGCCACAAAGCTAGCTTCGTGACTTCCTCTCCCTTGTAGATAGACAATCCTCATTGCATAACACGACACACCGGTATACCCTGTTTGTTACGTGCACGAAACCTACCGACACTGATCAGTGATTGACAATGGTCAGTCACAGATAAGCAAGGTAGAAGAGGCAGATACGCAATCTTCGAATGTGCTACAGATCTTTGCCCCCGCGGCCCTGTTCTGTACACCCAGAAAAGATTATCTGTGCTAAGAACAAGGTATCTCCGCTGGTTTCTCCTGCCGAGAGATTCCTTCCAAGCTATCCCTTGATCCTGTCTTCGCCCTCGAACGAGGGAAGAGCGACGTCAAGTCGATAGTGCGTCAGCAACGCATCACCCGACAAGAAGAAGGCATATCCGCTGGTCCAACCTGCCGAGAGACTCCTTCTCACCCTTGTCATACCACAAAAATCTCGATCCCTTTAATGGCAAGATCGAGCACCACTGCTGCCGACATGACACACAGCCCCTCCGCTCCGACTGCCCCCCAGACGACTCTGTCAGATCCGACAAACCCCCGAACTGTCCCTTTAACAACAGACAATATAGCAATTATACAACTATTTAAGAACACAGCTATCAAGCCAAACTTCTATAAATATGTTGACATTGCTTTTTGGGAAAAAGACGTTAAAAAGGACGAACCGAACGAGAAAGCCGTCACAATGCATGTTGCTAAGATGATATCATTTTGCGAATCCGAATATGGTATATATCTACATGGCCTTGACATGCTGGACACCTTCCAACGGATCTTCGAATGTTGGAATGAACACACATGGAAGAAAGCCCATCGGGAATACAAGAGAGCGTTACGGAACCTCCTTAGAAGGCGCGGCGTTTACACAGGCAACGACAATAGTCCCCTTGCAGTCCGATTCGCCTCACTGCAGACTGTTGACAACCTACCGACCTGGCCTGACCGGGAGTACCACGAAATGGTATTTGACAAAGCAGGAACAATGCCCTTATACCTCAAGGAAGATACCATGATGGAAATCCACCAAGAGTATGAGTACATGGAAAGATTAATGGAGGATGCAAAGATTGCAGCTAAAGCCGCCGCTAAAGCCGCTATCGAAGCACATACTGTTAATCCCTCGCTTGCTTATAACCCTGCTACTACCCGCACGACCACGATCACAGCTCTACCGCCCGCAACCTCGAACCCGCCGCCCGCTATTCCAAGTCCACCAGTCACCCCAAGTCTCCAGCCCACAACCCCAAGTCCGCTAGTTGCTCCGCCTGCAACTCTGAGCCCGCCCGCCACCCCGAGCAGCTCCCCCATCAGCCCTCACAGCAATAGTCCCAGCAGCTACAAATCATCAGAAGAAAGCTCCGAGGATATTGCTTCGAACCCCACACCCACGAAGCCGCTGCTACAGCAGCTTCCCCAACTTCCTCACCAGCACGCCATTCCCAAGCTCCCGCTTCCTCAACAGCGCAAACGGCATCCCCCAAAGCCAGCCATATGCCGCCGCTGTAAATCACACTTCAAGTGTCGAAGCGCACTCTTTCGCCACCTCAACGAAAGATGTCACCACATAAAGCGCACACAGACTTCCTCCCAGACTATTATGCCACGAGCCAGGCATACACCCAAGCAGGCCAATTGCTGGCACTGCAAATCTCACTTCGACTCCCGAGGCGCACTCTTTCGTCATCTGGGCAAAGGACATTGCCACGAGAAGCCTATTCTGGCCTTCCCCCAAACCACCACCCAGGAGGAGACCCCTACCCAAAAGGAAGAAGAGGCACCGCCAAGAACAACTCGTTACGATCTTAACGAACAACCTGTCGTTAGAACCCTAACGGAGCCTCAAGGACCTCTGACACCCCGCAAGAGAGGACGCCCACCTGGATCCAAGAACAAGCCAAAGGAATGGTTCCCTCAGTCGAAAGCCCTTTCTCCCTCACAGTCATTACATACGACCTATTCAACTAGGCCCTTCTTATTGACATTGTTTGTTAGTATGACCTACCTGACTAGGTCATTTTCCCTTCGTTCATTACAGCAACCACAACTACAAAAGAAGAATTGCCAGTGTGGGAAGAATTCGTTACAGTCTTAACAAAACTACTTCATTAAGATCCTAACGGAGCCCTGGTCAAGAACCCCTCTTTCCTCACGGTCGTTACACCTTCTTGCCCCGGTCACTACAGCAGCCGCAACCACAAAAAGAAAAGTTGCCAGTGTGGGAATGGTATTAGTCTATTGCACTCACCTAGCTAGCTTACGTACACAGTCACGTGTACGGCTGAGTACGGCTGAGGCCACAAAGCTAGCTTCGTGACTTCCTCTCCCTTGTAGATAGACAATCCTCATTGCATAACACGACACACCGGTATACCCTGTTTGTTACGTGCACGAGACCTACCAACATAATCCACCCCCTTCCCGGTCAGACCCCCTACTCGGTCAGAAAAATCCCCCACCGCCGCGACCCACACTTATGGCAAGACAAACCGAGCACAATAACCACGACATATTTACTCCAAGAGACAAGTAACTCGATTTAGGACTATCTATTACACGTACGGGCAGTGTGTTCAAAAGACCTAAATTTACTACACCGTGGTGGTGCACGCTGTCTTGGGACACTTAGCTTCTCTTCTATCTGTCGTTGGACCCGCTCCTCTTCTTCCCGCCGTCGCTTGGCCCGCTCATCTTCCTTTGCTCTCTGTTTCTTGACCCGCTCCTCTTCCTTTTCTCGCCGTAGCTTGAACCATTCCTCGTTCTCTTGTCGCCGTCGCTCGGCCCGCTCTTCTTCTTCTTGTCGTCGCTTGGCCCGCTCCTCGTCCTTCTCTCGCCGGCGCTTGGTCCTCTCCTCTTCCTCCACTCTCCGTCGCTTAACCCGCTCTTCTTCTTCTTCTCTCCGTCGCTTTATCCTAGCCGTGCCCTCTGCAACCGATAGAGTACCGCCGTCGCCAATGTATTCACGGCGCTTTTCTTTTCTCTGCTTTCGCCGCTGGTTTTCTGACCGAAGTTGCCGGTTTTCGTCGGCAAGGAGGGTCGCGCCATGCATGGCCATTTGACATCCTTTGATAAGCTGGTTGATAGATTGTGAGACTGGCGAGTCTGGATTTTGTGGCCGGCGTTGAAGAAGGCTTTCGGCGTGAGTGATAAGCTGGTTGACGTTATACGGAGTCTTGGCTGCTTCCAGGCTCTTGTTGGGGCTTGGGGTATTCTTGTCGCCGTGATCGTTACCAACTTTGTCAACCTGAACTTGTAACCGCGATAATACCTTGTTTGGGTCGAACGGAAGAGGCCTGTTGCCATAAATCCGCTTCGGATATTCGACGGCGAAAGTGCTTGTCGGCGAGCCTCTAAGTATATAGGAAGGAAGTCCTGCTTGTCGATATGATGGATCCCAGCGAGCATTTTCTCTTGAACCTTCCGGCCATATATTGGTGTCACAGGTCCCGGGGCCGGCCGACCGGTCATCCGGTAATCGGATTACCGCCCCGCCCCATGCAAAACCATGTCGTTTTCCAAGGCCCGGCCCTGCGGGGCTGGCGTTTTCTTAGTCGGATTACCGCCATCGGACGGCAAAATCGAAGGTCCACGCCCGCGGGCCCTGCGCGAGACCTTCGATTTCGGTCTCGCTCACGCGCGTTGCGCTCCACCTCCTCCTCCCACCTCCTCCTCCACCTCCTCCATTGCCCCCGTCGCGACGGCGACCGCCTGCACCATGTCAAACGCGATAGAGGATCCCCGGGTCAGGGCGGCCATTGAGCACTACCTGTTAGATCTGGAGAACACCCAGCCGAAGAATACGAAGCGAAATTATCGTCCCAAGCAGGAAGAATGGAAGGCAAGCCCGCATGCGCGCCCTGCAATCTTCATGTAGATCCATGCATTGACCGCCTCACAGGAGTGGTGTCAAGCCAACTGGCCTGCGATCCCGGACGTTTGGCCGGCCTCGGTACCACAGGGCCAACAGCTACCGGGAGACCTGGTCGATGAAGGAAAGCTCTTGCTCTTCATGAAGGAGGTAGTGGCATCACGTCCTCCAAAGAAAGGAAAGAGGGTCGCCGATGAAAGAAAACGACACCTCGAGGCTCAGGAAGCCAAGAGGGCCGTGAAAAGACGCAGAGCACCATCAGGTAACAGATGTTGATCACGGGATGTGGTCGTCGGACTGAGCCAGCCCATCATACTAACACCCAGCTTCCCCCAGCAGATACCATCGTTGTAGGCGGCGGAGGTAGCGAATACGAGTCAGACTCCGACTTGGAGTTGTATGAGTCCACGCTCAAACTACAGTATAATACTGTACGGGGCTACGTCTCGGCCATACAGAAGCTTTACGACGAGCAGAAGAGCCGGGAGTCAATCCTGCGGCCCGGCCACAGGGAGTGGCACTGAAGGCGCTCAAACGCAGCATTCTTGCAACGACTTGGAGCCGGAAGAGGAAGGAATACATGGACAGGGGAGTTGGAACTCTGAGAGATGTGTATGCGCCGGCGCAGATACCCGACCACACCAACGTGGCATGGTCCGAGAGGAGAGAGATCGCCTGCGCCCTGAGGACGCAGGTGGACTTTCTGCTCGGGAACCACATGCTGCTGCGGTCCGGCAACCGCCTGCCGATGGAGTTGGCAGACTGCTTTCCCCTGGACTTACCCAACGAGGGCTTCAAGGCCCAGGGGTATACCACGAAGGCGCTGGTTGTCGTGATGAACTGTGGGAAGACCAACCAGCACGGCCGCATGGAGTATGGATCTGCTCTGCGGCATCGAGATCCCAGGTCTTGTCTCATCGGCGCCCTCGCGTTCTGGCTTTTCTGGCGCTGGCAGGTAGAAAAGGCGGAAAGGTTTCCCGTCTTCCAAAGAAGCGAAGACTGGTATGAAACGAAGGTGCTCCGCCGATCGGCGAAAGAGCCTCAAGGTAAGCGTGATGGCATTCACCGGAATCCCATAACTCAGAGGGTGCATCGACCCTTTCACTCACCGAATATACAGCTCCGTTGTCGGGCCAGACTGCCCGAGAATGGACGTCCAGGTTCTACAAGAAGGCCGGCATCAAGGTCTCCAAGGTCAGCCACGCGCCTAGAGTGGCCGCGACGCAAAACGCCGACATGGCCGGAGTGGATGAAGGCCAGGCATGTCATCTGCCCTAGGCAAGCCGCCAACCCCTGGCCTGGGCTGACCGGAACTATACAGATCCGCCGAGCCGGTCGTTGGAATAACGGAGACCAGATGACCGGCTGCTATCTGACTTCCTGCCTTTCGAATTCATGAGGGCCGTGGCCGACTTTGACCCTGAATGGTCGGGGTCTTATTTCGTGCCCCGGCCAACGTAAGGCCGCCTGTGGTGCTACTCGTGCAGGTCTGGCCTCAACTCGACAAATGGAAAGAGGCCCACAGTAGCCCTTTCTCAGATCTGGGGTGGAGCAGAACATGGCCGCCGGCGCCTTCTTGGAACTCCTGGAGTGGCTTCGAGAGGTGCTCCTGCAGGACGCTGTCTTCCTTCGCGAGTCCTACCCCGACCATCCTATCTTCCAGGATCCGGTCTTCTCTTGCCCCGAGTTTGAAGCGTTCGCCAGCAAAGTTCAAGACACATGCACACGGGACCACGAAGACAGCCATACCACGGTCATTCAAAAGCGATGCCGGTGGTTGCGGAGAAGCTGCGCACAGTACTGACTCAACAGGTCGCAGCCGAGCAGTTAGCTGAGCGAAGACATCTAGACCTTTTGGGGGCTTCTTACGAACTATGCACAAAGTTGGATGAGTTTGCGCAGGCGACCTACACCGTCACCTTCAGCCCCGGCCAAGGTGCTGCAGGTCAACATGCGGAGATCGCGGGAGCTCATCAACAGAGGCGCCGCGCTCCACGAGAGACGGTCCTCAGGTCGAGATAGGCCCTTCGCAAGCGGGCGGTCCGACATACGCTCCGCTCTCTAGAGCAGCAGCAGGGAATGGTGCAAGCGGGCCAGGCAAGCCCCAGGGAAGAGCGCATGGCGAGCCGCCTGGGCCGCGCGAACATCCGAGCTTCAAGCTCCCCGTTCTGTCAAATCTGTACAGGAGCTGCTGCGTCTCTGGCGGCAGGGCTGGGGCGAAATGCCTTCTGTGGATTCTCTTGAGCGAGACTGGGGTGCTCGATGGCGGCCATCTGCAGAGAAGAATTACCTTTCCACGCGCAAGATCATCGTCGATGAGGTTCGGAGGCGGGCCCAGTCGGACGGCTTAACTGAAGATATCGTGGCGAGGCAAATGGACGAAGAACGTGGACCCAGCTCTTTGGATAAGTTGTTCAAGGCCATCCGAAAGGACAGGCAAGGCGAAAAGGGACACAAACGTGCGTCGGGGCAATTCAACGTCGGTGGTAGCGAAAAGTCGATGGAGCAGTGATTTTGAACACCCGTCTGATAGAATGACGAGGACCTTGGCGGCGAAAGTGCCCCAGGCCGTCAGGGGCTGCGTCGCTACAGTCAGCGGTAGTGGCCTGTAGACAGGGTATGCATCCGCTAAGCGCCGCTGTAGCTCCAGTGCGTCAAGGCTAGAAAATGCTTCAAATCACCGCAACCTCGCAACCGACAGGATGTAGGACCTTAGACAGGGTGCATTCTGATCGCACAAACGCAGGCTATCCAGTCGAACTGGTTTTCTCGTCGTCGGTCCCGGCTTTCGCGCTTTATGGCGCTCCGAAGATGACATCAACCCGGCAGAGGTGATGTCAAGGGCAAGCGGGTAATCGGCGGTAATCTGCGGGGTAATCCGCTGACCGCCCACCAAAGCCGGACCTGTGACATCCACTTGATGTGCCAGTGTAACAGTGCAACATCGTTTAAGCATGAAATCATCCTTAAGACATTCATCAAAGAATAGCGACCTAATTCGGTCCCGTAAGGTATCTGAAGTGATCGTACGTGCTTGACGAAGAAGTCCCCAGTCTTTGATCGATCGATAGAGACTGGCGCGGCTTACTTGAAGCTGATGATGCTCGAGAAGATGCGTACGGATTGTATTAATAGAGGATCCATCATTCCATCTCGATGCAAGCCGGTGATTTCCTCCTGAACTGTGGAAAGATCAATTCGTGGTCGAGGCATATTTGTTTAACTGAGTAAAGCGCTATTCGGGCTCAATGATATCGTAGAAGGGAGAAAAGCACTGAAAATGTGTACCAATGCGCAGAGCGAACGCTTACTTTCCTTTCTTTCAATGCCCTATGCTAATAGAAGAGTATCGGTATATACAAGTTACCCAGTTGCACTTAGACCCGATCGGGTAATCTAACCCCGGGGTGCCCACAGCCCAAAATGCGTTTTGAGACAGTCTGGCCTACAGTCGCCCGTAGTGAGGCGAGGATGATGGGCCGCAAGCCAGGACGCGTAGCGGCGGAAGAACGGGTGGGTGACGGTGGGAAGAGAAAACAGGAGATTTATAGATCGGCGGGGATATTACGGGCTGGGCCGTCATCTGCGGGGTCATCTCTCACGAAGAGAGGATGCAAGTGGGCATTGATTGTGTAACAATAGGGGTGATGTGTTGTATTTTCTTGTGTCTGTGTGCTTTTTCAATGCCCTCTTCTAGGCTCCCTATTTATATCCCCTTCTCAGTTGTATAGGTACAATATCTAGGGGGCTGGGTTCCTTTCCCCAGCCCCCCCTTTGCATAGTGACTTTCCCTTGTCGCCGAGGGCTCTTTCAGCTTCCCCCGTATATGCAGTCTCTCTACAGCCTATGTGGCTGCCTAATGCGGTCTCCTAATAGTCTTCTGCAGCCACAGAACTCTCTGCAGGCTGCCTTTCGTCTAGCCCGTCGGGGCCCTTAGCTGTATACCCCTTATGGTCACCCCGAGCTCAAGATCTCAGACGTGCTTCGCGACATCATCCGCCGATCACGCACCCAAAGGCCCCTGCGATATCCGCCTGATAGCTAAGCTAAGCTAGCCTACCTCCTTAAGCTGGTCACATAGCATGGTTATAACATCAGTCAAATCTGGTGGGGCAATGCTTCCCAAAACAGAGTCGATAATTTTTCTCCCGTTGGAACCAGGCTAGAGTTGCCAGCCGTATCAGCATGCCGCCGGCAATCAGACTCGTCTAGTAATAGTGAGAACTTACTGGTGACTAGATTTGCCAGGTTTATCAGCATTGTCACTGGAGTCAAACTCGTCGGTCATGGGTAAAACTTACATTTTTATTGACCTCATTCATGAAACTTTGAAGACCTTGTATTACCTGTGCAGGCAGCTTCTGAAATGCCATCGCGATATCCTGTGTGGCGTTATTTTTGAGGATGTTAAAACCGTTTTCAAAAGCCCCAGGGATTTCACCTAGTCCTTCCCCGAGGTCGGTTAAAGACTTCCCAAAAGCGTCGAAATTTTCCGGGTCTACGATGTCATTAGCACCGCTTGCCACCGCCGCAGGAATTTGTTTCATCGCTGTTACGAGGTCGCCAGTAGACTTCTTAAAAGCGTCGAGATTTTCCGCGCTTACGAGGCGTTGTAGACTGCTTTTTATTGCCTCCGGCATTTCACCAAGTGCTCTCCAGAAGTCGCCAGCAGACTGCATAAAAGCGTCGCTATTTTCCTTGCTGAATAACTTCATAAACGAATTGAAAGCCAATACTGGAGCCTCTACAAAGAGACGTTCATACCAGGGCTTCCGCGGCTTCGACTCCGGCGGAGGCGGCGGAGGCGGCGGCTCTTGCTGCACCACCTGAGAGCCGATTAGCATACCGCCGATAATCAAATTTATTGTTAACCACGGGCAGGAACATACCAAAGGTTTATTTGAAAAACATTGAACAGCCGCTACAGCGAGGTTCAATGTGGTAGCGCCCCTGCGATATCCGCCTGATATCCTGCCGCCACCAGTGGCGGGCTTGGACTTCGGCCCCGTCCCCGGGGGCTTCGGCTCCGTCCCCGGGGGCTTCGGCTCCGTCCCCGGGGGCTTTGGATGCGTCGAACATACTTGTCCACGTTTGCACAACTGTCCCCCTTGCGTTGAGGTATCTGATACTTCGAACGGAAAGTTTTTGGTCCATCCTATCTCTTTGTTTGTCTGCAGCCGAATCTTTTTGGCTTCATTCACCAACGAGCCCTGGTGAGATTTCCATGGCTCGGTTTCCACGGCTAGCTGTCCTGCATGGGGACCATCGGGGAATGTTAAATGGCTGGGAAAACCTGCCAGCTGAGGCGCCGTGACAGGTTTCATGGTGTCGAACCTTCGGTCATAGTTCTGATTTCTCTGCCACTTGAAGTCTTCGACGTTGCCCTTGAAGTTCTTCGGTACAACAGCGTATTCTACTATCTGATTCTTGTAGACTCCTCCAAGAAATGAAACTTCTTTCTCGTGTCGTAATCCTGGGGGATATCCAGCTCCAAGACTTGACGCGACGTCAATAGCATTAGGTGAAGGCCGTATTCTGTATAATGTGCCCTCTTTTCCCTCTGAAAACCCGAGTGAAACTTTGGGGTCGTAGGAAGTCGAAGTATACATGGAACCGAAGCCTGAGCTACTACTACCCGTATTTTGATACAAGGAAAATTTGTTGTTACGGATGACGTTTTTCCCGGTTTCGCCAAGACCAAATGGGGGGTTGTCGTAATTCGCTCCCCAAGGCCGAAATCCACCTCTCTTTTGCACTTCGTTCCAGCCCATAGCGTCGAAACGGTAAAGATTGACAGGTTCATTGATAGGTTGGCCAGAAGTAAGGGTAATGCAGAGAACAAGGGGTATTAATATAGCGAATAATGCATTTTGCATATTGGTGAGCATAGTCGTTTATTGATCGTGAGATGTTCGAGAGTTCTGAATCGGCTGCGTTGCATGTGTCTTCCAAGGTAGTGAATCATTGATTCCGACGGCTAGGAAAAGGCGCTTGCAAAAGAAACTATACAAGAGGGAGAAATGCAAGCTATTTATCTATAAAATAGAGGCCGGCTGATCTATGGCACAGCCGCCTCTTCTGTTTGATCCCTTGTTTAGGTAGGATTTGAAGCCTGTTGAGACAGTGGCAGCCGAAGCAGGGAAACATCCAAATCCAGGTCAGATTCGAGGCGCAGTTGTTCGCTAGGAAGGTGGAATAACCAAGCAAAAAAGCTAGACCAAAAGTGGCGGAAGCTCTGCGTCATATCGCGCTGAAACCTGGGGAAGAATTCATGCATATTGACAAGTTGGGGTGTGTCAGCTATCACGGCCTGAGGATAGGGTTAGCTTGCGGTTTATCCTAAACATGCATGAAATGCAAGACACACCAAGTCCTCCCTCAGTCCTAGCAATTCTTCCCCCAAAACTAGTATAGTGGATACACCCAGCTACGCCTCCGTGGCTATGATTTCAGCATTAGATAACAAAAACATGAGGCCGCTCAATCGGGCGGGTCGAAGTCCTTAACTTCGTACGCGTTCCCCAATTCATGCAATTCAGCTGCGTTCGCGGCTGAACCTGACGGGAAACAACGTATACTGTGGGTAGGCACCTGCGGCAGCTGCTGCAATGAGACGGTACTAGGGTTAACCTGTGATGTTGTATTCGTCTTGATTCTCTATCTAAGGAGGCAGAGGCCAGCGTGGAGAAAGGGGGCACGCTGCCCTCAGCCGCACACGTGACCGTACGGGTCACGTGCCAACCATGGTTGGTCACACCACTAGATAGATACATTCCTACACAGGCAACTCTTCTTTTGCTGTGAGAAGCACAGCAACACCTTGAACGGGTCTAAAGGATAGTAGCGTTAAGGCCGTGAAGGAATGTGCCGTGAGGGCGTGTGTCATTATTGCCAAAAAGTGGGTCCGACGTCTTGTTCTTAGCTGTAGATATCTGGGAAGAAGTGAAGGGTCTTCCTGATAGGAGCAATCATTTGATCATAGGTATAAGGAGCGGTTAGGAACGTTGTACGTATCCTTCGACTCGAATTGTCAGACTATTGGTATCGATGAAGCGTTCCAGGGCTCGGTTTGGTGATGCTTTCGTCATTGCATCTGCTGGGTTGTCTGCGCCGTTGATCCAACGAATATCTGTTATCTCTCTCTCTCGTATGACTGGCGAAGGGCCATGATATCAATCATCAATCGTTTTTCCTTCGTCGTACCGAGCTTGACTAGGCATTCGTAGAGAGTACGAATCCGTACAGACGATGAGAGGGATAGGAGGAAGGTTGAGTCGTTCCGTAATTATCTTCATAGTCATCGCAAGGAGATGCCTATGTCGAATCCGTTGGCCATACCGTAGATCTCTGATGCTAGGACGCTACGGGTAACACGTTTGCACTTTGTTGAACTCCAGTGTACGATGTTACCACTAATCTCGAACTGTTTTTCTTTGTGGTTTGTCTCGTTAACGAGGGTAATGACGAATCCTAGTTGGGAGGATAAGTCCTTGTTGTTTGCGAAAGAACCATCGGTGAAAACCATCAGCTTTGCAGTAGCTAGATCAATTGGTTTGTACGTGAGGCCACGTAGTTGGTGATCCATTTGCCATTGCAGTCGCTTGTTCAAAATTGCGTAATCTTTATCCTCAGGGTCTGTACTTGGGCGGCGACTGAAACATCGAAAGAAGCTTCCGGTTGAGCAATTGAAGCAATGTATGAGGCTCGCGCTCGTTCCTCAACGTAGCGCTGGTGACGATCAATTGCTTTAGGGTCAATGGTGGTCATTTTGCTGCTTGTCCCTTCTGTTGAAGTAAAGGGATCCTTTCTTAAGGGGTTATTATTCAGCAACGTCAGTCTTGCACCATTAAAGTCAACCGTTGTTCCGTATGTGATGTCAGTCTTGGGCTTGGAACGAAATTCTGCCTTTGTAGCTCTTCTTCTTCACGGGTAGAAAAGTTGTTCGTTCCAAGGATGAGGGTGTCATCAGTTTGCATTCCAACAATACCGAGCGTGTCAGGGCCAGTATTCGAAATCAGTAGGCAGGAGTCATAGGTGGAGGTAGACATATCCAGCTTTTCGAGGTGATGCTGCTGATATGTGCGGAACCAATGGACTCCGGCTTCTGCGATACCGTACAGGGCTTAATAACACGAATAATTGTTCCGTTAGGTATTTGCCTTGTAGTTCCGTGGGCAAATACGTAAGAATGGTCCGGGAAAGCTTGGTCTGGGATTGCGGGTATGCCTGAGTGATATCACGGAGGGAGAGGGTTATGCCGTAGTTTTGAAGAAGTCCGGGGGCAATAGCGAGGATGAGTCTCTGGCTAACGCGTTGAATTGTCGGAGATTGCGTCAGGAGGGTGGTCTTCTCAAAGTCGTTATGTCCTTGAATAACAAGTCGAGACTTTCGTAGGGCTTAGTGTTGATTCCTTTGACTTCACGAACCATTCGAGAGCGAAAGATTCTATAGTTTCCATGACTCATTTGATCGTATCGTTCAAATTGGAATACACCGCGGCCAACGAGGTCAGTAATCTCTTTGTTATCGGATTCTTCGAAGGGGTCACCAGGAGAGGTGATTATGCCATCAGACCGTAGCTTGAGGAAAGAGCTTGTGCATCTTCCTCCTTTTGGGTCAAGAAGCTCTGGTCTACGGCAGGGCCATCATGATCAAATCCTTTGGCTTGTTCTTTGATCCTGGTGGGCGTCCTCTCTTGCGGGGGCGGGGTTCGGGTCGGGCAGGCAGGTCCGTTAGGGTCTTAACGGGGTCTTGAGCCGGTTGTTCATTAAGATCTGAACGAATGCCTGAGGGTCTGTGTCGTGTGTAGGGTCGGAAAGAGTGGTATCATCACGCAGATACGGTTGTACAAGGGTCGATCGAAAGACTTGGGGCCGTTGACTGTGTCAATGGTGATGTTATGGCTATCAATCGATGCAATCTTGAAGGGTCCTTGCCAACCGTCTTTCTCTCCAAACGCGAACTTCACTTTGCAGCGGGAGGGATAGCACTTCTGTCGTGCTCGGGCCGTTGCGTGCATGGAGGGCATCCTTAACTCGTCTTTCTGCCGAGAGTTGGCGGAGCATTTTCATCGCTTTCTGCATAGCTTCCGATCTTTTGAGGTGGAAGCGGAAGGGCGAGTCTGTAGATACGCGGGTATGCGCCGAAAACAAGCAACGTAGGCACAAGACCGTCAGGTCCTGCCGTATCATTGATTGCTTTAACAGCCATTTGAAGGACTGTTTCGGCGGAAGTGGTGTGGCCAATCTCAGCATGGAGGATGTTAAAGGCGCGTCGGAGGGTGCGTGATAGCGTTCAATCTTTCCAATGGACCAATGCGTCTCAACAGGTACTTGAGAGCATTTGATCCCATAATCTTTGCTTCGTTCCGGAATTCGAGAGAAGCAAAGTTAGTTCCTGCATCGTGACGGAGGGTATCAGGAGGTCCAAGATACGTGTCGATCCAGAGGGTCCGGAGGGTCTCCCATGTATCTTTAGCTGACATTGACGGTAAAAATCTGGCTCCTTGGAAAGCAGTAGCTGAGTCCACAACGTGTAGAACAGGGCGTTGTGGTGTTCCTAGGTGCATCACATCAACGATGATTTCGTAGTTGAATTCTTGATCATCGTTAAGGGTGAACTTGAAGCGGCGTGGGGCTTGTGAGTGCATTTGACAGTGGTGACAGAACTTAGAGATAGTCTCTAATGTGTCTATCGAGACGTCACTGTGCCCGGCTTGCTTCAAGAGGTGATGGAGCCTAGGGACTGCTGGGTGTCCAAAGCGTCGGTGAAGTGTACGAATCTCTGTTTCCGTAAGAAACGAGATAGACTCTTCATCTTTCGTAAGGAAGAACCAGGGATGTCCCCATTTGCGGATGACTGGGATGCTGGTAGGGCGATTAGTACAATGATTACTACAATTGATGGTATCTGTGATGTTATTGAAATAGATACCAAGTCGATCCATATCAGCAAGGCAGAGCAAAAAGGGAGTTGGGGTTTGAAGGATGTGGAACGTGATCCTTCCGAGGGGTGTTTTAGGCAACTGTGCCAAGGAGTTAATCGTGTCGCCGTTGCCAAATTTGATGGAGGCCTGGCCGGATGTAGAGCTGTCGAGAGCTACAGAAGGATCTTCTCGTTGTAGGGCGATGTACTGAGAATATCCTGCTGTGGAGAATGTTGCTGCACCTGTGTCGATCATGATACCTTGAATCTATCCCTGAATAGCGATCTTCAATAATAAATTGCGAGGCTGGAACAACGGTTTGATCCGTCTGATAGACGTCTTCTCCTGTGATCAAATGATTGAATGCCTGTTGACAGAGCATTTGGCTTGCTTGCCATTGTTCCGGGTGATCGTTGGTGCTATTGTCATGTTCTTCCCATGTATCTTCAGTGTCATCAAAGCTGCTCATCTCATGACCTTCGTAGTCTAGAATATAGCCTCCGATGTCCGTGAGTTGTACACCTATGAAGTGGCATTGAGTGATATGTTGGTCCTTGGCCTTTTGTCGTTCATCCGTAGAGTGTTTAGTTGACCAACAGCCTTCTTGTCCACAAACAAAACACTTCTTTGTCCAGTTGCGGTTATTGTAGCTAGGATTGTAGTTACTACGGCTTTGAGGCCGGTAGTTTCCACGGTTGTAGCTTTGTCCGTATCCGCGGCTGGGTCGTTGACCTGAATATCCGTATCTGCCTCGAGAGCGGTTGTTATTGTATCGACGGTCGAGGTAGTACTGATGGCGTGGATCGTTATGATCGAATGATCCAGCAAAGTCAAGGGAAATTGAGAAGTTGTTATGAGGGCAAGATGGGTTTCAACGGATGCACGAAGATCTGCAAGAAGGTGCTCGACGTTATCGGCGGGTTTGAAAGAGCGTATTGGAGTTCGGGTACTCCACGGCATGCTTTCATAAGCGTTGTACGCAGTAGAAGGTCTCCTCCGTACTCCTGCCAAGGGCTCGTTGGCAGAGCTGAAGCTTATCAAAGAGGGTTTGAAGCACTTCGTGGGGGTCTTCGCATCTTGGGCACGGATGGAGTTAAAGGTTATTGTTGTCCAGTCAGTATGGTAGTGGACATGGTTGACTTCCGTGTCAAAGTGTTGTTTGAAGATATCATACGCTTGTCGGAACGTCGTAGCCCATGTGATCTTATCAAGATAGAATCTTTGGGCTCTTCCATCAAGGATCCGGGGAAAGAGTGCGTGAAATTGTGACGGTTTCACTTGGATATGAGAGCAGTTGCTTAAGAAGAGGCGGAGCTTATCATCAAGGAGATCGTACGGCTCTCCTGTGTAGTTCCGATCTTTGTTCCAGGTCTTCATAAACTTCTGCTGGATGTCGCTATCGACGATAGCGTTCGGGATGTTATCCGGGGGGAGTTTCATGTATTCTCCAAAGGTTGCAGGGCCGGATAAGTGTTCGGGGATGGGGTTGGTGACGGGTTGGACGAGATCGGGGTTCTGGAAGCGGTAGGAAGTCGGATGAATAGTAAGAGAGGTCGGAGCAGGTTTATCTTGGATAGTCGGAGCAGGAGTAGGTGCGTTAGGAGGGCTCGTTAGGGTCTTAATAGGTTGTGGTTCGTTAAGACCTTGATGAGGTGCTGCTAAGGGCGTAACTGATGGTGAAGGAGGTTGAGACGGATGGGGATTAGTGGAAGCATTTGATCCTAGTAATGCTGTCTGCCTCCTGAAGGCAGCAGTCCTCTCATCAAACACCATCTCCGTAAACTCCTGCTCTGGCCAGGTTTGTGGGTTCTCGATAGTTTGTAATATGAGAAATTGTGTTGCGAATTTCCCTTTGTGAACCTGTGTAGATACCTCTTTTCCTTAGTAGTTTCCTGAGGGCTCTCTTGTATTCATTCGGGGCGCGGTCCCATGTGTCTTCGGTCCATTCTTCAAAATGCTGTTGGAAGTAACCAAGGAGGTCGTATCCTTGATCACTGCCAGATTGAACGATGAATATGAACTTTGCCACATATGTCGTTACTGCGATCTTGTCCTTTTCGTCGTGTGTGATATCGTTGTCCCAAAGGTCGATATTAATTTGTCGGAATGCGGATGCTTGGATGTCTAGTGCCTGCATCTGGTCGCATATTTCTTCGAGCTGGGCTTCTGGGGACATAGCTCGGGCGGTCGGGGCTATCGTGATCAAATGAATGAGACGATGTGGGGTTCGTATTGGTCTCTTCGTATACGAGTTGTCGCTAATAGGAGGTCGAGCGTCGCGTACTAAGTAGGTCGTTCGCGGCCAGACTGAACTGACGGGGATCTTGCTACTTAACGTCAAGGGTCGAACGTTCTTACTAGTTGTTTGCGATGTGGTCGCCTGTCGATTCCGGTGCTCACGGCTAGGCAAACTAGCGGGCGATCGTAATCAACAGTTGGAAGGACTCTCGCGCGGCTGGGCAAACCAGCGGGAGATTCCTTGTTCTTAGCACAAATAACCTTCTTCTGAGCGCTACTCAGGGCCACAGTAAAGTGACGCGGACTATAGCACCTTCGAAGGTTGAGGAATTTGTCTCTTCTACTTAGCTGTCTGTGACGGGCGTGGGCCGGTCACTGATCAGTGTGGGTAGGCACCTGCGGCAGCTGCTGCAATGAGACGGTACTAGGGTTAACCTGTGATGTTGTATTCGTCTTGATTCTCTATCTAAGGAGGCAGAGGCCAGCGTGGAGAAAGGGGGCACGCTGCCCTCAGCCGCACACGTGACCGTACGGGTCACGTGCCAACCATGGTTGGTCACACCACTAGATAGATACATTCCTACATATACCATACCCCACCCCCCTTTCGGTCCAATAAAAAAGCTTTTGCATAGATAGGAGCGTTCATTTCTCTACATAATAATATAATATTCGTGTTTTTATTCTCAAGTTCTGGTCATACCTATTCCATGTACCGGTAGTTCAAATGGTAGACTTTTGGTGGGGATTTTTTCAATTGCGCTACCGAAAGGGGGTGGGGTATGGTCTAGGCTTACCTTAGCGTCTACTGGACACACCCCGTGCGGCGTGGATTGAATTGATCACGATCCTGACAAGGACGGGGTTTCTAGGAGTTACTAGCGCATAAGATGAGGCTGAGAACAAGGCTGTGACAACAGTGACATCGCCCTGTGCAATGAAGCCACAAGAAGCAATCCGCAGTACCTAATCGCCAAGTTCTGCTTTTGTTCAACACAAGCCAGGCTCTTAGGAAGGCAACAGTAGCCTTAGCTCTCCTGTCACACACAGACTAAGTGCCATAACTGTCAATTGCGCACCACTTGTTGGAGCGCGCGTTCTACTTTTGGCGCAATATCTCCAGTGATCTTGTCGCGAAGCAGATTTGATGTTCAATTGAACATGTCACCTGAACAACAGGTGGCTTGATTTTTCGTGACAATGTCGGGAGCAGTCATTGGATATGAGTCAATTGCAGCGCACCTGTTGGAGCGCGTTCCACTTTTGCCTGCATGGCGCGACGGTCTTCGCGACAGATCTTCTTGGACTGGACTAATTACTCGTGCCCGCCCCCACTTTATTGGCATTCGCTTTGGCTCACCCACTAAAGTGGGTGCTGAAAAAAGTGAGGTTGGGGGAAGAGGAAAACTGAACTCGAAGGCATTGCGTCAGTTCCTCGTCGTAGATAGTTCTTCATCCTTCTTTACTCTGGGATAGGTGTGGCTCTTGCTTGCCATCATGGCAGAGCCTGAAGTGGCGGTCCTGGCGGACGTGGGGCGGGCTAGATCCAACCAGCCCGACGCCATCGACGCGTCCGACGCGAGGATGACGCCCAGCGGACGCGTGCAAGATACGTTGCGATCACTGGAAAATGCATCCGCAAGGGCTCCGAAGCGAGTCACGGCCCGAACGACGCGGGTCTCATCGGTCGGCAATGAAGGCGAAAGAGTTGACGAGGTGAAGTCACGCAGCAGTGTGGAGACCGCCAAATCGATGATGCAGAGGGTTCTAGAGATGCTGGCGAAGATGGGGAACGAGATGGTGGACCTGAAACATAGAGTATCCGAGCAAAGCGACACGATCAGGAAGCTGAGCGCCACGGTTTACAAGCAAAGCACCATCATTCAAGGACAGGAAGATCTGATCCGAGGCTTGGAGGTCCAAGTCCAGGAATCAAGGAAGAGTTTCGACGCAAGAGCGATGAGCACGACGCGGAATTAAAACGGGGACACCAGGATCTTCAGAGAGAAGTCGCCGCTTTGAAAGAGCAATTGGCCCAGCTTACGCAGAAGCTGAATGCTTCGGGTGAGGTGACTCTGTCAAGCGGCGCTCGAGCAACGTTTGCCGATATTGCGCGCACACTGCCAGCGAGCCCGCCGACGAGTCTATCCAGCGTAGCTGTCCCAAGAAAGCAGCAGACAGCCAGCGATCCTCTCCATTGTACCATCGACACATCTCGCGTCAGCGAGTCGAACAAGAACAAAGCGCAAATCGGATCAATTCTCCAGGCCATCGAGACTGAGATGAGAGCGATGAACGGACAAGAGACCTGGAGGTGCGCAGCAGTCGTGAGAGTCCCGGAATGCCGACCGAGTCAAGATCGTCTGCAGAGACGAAGCCGAGCTTCAGATGGTCAAAGAGGCTGCGCAGAAGACAGCCGTGGAAGGTTCACGAGTTATGCGAGACCAGCTGTACCCGGTCCGAGTCGACAACGCCAACCGCACAGCAATCCTGACGCGGAAGGCAACGTTCTGCCTGGAGCGATCGAGGCCTTGAGTGCCGAAAACAGAGTGACCATTGGCAAGATTTCCTGGTTGAGCAAACGAGAGTCTGGCAAAGCGTACGGGTCCATGGTGGTGTATGTCACCAAGAAAAGCGACGCAGAAAGGCTTCTAGAAGGGCACTACTTTGACCTAGCGGGAGAGTCAGCCACCACCTATGTATTCGAGCCAAGAACGGGACCAATCCAATGCTTCAACTGCCAGGAGATCGGTCACAAAGCATATGCATGCAAGAAGCAGCGGACATGCGGCAAGTGCGCAAAGGTTGGGCATCACCACAGAGAGTGCACAGCAATTGAGCCAAAATGCGTCCCGTGTGGCGGACCGCACGAGTCGTTCAGCTGGAAGTGTAGGATGAGGAACCCGAACAGTGATGCTTGAGTCCCTCCGCATCCTACAGCTGAATGCGCACAAGAGTGATGTGGTGCAGCAAAGCCTGATGAACGACGCAGGCCTCAAGGACTTTGCTGTGCTGGCTCTTTCTGAGCCGTATGCGCGTGTTATCGACGGAGAGGTGGTGACGAGCCCTATGGGACACCATAACTGGACAAAGATGATACCGACGTGTGCTCGTGACGGCCTGTGGCCGATCCGTAGCATGCTTTGATCCGAAGTGACCTTGAGGCGGAGCAAGTGCCTGTGCCGTCGGCCGATCTCACAGCAGTGGTGCTCCGACTCGAGGGGAGGAAGTGATGGTGGTATCAGTGTACGTGCAAGGAAAGAACGACGAGGCGCTGACGAGCGCGATGGAGCTGCTGCACGACCTGATCGATCGCTTCCGTGATGGGACAGGAAACCGCACAGATGTGGTTCTGGCGGGAGACTTCAACCGCCACGATCTCCTCTGGGGCGGAGATGAAGTGTCAGCGAGCAGACAGGGGGAGGGCCAGCCCATCATCGACCTGATGAACGACTTTGGTCTCAGCAGCCTCCTGCCGAGAGGGACGAAAACGTGGCAAAGGGCGGACGAGGAGAGCACCATCGACTTGGTGCTGGCATCGGCAGAACTGGCAGACGAGGTGATATCCTGCATGACTCACCCGACAGATCACGGGTCAGACCACAGAGCGATCCAGACGGCCTTCGACATTCAAGTACCGGAGAGAACGTTTCCACAGCGCCTGATGCTCAAGAACGCGCCGTGGATCGCCATCGCAACCAGGGTCGAGGACGAGCTTCGGCCTCTTCCGTGGAGTGTGGGGTACAGACGCAGGCGGATCAGCTCATGAGGGTGGTCACCAAGGTGCTTCATGATCTGACACCTCGGGCACAGCCGCCGCCATACGCGAAGCGATGGTGGACAAAGGACCTGACGCGACTGCGGCAAACGTACACGTATTGGCGCAATCAAGCAAGGGCGCAGCGAAGAGCCGGTCAACCGCAGCCGGATCTGGAGCAACGCGCCAAGGACGCTGCCAAGGAGTACCACGACAACGTGCGGAAACAGAAGAAGTCCCATTGGGACGACTTCGTCACCGACGAGAACAACATCTGGAAAGTGGTCAAGTATCTGAAACCCGGCGTGAATGTGTTCGATGACAAGGTGCCGCCGTTGAGGAGAGCCGACGGCTCGATCACCAAAGGCAAAGGAGAGCAAGGTGAGGAGCTCCTGAGCACCTTCTTCCCGCCTCTGCCAACCATGATCGAACCGGAGGGTGAGCGTCCGCAAAGAGAAGCGATAACCATGCCCGACCTCACCTTGCAAGAGATTGAGGAAAGGTGATGGCGGCCAAGTCTTGAAAGCGCCGGGGGAGGACGGCCTCCCTGTGATTGTGTGGAAGAAGCTCTGGCACGTGGTCAAGCATCGGGTGTGGACGCTCTTCGACTCATCGCTTCGAGAGGGCGTGGTGCCCCATCAATGGCGGACGGCCAAGATCATCCCGCTGAAGAAGCCGGGTAAGGACGATTACACTCTGGCCAAGGCGTGGCGACCGATCTCACTGCTGTCAACCCTTGGCAAGATCCTCGAAGCAGTCGTTGCAGAACGCATCAGCTATGCAGTCGAAGCTCATGGGCTGTTGCCCGCGAACCACTTTGGTGCACGGAAACGCAGGTCGGCAGACCAAGCACTCGTGCTTCTGCAGGAGCGGATATATAAGGCTTGGAGAATGGGCAGGGTTTTGAGTCTCGTCAGCTTCGACGTCAAAGGGGCGTACAATGGAGTTTGCAAAGAGCGGCTGCTTGAGAGGATGAAAGCTCGAGGCATCCCGAGTCGCCTGGTCAAGTGGGTAGACGCATTCTGCTCGGAACGGACCGCATCGGTGGTTGTCAACGGGCACACATCCGAGCAGCAAGCCCTGGCGCAGGCCGGCTTACCCCAAGGATCTCCACTATCACCGGTGGCATTTCTGTTCTTCAATGCGGACCTGGTGCAGAGGCGAATCAGTAACAACAGCGGCTCCATCGCCTTCGTGGACGACTACTCTGCCTGGGTCACTGGACCAACGGCCGAGTCGAACAGAGATGGTATTCAGTCGATTATCGATGATGCGCTCGAGTGGGAGAAGCGCAGCGGCGCCACGTTTGAAGTGGACAAGACGTCCGTCATTCACTTCACACGCATCGCAGAACGCGACAGCGACTCGCCTTTCACCATCAGAGGGAATGATGTCAAGCCGAAGGACAATGTGAAGCTGCTGGGAGTCATCATGGATCAAGCACTTCGCTTCAAGGAGCATATCGCCGGAGTAGCCGCCAAGGGGCTGACCGCTGCCATGTGCCTGAAACGACTGAAGATGGCCTCACCACGAACGGCAAGGCAACTGTTCACTGCGACCGTAGCGCCGACCATGGATTATGCCTCCAACGTTTGGTCGCATGCATGCAAGGCGAAAGAAGCAACGTGGATCGAGAGGGCCCAGCGAGTCGGAGCCCAGGCGATCACGGGAGGGTTCCGTACGGTCGCGACGGCTGTGGCCGAGGCCGAGGCCAGCGTGCAATCATTTCGAGAACGCCATGCTCAAGCGGCGTCGAGATTCTGGATCAGAACGCAGACGCTGCCGAGGACGCATCCCTGACATCCTTGAAGCTGAAGCTGAACAGAAGGTATGCCTCGCCAATGCAGAAGCTTGCCTCGGCGATGGAAAGACTAGATACCAAACGCCTGGAAACCATCCACGAGTTCGCACTGGCGCCGTGGGACGACCGAGTGCAGGTAACATATGAGACGAACCGAGTGGAGGTGCTGAAGTCGGATGACCCGGAGGACATCACTATCGCGACATCCAGCTCTCAAAGGAAAGGCAAGGTCGGGTTGGGGGGCGTCGTTCGAGACGCTCTCCTCAACAGCGCAGACGAGGTGCTGGCCAGCTATTCCGTCACTCTCGGCTCCAGTGATGAGCAGAATGCCTACACAGCAGGACTCGAGGCAATCGCCACGGCCCTGAGGTGTGTTCCCAGGCCTTCGTGACCGAGACCTCACAGTTGTGACAAGCAACCGCTCTGTCCTGCAAGTCATCGGGCGGCCACGGCAGCAGTCTGGCCAGTGCACGATACGGGCGATATACGGATCTGTTGAGTTTCTGGCGAGAAGAGGCTGTAGAGTCAGACTTCGTTGGGTGCCTGCAAATAATGAGGAGTTCACTCTCGGGCCACTGGCCAAAAGGCAAGCGAAAAGGGCGACGCGAGATGAATGCGTCGCCGAACCAGCAACGTTCCAAGCAAGATCAACCACGTTACGTTTGCTGCTCAACGGACACACTCGAGTCCGTCAGATTCCAGAAGGAGTTGGAAACTACTCGAAGCGCATCGATAAGGCTTTGCCGGGCAAGCACACCCGCAAGCTGTACGACGAGCTGAAAGAAAGGAATCGGAAGTGTTGGTACAGCTTCGAACTGGCAAATCGCGGCTGAATAGCTATCTTTGCAAAATCGGGGCAGTAGAATCGGATGAATGCACGTGTGGACAGTCGGCGGAAACGGTGGAACATTTCCTCTTCCGATGCAGAAAATGGACGGTACAACGAGAAATCATGAGTCGATATGCAGGCGGGAAGATGGGAGACTTGTCCTTCTTCCTAGGTGGCAAGGCAGAGTCAGACGACGACAAGTGGCAGCCTGATATGGGGGCTGTGCGGGCGACGATACAGTTCGCATTGGCAACGAAACGTTTTAGCATGGACCGGCAACGGGCCATGTGCTGATCAAGGGACAATCGTACTAACACAACAGCCTTCAACTTGGCAGACCGCGCTTCAGTCGCTGAAGGTAGGACGCTGAACACTTGGAGAAACTGACCTTCAAGCAGGCCTGTCATGTCATAGCGAACGAGGCTGGAAACAGATGAAAAGAAGCGTGGGGCTTTGGGTGAGATGGAACAATGTACAGAAGGTAGACAGGCTAGCGTAGTGGCTCTATGGGGGAACCCTCCGGGCGTAATACAACCAAAAAAAAAAAGTGGGTGCTCAGAAAAGTGGGTGCTGAGGGTGCTGGGAAAAAAAAAGTTCGGATCGGCTCTCGAACTGTAGATAGTTATATTTCTCTTTACTCTTTACTCTTGGGTTGGTGTTGATGTCGCGTGCCACCATGGCAATGCCAGAGGTGGTGCCCCTGGCGGATGTGAGGGCGGGTCCAGATCCAGCTAGCCCGTCGCCATCGACGCGTCCGACGCGAGGGATGACGCCCAGCGGACGAGTGCAAGATACGTTGCAATCACTGGAAAATGCGTCCGCAAGGGCTTCGAAGCGAATCACGACGCGAACGACGCGAGTCACGCCAGTGGGCAATGATGGCGAAAGAAGCGACGAAGTGAAGTCACGCAGCAATGTGGAGACCGCCAAATCGATGATGCAGAGAGTCCTGGAGACGCTGGGAAGATGGGCAGTGAAATGGTGGAGCTGAAACATCGGGTATCCGAGCAAAACGACATGATCAGGAAGTTGAACGCCACTGTCTACAAGCAAAGCACCATCATTCAAGGACAGGAAGATCTCATCCGAGGCTTGGAGGTCCAAGTCCAGGAATCAAGGAAGAGTTTCAACGCAAGAGCGATGAGCACGACGCGGAATTAAAACGGGACATCGGGATCTTCAGAGAGGTTGCCGCTGTGAAAGCAATTGGCCCAGCTCACGCAGAACCTGAATGCTTCGGGAGGTGACTCTGTCGAGCGGCACTCGAGCAACGTTTGCCGACATTGCGCGTACACTGCCAGCGAGCCCGCCGACCAGTCTATCCAGCGTAGCTGTCCCAAGAAAGCAGCAGACAGCCAGCGATCCTCTCCACTGTACCATCGACACATCTCGCGTCAGCGAGTCGAAGAAGAACAACGCGCAAATCGGATCAATTCGCCAGGCCATCGAGACTGAGATGAGAGCGATGAACGGACAAGAGACCTGGAGGTGCGCAGCAGTCGTGAAGAGTCCCGGAATGCCGACCGAGTCAAGATCGTCTGCAGAGACGAAGCCGAGCTTCAGATGGTCAAAGAGGCTGCGCAGAAGACAGCCGTGGAAGGTTCGCGAGTTATGCGAGACCAGCTGTATCCGGTCCGAGTCGACAACGCCAACCGCACAGCAATCCTTGACGCGGAAGGCAACGTTCTGCCTGGAGCGATCGAGGCCTTGAGTGCCGAAAACAGAGTGACCATTGGCAAGATTTCCTGGTTGAGCAAACGAGAGTCTGGCAAAGCGTACGGATCCATGGTGGTGTATGTCACCAGAAACGCGACGCAGAAAGGCTTCTGGAAGGGTACTACTTTGACCTAGCGGGAGAGTCAGCCACCACCTATGTATTCGAGCCAAGAACGGGACCAATCAATGCTTCAACTGCCAGGAGATCGGTCACAAAGCATATTCATGCAAGAAACAGCGGACATGCGGCAAGTGCGCAAACGTTGGGCATCACCACCGGGAATGCACCGCGATTGAACCAAAATGTGTCCCGTGTGGCGGACCGCACGAGTCATTCAGCTGGAAGTGCAGGATGAGGAATCCGAGCAGTGATGCTTGAGTCCCTCCGCATCCTACAGCTGAATGCACACAAGAGTGATGTGGTGCAGCAGAGTCTGATGAACGACGAAGACCTAAAGGATTTTGCCGCACTGGCTATATCTGAGCCACATGCGCGCAATATCGACGGAAAGGTGGTGACGAGTCCCACGGGACACCATAACTGGACAAAGATGATACCGACGTGTGTTCGTGATGGCCTATGGCCGATTCGCAGCATGCTCTGGATCCGAAGTGACCTTGAGGCGGAGCAAGTGCCTGTGCCGTCGGCCGATCTCACAGCAGCGGTACTCCGACTTGAGGGAAGGGAGGTGATGGTGGTGTCAGTGTATGTGCAAGGAAAGAACGACGAGGCGCTGACGAACGCGATGGAACTATTGCGCGACGTGATCGATCGCTTCCGCAATGGGACAGGAGACGTACCGATGTGGTTTTGGCGGGGACTTCAACCGCCACGACCTCCTCTGGGGCGGAGATGAAGTGTCAGCGAGCAGACAAGGGAGGGCCAGCCCATCATTGACCTGATGGACGACTTTGGTCTTAGCAGCCTTCTCCGAGAGGAACGAAAACGTGGCAAAGGTCGGACGAGGAGAGCACCATCGACTTGGTGCTGGCATCGGCGGAACTGGCGGACGAGTTGACATCCTGCGTGATTCATCCAACAGAGCACGGATCAGACCATAGAGCGATCCAGACGACCTTCGACATTCGAGTGCCGGAGCGTACCTTTCCGCAGCGCCTGATGCTCAAGAACGCGCCGTGGATCGCCATCGCAACCAGGGTCGAGGACGAGCTTCGGCCTCTTCCGTGGACTGTGGGGGTGCAGACGCAGGCGGATCAGCTCATGCGGGTGGTCACCAAGGCGCTTCGAGATCTGACTCCTCGAGCCCAGCCGCTGCCATACGCGAAGCGATGGTGGACAAAGGACCTGACGCGACTCCGTCGGACGTACACGTATTGGCGCAATCAAGCAAGGGCGCAGCGAAGAGCCGGTCAATCGCGTCCGGATCTGGAGCAGCGCGCCAAGGAGGCTGCGAAGGAGTACCACGACAATTTGCGGAGACAAAGAAGGCCCATTGGGATGACTTCGTCATCGAAGGAGCAACATCTGGAGGGCTGCCAAGTATCTGAAGCCTGGTACGGAGATGACGGATGACAAGGTGCCCCGCTGAAGAGAGCCGACGGTTCGATCACCGAAAGCAAGGGCGAGCAAGCCGAGGAACTCCTGAGCACCTTCTTTCCGCCTCTGCCAACGAGGATCGAGCCGGAGGGTGAACGTCCGCAGAGAGAAGAAATAGCCATGCCAGACCTCACCTTGCAAGAGATTGAGGAGAAGGTGATGGCGGCGAAGCCCTGGAAAGCGCCTGGTGAGGATGGCCTTCCTGCGATCGTGTGGAAGAAGCTCTGGCACGTGGTCAAGCACCGGTGTGGACGCTCTTCAGCTCATCGCTCCGAGAGGGCGTCGTGCCTCATCAATGGCGAACGGCCAAGATCATCCCTCTGAGGAAACCAGATAAAGGAGACTACACCCTGGCCAAGGCGTGGCGACCGATTTCTCTCCTGTCGACGCTTGGCAAGATTCTGGAGGCAGTCGTCGCGGAACGTATCAGCTATGCAGTCGAGGCTCAAGGGCTTTTGCCCGCGAACCACTTTGGTGCACGGAAGCGCAGGTCCGCAGATCAAGCACTCGTGCTTCTGCAGGAGCGAATCTACAAGGCCTGGAGAACGGGCAGAGTGCTCAGCCTCATCAGCTTTGACGTCAAAGGCGCATACAACGGAGTGTGCAAAGAGCGAATGCTCGAAAGGATGAAAGCCCGAGGCATCCCGAGTCGACTGGTCAATTGGATAGACGCATTCTGCTCGGGACGGACCGCGTCGGTGGTTGTCAACGGGCACACATCCGAGCAACAAACCCTGCCGCAGGCCGGCCTACCCCAGGGATCTCCTCTGTCGCCAGTGGCTTTTCTTTTCTTCAACGCAGACCTGGTGCAAAGACGGATCAGTAATAACGGTGGCTCCATCGCCTTTTCGTGGACGATTACTCTGCCTGGGTCACGGGGCCAACGGCAGAGTCAAACAGAGATGGTATCCAGTCGATTATCGATGATGCGCTTGATTGGGAGAAGCGCAGCGGCGCCACATTTGAAGCAGAGAAGACATCCTTCATCCACTTCACACGCATCGCGGAGCGTGACAGCGACCTGCCTCTCATCATCAAAACGATGTCAAGCCGAAGAGCAACGTGAAGCTGTTGGGAGTCATCATGGACAAAGCGCTTCTTCAAGGAACACATCGCCAGAGCGGCCGCCAAGGGGCTGGCCGCGGCCATGTGTTTGAAACGACTGAAGATGGCTTCGCCACGGGTGGCGAGGCAACTGTTCGTCGCGACCGTGGCGCCAGCCATGGACTATGCCTCAAACGTGTGGTCGCACGCGTGCGGGGTGAAAGAAGCGGTGTGGATTGGCAGGGCCCAGCGAATCGGAGCCCAGGCTGTCACGGGAGGCTTCCGCACGGTGGCAACGGCAGTGGCCGAGGCCGAGGCCGGCGTGCAATCGTTCCGAGAACGGCATGCTCAAGCGGCAGCGAAATTCTGGATAAGGATGCGGACGCTCCCGAAGACGCATCCTCTGACATCGTTGAGGCTCAAACTGAACAGGAGGTATGCGTCGCCAATGCAGAAGCTCGCCTCGGCGATGGGAAGAATAGATACCAAGCGCCTGGAAGTCATCCACGAGTTCGCACTGGCGCCGTGGGACGAACGAGTGCAGGCAACGGATGAGACAGACCGAGTGGAGGTGCTGAAGTCGGATGACCCGGAGGACATCACTATTGCGACGTCCAGCTCGCAAAGGAAAGGCAAGGTCGGGTTGGGAGGCGTCGTTCGGGATGCTTCCCGCGACAGCGTAGACGAAGTGCTGGCCAGCTACTCCGTCACTCTCGGCTCCAGTGATGAGCAGAATGCCTACACAGCAGGACTCGAGGCAATCGCCACGGCTCTGAGGTGTGTACCTCTCGGTCTTCATGACCGAGATCTCACGGTTGTGACGAGCAACCGCTCTGTCCTGCAAGTCATCGGGCGGCCACGGCAACAGTCTGGTCAGTGCACGATACGGGCGATATACGGATCTGTTGAGTATCTGGCGAAAGAGGCTGCAGAGTCAGACTTCGTTGGGTGCCTGCAAAGAATGAGGAGTTCACCCTTGGGCCACTGGCCAAAATGCAAGCGAAAAGAGCGACGCGAGACGAGTGCATCGCCGAACCAGCAACGTTTCAAGCAAGATCAACGACGTTACGACTGCTGCTCAACGAAAACGCTCGCGTTCGTCAGATCCCGGAAGGGTTGGAAAGCACTCAAAGCGCATCGATAAGGCATTGCCGGGCAAGCACACCCGCAAGTTGTACGACGAGCTAACAAGAAAGGAATCCGAAGTGTTGATACAACTTCGAACTGGCAAATCGCGGCTGAATAGCTACCTCTGCAAAATCGGGGCGGTGGAATCGGATGAGTGCACTTGTGGGCAGTCTGCAGAAACAGTGGAGCATTTCCTCTTTCGATGCAGAAGATGGACGGTACAACGAGAGACCATGCTGCGATATGCGCGCGGAAAGGTGGGAGACTTGTCTTTCTTCCTAGGAGGCAAGGCAGAGTCAGACGACGACAAGTGGCAACCTGATATTGGGGCTGTGCGTGCGACGATACAGTTCGCATTGGCGACAAAACGCTTCAGTATGGACCGTTAACGGGCCATGTACTGATCAAGAACAACCATACTAACACAACAGCCTTCAACTTGGCAGACCGCGCTTCAGTCGCTGAAGGTAGGACGCTGAACACTTGGAGAAACTGACCTTCAAGCAGGCCTGTCATGTCACAGCGAACGAGGCTGGAAACAGATGGAAAGAAGCGTTGGGCTTTAGGTGAGGAGAAACCATGTATAGTAGGTACGTAGCTTAGCGTAGTGGCTCTATGGGGGAACCCTTCGGGCGTAATACAACCAAAAAAAAAAAAAAAGGCACACGTACGGAAGGCATATTTAGATAGGGATCGAAAGGAGGAACAATGCCGCGGAAGAGCAAGAACAGCACCAAGCGCAACTCGAACCAATTCGAGTTGCTCGATGACGAGGAAGACGGTACGAACGACAATGTGGCCTGTAGCATCGTGGCCAATTCGACAAGCGCGGCCGACGCGACAAGGACCAGCGCCCGCGGTCGCCCTCTGAAACCGACGCTGCAATTCGACCCTGAACCGCGCCCATCACGAAAGAAATCCGCCGTCCGAAAGCGAAACCGACGAATGCCGACCCCAATGCCAACGAGGATTCATTGGCGCGAATCGAAGCTCTCCTGAAACGCGTCGAGGCGGGCCGAAAGGGCGGAGAAACGCGTCGAGTCTCTGGAAGAGTTCATTCGAAACGAGCTCTTCCCACGCGTCGCTAGCCCTCCGGAGTCCGCCACTCCAAGTGCGCCTCATCAGCAACAGCAACAGCTGTTGCGAAGCCGCTCGTAGGACCTCTAGAGGTTCCCTGCTTGCTGATGCTCCTGCTGAGACAGTCAGCCAGGACGTCAGGCCTGCTTTCTGATGCGTCGGCTGAGACAGTCAGCCCGGCCGTCAGGGACGGTGTCCTAGGAAAAGTGGGGGGCAGCCGACGATTGACGGAGGTGTGAGGCAGACGGAGAAGATCGAGATTGTGGCCAGGAATAAAGGGCGAGGAAGGAAGGAACAGACACAGAGAACAGAAGGGAAAATGGAGCAGCACCGGACGATTCTGAAATACTAACTTTATGCCTATTTGGCCCTACTATTCGTGACAGTCATGAGCCGGGAGGAACTACGTTCCTGTAACTTCCATTCCGACCGAAAACCACTCTCAAATCAACGAGATGTCGAAGTCTTCTGCCGCCCCTGCACGAGCGATCCTCTCAGGACCAAGCAACTGGGACAAATGGAGAAGGGAGCTCAGGAATCGAACTGACAAGACGATCCATAGCCTGATCTTTACCAACGAGGACCCCCTCGAACCTCCTGAGCGACCTGAATTCCGCCACTACGCCCCTGATGCTGTTAGACTCGCTGACCTCTCTGCCGTTCAGAAGAGAGATTATAACGACGCGATGCGGGACTATGATATCAGGAGGAAAGAGTATAAAGATGAGACTAAACTGGTTACCAACGCTCGCATAGCGATGCAGGAATCAGTGGTATCCTCGAAGCAGAACGCCTTCGACGAAGACCTTCCAATTCGTCAGTGGTTTAAACGTCTAGAAGCGTCGACGGCCCCTGAAGCGGGATATATGATGAATCTCACAAGGACCAAGTATTCGACCCACCTAAAGAGATTTAACGCAAAGGATCTAGACTCCTGGATCGACAAATGGGAAGACATAATGTCTGACGCCGATAAGTATAAGCTAATGGAGGCCCAAACGGGCCAGTGGCTTAGAGACGTTGCCACATTGATTAGGCCTCTGGATAACTCCCTAGGCTACCAGTACGAACAAGGAAGCAGGATACTCGACGCAAAATCAGAGGCTACCCAGGAAACTGTTCGACTTCGACCGATATGGTCCTCCTGCTGCTGCTCCTGTTAACCCCGTTGTTCACAATCCGGCAGCAGCTGCAGTAGCCGCGATGGCCGCTGCAGCAACGGCCGCAGTCGCCGCCGTTCTTGCAGCCCAGCTCCGACGGAGAGTCAATGGACTGTTGAGAGAGTCGTGCGAGATGTGAAGCATCTGGCCGAAAGCAGAGAAGCAGAAAAACCCCGAGGTGCTATCAAAAGAGGAGGCGCATTTCATGCGGACAAAGCAGCAGCAGACGCAGACGATGCGGACGAAGTACCGCCAGCGAAGAAGAAGAAGCTGGACAGAGAGCCCTTGGAAAGGGCCATATTCCAAAGAGATCCCTGCCTTGCCTGCAGACGCAAGGGACACGAGCTCGAGGGTTGCTGGCAGGTTATCGAAGAAGCCAGACCAGAGGGCTATAATCCGCCCCTGAAAGGTATCTCAAGATGACACGAGAGAGTCGCTGACGATCCTGTCCTGAAAAGGAGAATTGAAGATATTCGAAAGAAAATGCAGAAATAGCAACCAAGGATGAGGAAGGCTTGTGGGCTCAGCAAACCCAGCTTTCGTGTTCTCAGCTGAGTCCCTGGCCTGGGGATCGGAATATCCGCTTAAGAATTCAACCCTCCTTGATTGCGGCGCATCTCTTCATATCAACAACAAGCTCAGTCGGTTCCGATCGTTTAAAAAGGCCAAGAATGACTTTATCGTCGCCGGTGACTCTCTCGTTCGAATCGAAGGATTCGGGCGAGTCAATGTCGCAACGACGATGCCTGACGGCTCCCACCGAACACTCCGATTAAAGAAGGTTGCCTACTGTCCCGGTTTCTCATCGAGCCTGGTTTCTTTGCAGACTCTTATCGACGACGATCAGATCTTTTGGGATACGCTGTCTGAGCCTATGAGGCTAGTCCGAAAGGGCCAGACTATCGGGATCACCGAGAGGAAATATCAGCAGTTTGTTGTTGAATACCAGCCCGTGGAAACCGAATTCCCGGATTTCAACAGTGCGTTCCAGGCATCGAAGAAGGAGACAAGGAAAGCTCGAAGAGCCGGCTCAAGAGATCCTCGACCTGCCTCTCAAGGAGACGGCAAGCTTTGGCACGCCCGTCTTGGTCACCCTGGTCCAATGGCTTTGCACAAGCTAGGCCTACAAAGGGGTCCGGATTAAGGGCCGAAAACCGTCGAATGCGAGTACTGTGCTCAGGGAAGGTCAGAAGGCAAGTCTCCGCCGTCCACCTGACGAGGAAAGAGACAAGCCGTGCTACGAGATCTGGATAGACTGGACCGACCTTGCGAGAGACCACGAGAACTACGTCCGTGTGATGTTTATCACAGACGCCTTCTCTGGAATGGTCTTTCCCTACTTCATGAAGACCTACAAGGCAAAGGAACACGGAGCTGTCTTGAAAGACTTTTCCTCCTTTATGCTCGCTCGCTTTGGATTTAAGACGAATGTCGTGCGCTCTGACGGCGAGCTCTTCACGAAGAAAATCTCAGCCTGGATGAGGAAGAAAGGGATGACAAAGGCGATGTCAGCTTCCAACACTCAGGACCAGAATGGTGGAGCCGAGAGGTCAGGAGGGATCTCTACCGAGAGAGCGAGAGTCATGAGGATTGCCTCTCGACTACCGCATTCACTATGGAAAGAGATCATCGAAGCAGCCTGCTACCTCCGAAACCGAACGCCAAGAGAGCCTCGATTCGCCGCTGAAAACGCTAACGAAGGAGAAGCCGACTGGAAGTCTCCCATTGACTTGTTCACAGGGAAGAAAAATCAGCTCTCACATCTTCGTGCGTACGGCTGCCGAGCCTACGCAATGACAGCAAATGCACAGCTTGGATTGAGGAAGAGGTGGAAGCTCGACCCTAGCTCACATCGGATACCTCATCGGTTATAAGTCTACAAATATCTTCCTAATTTGGGTCCCTCTCTTGAAGAAGGTCATTGCAACGAGAGATGTTGTCTTTGACGAGTATACGTTCTTCGAAGGAGGAGGCGAGCGGATGCCGCTGCCTGCGAGCATCGGAGAGATGATCCAACAGATTGAAATCCCGGAAGGCCAGACGGCGAATCAGGCCATCCTTGACGAAGAGACCGATGAAGACACTGATATCGAGGACTTCGAGGATGATGACATCAGAATGGCTGAAGATAACGAAGACGAGGAGCAGGGACAACAACAAAGCGAAGAGCAGGAAAAGAAGACTACGGGAGAGCGCGGGAGCTGGAAGATGCATACCTAACGCCACCAGCTTCTGACCCGGAGGAAGAAGAACCACATGGAGTCTTTTCGGTTCACTTTCCATACGCTGACCCTAAGGGGGTGGTGGTAAAAGCCCCTTTCCAAGTCGATCTGGAGCCGTTGCAAGCTCAGAAGAGAGTCCGGGTTCAGGATGATCCTGAAGAGGAGGCTCACCCTGAGGGTGGGTTGCTCTCTTGGAGGAGCGGCATTTCAAGCCGACCTTGAAGGCCTGATGAAAGAATCGCGTTTGAAAGCTCTGGAACCATTTGATCAACCAGAGCTGGATCAGTCATACATCGACCGTTTTGCCGACTTCGTCCCGGTGCCAATTGAGGACGGGGTGCACGGAGCCTTCACAGCAGGAAGGTTGTTCAGACCGAAAAGCGCAAAAGTCCACAAGAGAGACCTACCTGAGCCTCCACAGACGCAGAAGCAACTAGAAAAACACCCGTATAGAGAGGAATTCACCCAGGCTCAGAGAGACCACCTGGCCTCACATGCGGAAATGGGCTCGTTTGACGAGGTCTTCTGGACGAAGGCTGCTGGAAAGCAGGTCCTCGGTTGCAAGTGGGTATTCATCTATAAGACTGATAAGCACGGCAATCTCCAAAGTGCAAAGCTCGCCTCGTTGTCTGTGGCAATCAGCAAGAAAGGGGACCTGCCTACTCGAGCGACTACCCTCGCAGGAATGTCGTTTCGTACGCTAATGGCCATTGCCGCGGAACACGACCTCGAATTGGAACAGATGGATGCAGTCAATGCTTTTGTTCATGCCCCCCTCGACGACGAAGAAGTTATCTTCATGAGGATGCCACCGGGGTTCCAGAAGAGGGGGAAAGTCCTACGCCTGAGAAAAGCTCTCTACGGACTACGCCGCTCGCCGCTCCTCTGGCAACAGATGCTTACGTCGTCTCTAGAGGAACTGGGATTCAGAAAAGTTCCCAGGAGCCGTGTGTCATGGTGAAGGAGCGGTGACCGTCTTCTTCTACGTTGATGACATCATCTGGGCATTCCGGAAGGAGGACGAAGGGGTCGTCGAAGAAGCTACTCGGGGACTACAGAAAAGATCAACCTAACTCGGCTTGGAGAACCTCGCTGGTTCTTGGGATTCGTATCCTCCGCGATCGTCAAAGGAAGACGCTTTGGCTGACGCAAGACGCCTATATCGACAAGATCGCGTATAAGTTCCTGTTAAACAACGACAACGCCCTGAGTCTCTCAAGCTCCCAGACACGCCAATGATCTCTGACGAAGAGCTCCTGCCAGCTACAAGCCAAGCAAATGAAAGGAAAAACATCAGTATCTCCAGAAGGTTGGTTCCGTGCTCTTCTCAGCAATTTCAACGCGACCAGATATTGCGTTTGCCGTATCCCGACTGGCAAGACATAACCACAATCCCGATGAGAAGCACCAGAAAGCAGCAGACAGAGTTATCCTCTTCCTCTTTGCAACGAGATCGTACGCGTTACGTCTCGGAGGAGGATCGAAGGAAGCGGAGCTGTTCCTCTGTTCGAGTGACGCATCGTTCGCAGACAATTCAGTCGACAGGAAGAGCTCACAAGGCTACGTCATGACCCTATTTGGAGGATCAGTGGCGTGGAGAGCGTCAAAGCAAGCGACAGTCACGACGTCAAGCACGGAGGCTGAGTTGCTTGCTCTCTCAGAGGCGTCAAAGGAGGCGATCTTCCTGAGCCGTCTGTTGAATTCCTGGACATCCGAATTCCCTCTCCGTTGGTAGTGGAATGCGACAATGCCCAGACGATCAGACTTCTCAAAGAGGAGAGTACGAAGCTCTCGACGAGACTGAGGCACGTAGACATTCATCAGCATTGGCTACGACAAGAGGTTCAAGATGCTCGAATTCGGTCAATTGGGTGCCTACGACACATATGCGAGCAGATGGCTTGACGAAGGCATTGCCGAGGCAGAAGCTCCTCGAGTTCCAACGAATGGTTGGGCTTGAGGAGATAAAGGAACGATTGAGTAGAGAGGCCAAGCTTGAAGAATTACGAGATGTGATACATCCCGTGATAGCCATAAAGAGGCCCAGGGCGAGAGATGAGTCGTGCACGACATTCCCGCATCTCTAGCAACGTCCTGGTTGGCCGTCACTAAGGGTGTGTTGCGAAGCCGCTCGTAGGACCTCTAGAGGTTCCTGCTTGCTGATGCTCCTGCTGAGACAGTCAGCCAGGACGTCAGGCCTGCTTTCTGATGCGTCGGCTGAGACAGTCAGCCCGGCCGTCAGGGACGGTGTCCTAGGAAAAGTGGGGGCAGCCACCCCGACGATTGACGGAGGTGTGAGGCAGACGGAGAAGATCGAGATTGTGGCCAGGAATAAAAGGGCGAGGAAGGAAGGAACAGACACAGAGAACAGAAGGGAAAATGGAGCAGCACCGGACGATTCTGAAATACTAACTTTATGCCTATTTGGCCCTACTATTCGTGACAACAGCACCTGCCACTTTCGCCACCACCCTCTCCAGTCCCAGGGCCACTGCCTGGCATTGGCTTAGACGTGAGTCGGGTCCTAGACAGCGACATAAAGGAAGGCAACGCCGGCACTATTCGTCGGCGCGCGAACGCTGCCCTCGAGAAGTTGGGTGTGACCTGTCTGGGCGTCAATTCTAAGGGAAAAGGGCGTTTTCGGCTTCTCTTTCGAGAGACGGACGTCGATAAAGTACGGCAGAACGACACCTGGATAAAGACACACTTCGACAAGGGAACGCTATATGGGGAACAGTGGTACCCTCTACGGGTTGATAGAGCCCATCGTGGGGTTGCGACGGATGATATCGGATGCGCCGTGTTTGAGCGGATGAACGGGGTGAAAGTGCACAAGATGCGATGGCTCGGGACAGCGTCTGTCGACAAGGAATACCGCTCTCTGGTGGTACACCTGGATAAGAAAGAGGAGGTGGACAGGTTGCTTGCACAACGAACGGTTGAGATGGCGAATGGCGAGTGTGCATACACGCGACCATTTGTTCAGGACTTCAACCAGCGAGATGCTACCGTTGCCACCTCTACGGACACTTGCATTATCGCTGCAAGGCGCCAGCTCCGATCTGTGGACAGTGCGCCCAACCGGGCCATTCTGCGTCGACTTGCACCTCGGACGTTTTTAAGTGTGCAGCGTGCGGTGGAAAAGGAGCACACAAGGCTACAGATCCTGGGTGCCCGGTATATCGCCGGGAACTCGCCAAGTTACGACCGTCGCCCTACTAACATACATCCTCTGTCTTAACCTTTTCTTTTCAGCACAAACCTCTACCTATACCTGTGGTTGCCCCACAGCTGGTAGGTTAGCTACACCGGACGGCTAAAGGCAGGTGGACTCTTCGTCAAATGCGGCGGAGGAGAGTGGTCTGTACCTCATCAGACAGGCTCCAGAATTGGAAGGGACAGGTCAAGTGAGCAAGAGACGGATTGAAGGATGTAAGAGAAATTCAGGGATTAGATCGGGACGAATTCCTTGGGCTCGGAACCGAGTATTGGACAGCTCTAGATTAGGCTTAGCGAGTCTGACGCAGTGCCTCTGACTATTGTCAATGGCGGAATATATTAAAAAAAAAAGGCATATTTAGGGAGAGGACACCCAGTTGTGTTGTTCTGTTCTCCTTTCTATTCTTCAGAGCAGAATCTTCGTAATAGAGTCCACAGCCTTCTGGCTCAGTCCGTGACCGTCACAGGCTATGTCTGGATCGGCAGCGCGTACCTGCTCGGGAACGCCACCTTCGTGCCGGCCTGGGGCAAGATCTCGGACATATTCGGCCGCAAACTCGTCCTCATTAGCGCCGTCGTTATCTTCTGGATCGGCAGCCTGCTGTGCGCTGTCAGCAATAGCATAGGCATGCTCATCGCCGCGCGCGCCGTCCAGGGCGTCGGCGGCGGCGGCACCATTGTTTTTTGAATTGCGCTACCCAAAGGGGTGTTACCCAAAGGGGTGGGAATGGTATTTTGTAAACAGCTTCGATCGAATAGAAAGGCACAAATTGTACGGCCGAAGAAGTAGAAATACACCAATTTGGTTCTTCCCCCCCCCTTGTAACTTGACGAGCTCGTCGAGCCATAAGAGAGCCTCAAGCAGCGGCATTCCGGATGGTCGGCCGGACGCCCGACCGTGAACATCCTATTGATATAGTTGACCGTTCTGAAAGGTTCCCGCAAGAGTTCCCATATCCGCAAAAAGGGGTACATATGGCGGTGTCACTGGATCGCATAGCCGAGCACCATCTCTCTGACATAAGGTCCCTCGCAGTCAGCTCGGGACGATACGAAGTGGTCGCCGTTGGCCGGGACTCTGCAACGGTAGAGAGGACGGATCCCGGTTTCTGTCTGGTGTAGATGTAGCCGACGGGTCCCAGGGAAACTGGCCTCGCATCCAGATTGCTGTGTCAGGAGGGTGACCGCCCACCTTACACTCGTAAAGCATGACCGTGTCCGGCTGCTCATCACGGAACAGACGCCAAGTCGACTCGGAGGTGAATCCGGGGGGCAGCATCCTCGAGGAGGCGACGTGGCCCCGTTTGGGGTTGTAGCCTCTGCGCAGCACGGTATGGGGCAGGTCCTCGAAGCCGCAGGCGAGCCGGGCAGGGGAGATGTCGTTGCGGTTCGCAAGCGCCCAGGTTGCCCACGCGGACTTGGCCGAGCCGTCGGCCTTGCGGAGACCGAGCTTGAGGCCGCCCTCGTTGGCATTGTCCTGCATGCGGTGATATATATAACTTTCAATGCCAGGTGTGCCGAGCACGTTGCGGAATGTCTGGCACACCGAAGTGTCCTGGGCCGCCTCGCTGGACTGGTCGCCAGAGTTGATTCCGTTCTCGGTGAGCTGGACGGTCCAGGTATGCGGGTTGCTTGGGTATCTTTGCCTCAACCAACCCAGCAGGATGCCGATGTTACCGAAAGAGACCTTGGGATAATCATCTGCGGAAAAGACGGGACTGAATAGGTTCGGGGGGTAGGCGTGATAGGCAACCCGCCATTGGCGGTTCCCAGCTCGGGCGGCTAAGCCGTCAAGTACTGTCATGCCGGACAGACGGCCGTGAGCCGCGTCGTCGAGTTCCTTGCCAAAGAAGTTGTCCAACGAGGTCAGAACCTTGGCAGTCGGCTGCTCGACGACGATGCGGTCGTAGGCGGCGTTGTAGTTGGACCCGATCTGGTCGAGCCATTGATTCGTGTCACATGGTACGCCCCGGCCGCAGCCAATATTGAACCAGTCGTTGCTGTTGACTTCGTTGTTGATGACAAAGTCGGCAATACGCCCATGCCCGTGAAGTCCGTCGTAGCGCTGGGCCAGCATGCCGGCGAAGCGTCCAAAGTCGTCGGGATTGTTGGGCACGCAGAAGATGTCCATTCCGGCGCCGCTGGTGAGCAGGGACGGCCCTGGCGTGCCCATTCCGGAGTGCCGTAGAGTATAGCGGTCACGACGAGTCCACGATCGGTCCAGTCTTTGATGGTCGAGTCCACCTGGGTCGGAATAGTGAAGCAGCGACTGTCGTATTCTTGCTCGTTGGCGGCGCAAGGGTAGACTTGATACTCGGCTCCCATGACAACCAGAGCAGGTTCATCGACACACCACCAGCGTTGTTGCCGGAAAGTTCATCCTTGTTAGGCCAGAAGTCAGGCTGTATTCCCTTGACGTGATAGTTGGACCTGGTTGGGTACGGCAGCGGAGACAATCTTGTAACGAGAGCCAAGGCGACGGAAGGGAGCATAAGAGTAAATATCGCTGCCGTGAGGCATTGCAGCGACCTTGCCATAATGCCTAGTAGTCGAAGATGATGCTATTTCGTACAAACAATGATGTCCGCGTAGATGTGCAAGTTAAGAGTAATTAAGAGTAAGGCGCTGCTGAGAAGCGGGGGGGCCAGCCATCGTAGTGAAAATACGACCCTTGTGGATAGGCTAACTGAGGCTCAGTTGGGTCTTTGATCGGTGATCGTGTTGTTCTTGTTATTCTTCGCTATCTAGACCATGCTGTGAGGTTTGATAGGTTGTGCGCGTGTCGGGTAAACGTTGTTCCCTGCTGACGCACGTGATACCCTCCTGCGATGTGCGCTCTATCGTACAAATGATCAGACACTGGCATCTCTTTAAGAATCGAACAAAACGCACTAAACGTAACACCCAAACAACATGTAAAAACGGGTATCTCAACACAAAGGAACAATCGATAGCAAGCTTAAATCAAAATCGTCAATCATGCGGTCATATCTTCCTTCCTTTGAACCCAGCCTTCGAGCCGGATCGTGATCTCGTTGTCGTTAACGAATCGGGTTAAGGCCCCGTTTGGAGATAGCTTCGTCATTGCATCGGCCGGGTTATCCGCTCCGTTGATCCAGCGGATGTTGGTGATTTCGCGTTGTTCGTAGGCCTGTCTCAACGCCATGATATCGATCATCAGACGTTTCTCCGTGGTGGTGCCAAGCTTCACTAGGCACTCGTACAGGCTGTACGAATCTGTACACACAACGAGCGGGATTTGCGGTAATCCAAGGCGGCTTGTAATCTGGTTGATCGTCCCTGCAACCACATATGCCAAATCGAAGCCTGAAGCTAATCCATATATCTCAGAAGCCAAGACGCTGCGGGTGACTCTCTTGCACTTCGTCGAGCTCCAATGGATCAGGTTTCCGTGGATCGTGAATGACTCATCTGACTTAGTCTCGGTTGCAATGATTATAACGAATCCGATCTGAGAGCTTAAGTCCTTGTTGTTGGCGAATGATCCGTCTGTGAAGACGAAGACCTTTGCTGCTTCTAGACCTATTGGGACGAATCGAAGGCCTCTTTGTGGATTGTCGATCTGCCATTGGATCCGTTTATTCAACGCCTGAAAATCCTCCGCGGTTGGATCTTGTGATTGTGCCGCGATTGAATAATCGAAGCTAGCCTCTGGTTGACAAATTGAGGCTATATAGGCGCCACGGGCACGTTGTTCCACGTATCGTTGGGCCCGATCTTCCGTGGATAGATCGATAATTTTGAGGTTGTTGACCTGACCTTTCTGCATGACTAGAAGATAGCCCTTCTCTAGAGCAATGAGGCTGCCGTTGAAATCACAGGTATCGCCTTCTCGTAGGGTCTTCTTTGGCTTGGCTTGGAAGCATAGCTCGCGGTCTTCACGTTGCAGGAATGTTGTTGTGCCTACCAATAACGTATCATCAGTCTGAAGCGCGGCAACGCCGAAGGCATTAACCTGAAGTGCGGTATCCGCGTTGGTCTCTGCGGTCGTGACGTTGATCTCTGCGGTCGTTATCATTAAACATGGATCAAACGTTGACGGCTCCATCTGTAGCTTGATGCGGTGATGCTCATGATACGTATTGAACCAATGAGCGCCTGCTTCAGCGATTCCGTACAATGGCTTGACCACACGAAGGATGGTTCCCCTGGGTATCTCTCTTTAATTCGTGTGGCAAAGAGATGAGGATAGTGCGATTCAAAGTGGTCGATGCCTGCGTATAGGCCATCGTAATGTCTCGGATAGCAAGAGACATCTTCAAAGAGCAAAGGAAAGGGGAAAGAGCGAGTACTACCCGCTGGGCAGGACGGGAGATTGTTGGAGCCTGCGTGAGGATCTCACGCTTCTCGTCGTCACCATATCCTTGTACCACAAGACGAGACTTCTCGTACGGTGTAGCAGTGTTCTTGCCTTTGACCTCCCGGACCATTCGTGACTTGAATAGCCTGTGTTTTCCATGCTTATTCATATCGTATCGTTCGGGCACGATGACGCCTGCGCCTAGCAGGTTCGTGATTTCGAGGTCATCAGAGGCTTCAAACGGTCGTCCGGCGGTAGTGATTTTCTTCTCTGCACGTAACTTTACGGCAAGGTCGAGGGCGGCGCACTCCTTATGCGATAGAAACATATTAGCGGGTGAAAATTGAGATCGAGGTAACGAAAAAGGGCTAAGACTAAGGAAATAACTAGAAGGAACGAAGGTATCGTATTGCTGCTGATCTCGAGGGACTTTTCTTGGTCTGCCGCGTCTGCGTGGTCTCTCCGGCTCGGGATATTCGAATGGCTTAGGCACTTCGGTCTCAACGTTGATGCTATCAGCCTGATTGTCAGCAGTCTGATTGTCAGCGTGTGGCTGCTGTAGAACATCGTGACTTCGTTGCTGCTGCGAATCCGGGTGGCGAAAGTAGGGCTGGACAGCCGTGCTGCGAAATTTAGCTGGCCCGTTGTCTAGCTCAACTGTGACCTCTGTGTCTGTCACAGCTAGGACCTTGTATGGGCCTTTCCATCCTCCTTTCTCACGAAATACTCGAACTTCACTACCAAGCGGCAATGATAGTGGCATCTTCTCAATCGTGTTGGGCCCATTACGGGCATCGAGGCGTCATTGACCTTCCTTTTAGCTACAAGCTTGCGTAGCTCTGCCATAGCTTTCGTCACGGCTTTCGCACGTGTGATCGCGGAAGCAGAAGGCGGCGAATCCATCGTTATCCGAGGGTAGGCACCAAAGACTAGTAGTGTGGGCACTAGACCGTCAGGTCCGGCGGTATCATTGACGGATTTGAAGGCCATTTGAAGCAACGACTCAGCTGATGCTGTTTTTAGCTCGGCTTTCAAGATCTCGTATGCCCTTCGAATCGGGGCGTGATATCTCTCCACCTTGCCAATTGACCAGTGGGCTTCGACGGGCACTTGGTGACAGGTTATTCCTAGCAGCTTCGCTTCTGCTTGGAACTCAGAGGAGGCAAAATTCGTACCAGCGTCGTGCGTGATAACATCTGGAGGGCCTAGGTATGTGTCAATCCAACACAATTTGAGTGCTTCCCGTCTCTTTAGCCGATATATTCTGAAGAAATCGTCCGGCTTGGAAAGAGGTTGCTAGGTCAACGGCATGAAGGACTGGCCGGCTGTCAAGATGCATTACATCGACGATCAATTCGTAGTTGAAATCGCAGTTATCCTTTAACGTGAATTTGAACCTGCGCGGTGCGTCTGCCTTGATCTGGCAAAAATGACAGAATTTTCGAATCATCGCGATTGCTTCGAATTCAACATCATGCCCAGCGCTTGTCAGTAGCTTATGTAGCTTGTGTACTGACGGGTGGCCAAAGCGAGTGTGTAGGCGCCGAAGCTCGGCTTCGGATAGGAAGGCAATAGCGGCTTCATCCTTCCGTAGGAAGAACCACGGATGACCCCATTTGCGTACGATCGGAATCCTCTTATCGCCGCAGATCAATTCGTTCGTGACGTTGTTGAGATAGGCACCGAGACGGTCCATATCCTTGAGGCATAGCAAGAAGGGCGTTGACATATTGATAACGTGGAAAACGACTTCTCCAATCGGGGTAATGACTGTTGTGATCCCGATCGTGTTCGTCGGCTCGTTTCCACCGAATCTGACCGTTGCGATCGTCGCATTCTTCCGTAGCTGGACCGTCGGCATCTCTCGTTGGAGCGCGCGGAATTGGTCGATCCCAGCTGTAGATATCTTCGCTGCACCCGTGTCAGGCAGGATCCCTTGGAAAGAGGTCCGGTTGTAGCGATCGAGCAAGAAATGCTGTGATTCCTCGCATATCGATTCTCCTCGACGGTGTGAATGCGGTGGCGAAAAGCTCTAGATAGGAAGGCAGCTGCAAAGAAGCTATCGCTTTGATCGTCAGAGTCATCGTCAGCAGAATCAGAGGTCTGATCTTCATCTGGGTCCCCTTCGTAATCGGCAAGGAACGTAGTAAATGGACGGGAAGATGACTTCTGGCCGTGAAATCCTCGTTCTCGAAGATATCTTTCCTTGGCCCTCTTTCTCTCGTCATCCGGATGCTTCGTTGAAAAACAGCCTTCTTTGCCGCAGACGTAGCAGCGCTTCGTCCACTTCTTCCTTTGTCAGCGGGGTGCTGATAGCGGCGGTCAGTAAAGAATTGGTCTTGATCTTGAAGATATTGACTGGGCTGTCCGGGCTGTCTTTGGCTGACGGTTGTGAGTGACGATCTTAGCTGTGAAGATAGTCCCTCGAAGGTCTTAGCCGGCACGAAGAGGGCGAATTCTAATTCAGGCACGCCACGGCATGCTCGAATTGTCGTTGAAATTAGCTGGTCTTCGCCGCCATAGCTATTCCCAAGAGCTCTCTGGCATAGCTGCAATTTGTCAAGAAGAGCCTGGAGGATTTCACAGAGAGGCTTCTCGGAGATTCCTTCCGAAGCTGTGTGAAATTGATCGAGGTCCAGTCAGTGTGATACTGTTGCTTATTGACTTCCGTATCAAAGTGCTGCTTCATCTTCTGATACATCTCCGCGAACGTTGAATCGCGGCTGACTTGATGCACGAAGAAGTTCTTTGCTCTCTTCGTGAGGATATTTGAGAACAAAGCGTGGAATTGTGACGGTTTGATGCTAGCTGTGAGGCAGGCATCGAGAAAGTAACGGATCTTATCATCTAGGATATCGTAGGCGTCACCTGAATAGTTGAGCTTTCGATCCCATAGCTTAGAAAACTGGTTGGCGATGGCAGGATCGAGGTCTTCATTGGGGACCTGGACTGGGGGCACGGTCCGGTAAGCTTCGCGGTCGATAGCTGGTCTGATCATAAGTTCCTGCTGCTGTTGATTCGATCGTGACAGGGGTAGGGATTGGTCATTGGGGGGGTCTTGCGGGAGGTTTAGATCGGGAGTGACTGGTGCTGGGGTTGGTGCTGGGGTTGGTGCTGGGGTTGTTGCTAGCGATGGCGATCGTCTGAGGAGTTCTTGTTGGCGTCGGTAGGCGGCCGTTTTCTCGTATAAGATGGCATCACGAAGATCGTCTTCATCCCACTCAGGAAGTCGGTCACGGTTCTTCAGATTTACTAGGAATGCCGTGATCTTTGCGTTCAGCTTTCCTGTATAGATTCCTCTGAACCTTAGGGTATTCCGTAGGACCTTACGGACCCTTGATCTACCTTCTTGAAGTCGTCTTCCTCCCAATCCTCAAAGTCTTCTTGGAATGATCCAAGCAGCTCGAGACCTTGACATGTTGAGGAGACTTTATAATCAACGATGCGGGCGAGAACGTAGGTATTATAGTGGATCTCATCGGAAGTCTCGTTGACTGGGGTGTTGAAGAGGTCCATGTTGAAGATTGTGGCGAGGCCACGGTTGAATTCAGCAATATCGAGGAATTCGTTGATGTCGAGCGCCGGTGCGTTCGCGTTCGCGCTGGTGCCGCTTGCGCTGCTGCTCATGATGTCGGATGGGGCTTGACAGGAAAATCTGCGAGGGAATAGGGCAAGAAGGTGTCAAGAGAGGTCAAATTGATCGAGAGTGATCAATGAAGCTGATAATCAAGCGGGATACCAGAGATTTGTATGTGCGATAGGGCACGCCTAAGAGGTCAGCGGCTGAGGCAAACAACTAGGCACGGTTGACTGAATAGAGTGGGCGCCGGTCGGGTCTTCGTAGTCAGTCTCGCGTTGTAGCACTTCTTTCTTCGCAGAGCGCCACAGATCGTGAGGATGCGTTGAGGAAGTCTCTTCTATCTTGCTGCTCTGAGGTTACCAGCCAAGGTAACAACTGATCAGTGTGGATAGGCTAACTGAGGCTCAGTTGGGTCTTTGATCGGTGATCGTGTTGTTCTTGTTATTCTTCGCTATCTAGACCATGCTGTGAGGTTTGATAGGTTGTGCGCGTGTCGGGTAAACGTTGTTCCCTGCTGACGCACGTGATACCCTCCTGCGATGTGCGCTCTATCGTACAAATGATCAGACAACCCTGCTTATTACTCCGTACCCCGTAAGATACCTGGGTTGCCGCCGAATACGCCGTCACAGGAGTAAGCAAAGCTGTAAATTTATGTGCTACAAAGGCTGTGCTTGGAGAGGATTGCAAGCAAGCCAGCAATTCCCCTTATTGAATCGTCATCCAAAACGCTCCTGTCCGCTCCTGTGCATATGATCAAATGGCTCAGTTAGAAAAACCCCATCCCCGTTGTTGCTGACCCATAAGAGAGCCAAATTGTCACATTGAGAGTTGCTGCAAGCAGGCGAATGTATGACCAGTCAATTCAATACTTCCTGGGCAGTCACAACCTGGCCAGCAAGCCGGGCAGCGTCAGCAGCCCGAGCAGCCATAGAGCCATCCGTGCGACGCCGGATATCATTGAGATCAAAGGACGCATCAAACATGATGCCATTCAACGTCTTGGCGCGCGAGACGGCGACGTAGGTGAGGCCAGACTGGAAATCGCGATGGGATATATCGGCAACAACCCATTCAAGCGTAGCACCCCGTGCCTTGTGCACAGTGATGCTATATGCGATTGTCAAGGGAAACTGAGTGCGAGAGCAGGGCATACTACCCTTGATGAAGTCCCGCCAGGAGCGAAAGATGGGCTGGACGTTGGCTAGCTCAGGGTCGTCGAAATAAGGGGGGCCGGTATAGCGATCGAAGCGGACCATAATGACAAAGGGATGATGAGCTTGAGGATCCTGTACGTGATCCTCATAGGCAAAGTGTCGGATCTCACCACGAGGCACGCACGAGGGACAAGTCGGATGTGAAAGCTGATCCCGCAGAGAAGGGGTAAAAGAGGTCTCTGTTACAAAAGAGAGTAAAGAACGTTGGGTGTCCACTGACCCAGCTTAAATAGCTGTCAGGAGGGACCCTGATATCTGCATACACGGGAACCAAGCATCCTCCTTCCAAACAGGGTCCGCTCGATGCGACACAAAGTCATATATGGTCCCCAGTGCACCATTAACAAGGCCAACATCAGTCCAGACGTTCTCAGTCAACATAACTCTTGCCCCAATGCAAATGGGTAACTGGTTATGTAAGTTGCCAGCAGTCATAGAGTCAGCTTCGGCGGCTTTTGGACCGACATTTGTTGCCCGAACCTGTCTGCAAGGCACAGCTAGGCGTTCCTTATGATCCCTGTTGAACTCGCGGACCTGGGCATTCGTTGTGTAGATGCGTACTGCCCCGTCAAAGCACGTAACCTCAGCTAAGGTCAGATTGGCCTGGACGCGGGTGCAGAGCAGCTCCCAGTCTAGGACAGTAGGAGCATCTATACGTAGGCTCTGAAGAGCAGTGCGAAAAGGAGCCTGCGCCCTGCTGACGCAACACTTGTCGTAACACAACTGTCTTGTCAAATGCCAGGTAGGCATTGCGGCCATTCTATACCGTCTCGTTGAGACCTATAGTAACAACGCAGCTAATAAGCGGAAGGATATTGCCGAGGCTACCCAACGTGACCATCCTGAGGTCCTAATCAACGATCGTGATGTAGGATGCATTCAGCGCCAGCTTCGTCTTCAACACTACGGCGCTACTACATCTACACAAGCATTCCTCGACGTACTCCTCGCTGCAAAGGCCGACGGGGAAGTCGCCTTCTTTGCAGTTGACCGTAGCCCTAATGGCAAGATCTGGAGGATATTCTGGATATATTCTGACGGTCTTGCTGACTGGAAGCGTAACCCGAACTCCTTATTATGGATAATACGTACCTTGTCAACCGTTTCAACATGCCACTCCTGCAAATCATTGGGACTACGGGACTGCACAAGAGCTATAGTGTAGCCTTTGGTATTGCCGCTAAGGAAGACGAAGGCGCCTTCAACTGGATTCTCTCACAACTCTACGATACCGGCCGACGGGCTAGTATTCCTCCTCCAGGCGTTATCATTACTGATTTTGATATGGCCTCAAGAACGCCCTTTCCTCTGTTTTCCCTATTCACAGCAACAACTCTGCGTCTGGCACATGATGAAAAACGTGATCCTACATATCAAGAAGAAGTGGGTTGGTAGCCTCGAAGGTACCGAGATTATAGGAGATAGGGCAGATGAAGCAGACACTCGCCTCGGCGCCGAGGCTGCCCTCGCAAACGACCGAACGAACGCCAATGCTATCGAGGACCGACCGATCGATCATACCGCCGAGGCACAGATACAACCTGCCTCCCAGCTAGCGGACCAATATCTCGATGAGGAACGGGATGAAGAGGGGAACCCAATCCCGCCGCCGCTGCCCCAACGGACCTTCAAGCATACAGCTGACGGTATCCGTGATGCCTGGGCTTCAGTCGTTAGGGCACGCACGCCTGAGGAATGTAGTGAGCAGTGTGAGGGAACGATCATGTGACTTTCATACTTTATGAAATGTCTCACTTGTATTCAATGTAAATAGCGAAAGTCAGAGTCTTCCTTAGGAACCTCTTTCTCTCTTGTAGACAATCACTTTATCCAAGTCGCACTCGACCTTGTTCGTGCACTTGTACCGTCACAAGCAGTGGAATATCCTATGTATAGAGTTTTCCGACCAGCCAGGTAACCCTAGCCCTATTTACCGTTATATTAATATTTATTGCTAATTACTTAGCCCTCGTTGACTACTTCCATACAGCCTACTATCCGTGGCGTGCCCAGTTTTGTAGGTATGCCATCCAACAGCACCGTAATTACGATATCACGGTAACTTCTCGTGTTGAAAGCACACATCACGAGCTCAAGAGTATCTTACGCCATCGTTTTATCGATCTCTGGCAGCTACAGGTCTCTATCCGTCAACTTGTTGACCAACGGCAGAAAACGCATCTCGAAGCGCTTCAAGACGAGTTCACGAAGGTCCAGGTCGAATGGACTAAATATCCTATCCTCAAGTCACTATACCGGAAAATTGGTTGGCATCCAATAAAGCAGATCTTCAAGCAAGTGAAGTTAGCTACAGAAGAGTTATCCGATAAACGGGGCCAGCGGCCAACGGATTGTACGGGTGCCTTCACGACCCAATGGGGTCTGCCTTGCCGGCATACAATCCGTGATATCCTTCAAGCTGATGGCGAGGCTGCTGAAATTTCCTCGATCTTATTGATACCCACTGGCTATTGTATGGTCCTACTGTAAGTAATACTACTAAGCCCCTATCTAGCTATATACTAATTTACAGGCAGCATGAACTACGGCAGTATATCGAATCACGACATGAGCCCGATCCCGATATTGTCCAGCCTCGCCGGCGTGCGAACAATAGGCCCGAGACATCCTCCACTAGAGCCATCGACTGGCCGGATCCTTAGTGCTTGGGAGCAAGAGGAGCATAGGGCTACAATACAGCTCGGGTCACAGCCAGCAGGGGCGCAGAAGAAGAAGAGGAAGGGCACAGGCACTACTGTCGTGACCAAGAGGTCGAATACGCTTGCTTCCGTGAGCAGCCGGGTTGACGATCTTGCCCAGCAGATCGGTGATTTCATCAAGTCGCAAGCAGCCGCAACGCCGGCGCCGTTATCACAGGTACCCTCACTTCCACAGGCGCCGCCGGCATCACAAGGATCCTATGTGATGCCACCGCCTCCCTCGGCACAGGCACATCACCACGGCTTCATGTGGGCACAGCCGCCGGCACAGTCTCACGGGACGGTAAGGAGCATTTCCAGCAGCAAGGGATCAGGCGGACACGGCACCATGCAATTCTAGCGGGCGGGCGGTCCCCAAATTCGTTCCCTATGTGCCTCGCCCTCCGCCGCGTCGGACGGATCCTTCCTCACAGTCACAGTCACAGTCACAGAGGTAGGCAAAGGCGGCCAAAATGCACCTTCCGCTGCTGTGTGCATATTACATACACATCGGAAGATCGGTCGGGCCGGGCTTAGTAATAGTTTCAATTGAACGACTCCAAGGGACGCATCTTCCGGCGTTGGTGATCTTTGCAGATTGAATGCATCCTTCGTACTCCGTACGCTGTCGTGTAATCACGCGCGCGCCAAATTGTGGTGGCGGGTCCCCCTTCCTAATGGGGTTTAAGTCTCCGTGCATGATTTGAAATCGTCCGTGCATGATTCACCAACACGCACGGCGACTTTGGCGGGTCCTTTTCCAAATGGGGCTTAAGTCGCCGTGCGTGTTTAAGTACTCGTTTAAGTAGGTACTCAAAAAGCTGGTGGGTAGTCAAGGCGCGATGGCTTTTGATCCTTGCTTAGCGCGATAATCCCTGTTAGTTTACTGCGAAACCAGCTAGCTCATCCGTGGCTGCATTGCTGACACCCAGTTCTAGACCTTTTTATGAGACAGCTTTTTGCTTGCGGCGTGGCTGCAGGGACTCCGCGCCATCCACGAAGCGGTTCCAACATTCGCGCAAGCTTCGGTTGTAAGTATGATAACGAATCCCTGTAGTTGGCCCGCTATTACAGAACGCGGATGTAGAAGTCCCTGCAGCCATGTGATGTTAGATCATCCGTCTGCAGAACAAAGAATACGTCCTCAGACCATCAACCCCCCCCCCCCGGCGACCTGGAGGTCATCAATATTCTAGCTCCCGGAGCCACTCGCAACACATTGAACCTCGCTCGACGGAGTAGGCACACTATAACTCGGTTCACCTCAAGCCAGGACAATATTCACGATGGCTCATCAGTTCGATCAGGCAACTATGGATTGGTTGAAACTCTGGCATCTCCGCATGGGTCATGCCAGCTTCGAGGCAATTGTGACCCTAGGGTCTGGGCAGGCAACAGGAATGAATCCGCCTGAAAACCTCCCCTCGCGATCTGAACTCGGTCCATACCTGGAGCGCCATCACTGCGCCGCTTGTTTACAGGTTTACGGGTCAGCATCGGGACCACGTCCAGATCAGCAATAGAAGAAGAGGGGGAAATTCGAAGAATGGCGACTGCCAGACGAGGCCCTACGAGCAGTCTATCTGCGGTGTAATTGTTGTTTGCAGAATCACTTTTCACATTTCCACGACGCGGCGGGGTGTGATTCGCCCTCATCAGGCGGCGGGCGCCCTTGCTTGGTCCATCGCCGAAGAACAAGATGAGTCGAGGACCGGAGGGACAGGGAACAAGTGCAAACTTAAGAAGGGAGTGGCAAGAGGATAGCGGGAGTGCGAGCGCAAGCAGAGCCACCGAGTGACAGAATTCATGCCTACAGTACGGATGGATGGATTTTATTTCGCCCGGAGAAGTCCCTATAGGGCCTTTATGTGACGGTTCTAGTGCTTGAATGAATGGCGGAGGCATGTTAATAATCTTGATTCCATACTTGTCGTTCCACCGAATCATCTTGATAATGTCGGCGGCGTTAGCGATGCCAATGTCCTCCATAAAGGTGGGGCCTCGCTTGACGTCGCCCGGCTTCGTCTTGTCCGGACGGTTCTTGGTGGCGTGCTCGGGCTGGGACGGGCCCTCAAAGGTACCTATGGTCGTGAATCGAATTCAGGCGACAGGTCCTTGAGGAGAACACCGGCGAGTTTGCGGCCCTCAGATACATGTTGAGACAAGCCTAGCCGCAAAGTCAGCTCTTGAGCGGCGGGTAGCGTACCAAACGGGCAGCGAGGCCACGATTCCGCACTCCAGGCGTTCTCACATAACCCAGCCGACCGCACCAGGGCAGAGGCAGTTGCTCACTGTTAACGGGAAGTAGCCTCCTGGCATCCTTCTCTTGGCCATCTTCGTCGAGCGGCGTTAGCCAAGTTCTTGTCGGCATCTGGGCCGCCCCCAGCAGTGCGTGCTGCGGCTGCTTCATGCTTGCCATCGGCATTGTCGGTACGGTGATCTTCCACCCCCGTTTTCGTGGACGCGGCTCCCGAGGTTGACCGGCCAAGGCAGCCTCGGCCAGGACGCTACAGTCGGAGCTCTCGACGGCAAGGCGCTATTTCTTGGCCTCGTCCTGCAGCTTTTGCTCTATCTGGCTGAGGTCGTGCATGGCGCGCTGTACGGACTCTCGCGCGCGCCCGCCGCTCGTTATCCTGGTCGTATTGTCCCGGAGCGGAGCGGTGCTCCTTACCTTCCAGCTATTCGTACTGGGCATGTCGGACTGGGGCACCTCGGGCTCGAGAGTAAAGCGGCGGTGGAGGCGGACGTGGCCCGGTTCTTTTCTGCTTCAGTGGCATGATTATTGTCGTTGTTATTGCTTCACTTTCTGGGAAGCGATACTTCTGGAGGTCGGCCAGGCAGGGGACTCTGCTCGCAGGGGCTTGGCTGGCCGCGGTTGTGATTGTGCCGCCGGTATGAGCCTTTGAACATGTGCCTTTGGACATATAGTAGCGGTTCTAGCCTATGGCGGAATAATGGTGAACTCAAGTGAGTGGTTGGCGGATGATTGGTACTGTAGGACAAAATTACCAGCTGTCGCACAAGAGAAGTTCGGGGGAGAAGGTTGGGTACAGAAAACGCGGGGTGTCGCTCCTAGACCCTTCCGCCGATCATGGGTGCCTGGGTTCCCGTTACCGTACCGATTCTGGCTTCACAACAGTGCAGCAGGTCCTCGTCTTGGGCGACTGACAGCACCCTCGCTTCTGGCTGCTTGGTAGTACTGAGCTGCAAGGGCTGCAACCCCTTCAACATAAGCAAAATCGTCTTCACTGCGGCCAGAAAGTGAGCTGGCGTCGAGTAGCATTGCTGCACCAGGCAGCAGTGGAAGGGTCTAAGAGCGACACCCCGAGTTTCCTCGCCCAACCCGTTCCCGCAACTCGTCTCTACAACAGTTGGTAATCTGGTCATGCCAGCCCTCCGCCAACCACTGGACTTCACCATCACTCTACCGCGGGTTGCAACAATTCTCCTCTCACAGACCAGCGTACCGGTATAACATGGAAACACGTTCTGACGAAGATAGCGCATGGTATGACCAGCGCGTCTTTCTCCTGCCAATCTATCCGAAATTGGTCATGGACGAACCGATCCGCTTGCTTGCAGTCCTCGTCGAGATCTCTGGCCGTGTTCGCGGCCGCCCCTTGGTCTTTGGAGACCCTGCAGGTGGAGTGGATCGTGCTACTATTGATCCGCGCTGCGGCAGTCCCCGACGTCGCCGTGATCAGCAGGCGATTCGAAAGGCTCCTCCTACTGAACAACTCGACGAGTGCCTCGATGATTTGCGACTTGCCGGTCCCGCCTCGCCGCGGACGAACTGGCAGAGCTGGCCGACATCGCCTCCGTCGTTTTGTCGCATCAAATCGAGCTGGCGGCATATGATTGAGAAAGCGATCGACTGCGTTTTGTTCAGCGTCAGCCGTGTTGCCAACTCTCTGCCCGTCGCAGAGCAAGAGGTTGATAGGCCAAATTGGACATGCATTCCCGCCTCTGCGTCGCCTGCGGTCTCGTCGAAGTCGGCCGTCGCCATTTCGACATTGTCCTCCCCGAAGCCGGCCATGACCCTCCGCAACGCAGCGCGGCGGTCGCTTTCCCGGACCACGGTTATACTTTGTATGCCCTGGATCATCCTCTCCTCTCCTTCGAGGCACTCATCTGCTGCGACTTGGTGGCCCTGACCTGATTCTGCTGTGGCAGTGCGGCCCCGGAAAATACCCCTACATGCTTATCCATCTCGCCCTCGTTCGGGTACCACGGCGGCCTCCGGCTCGGCCGTCGAGCACAGCGCTGATTGTTGGAACTGATAGAGCTGTTGCATCATCTCCATGAGCTCCGGCGACTTGGCCGTTACCTGGTTCGGGTCCCATGCACCTCGGACATCGATCAGCCGCGTTGCGTTTCCGATGCTATTAGACTGATACGTCGCTGTAGATTCTGCGCCCGCCTCGTCCGCCCCATCCTCCTCCACGTGTGCGACAGTCCGATGGCCATTTCCAGATGAGGATGCCCATTGCCTGGCGTCCCGTTTTGCGTCTTCGGCTGATCGTCGAAGCAGCTGCACGTTATCGACGAGACATGAAATTCTCGGAGACAGCGCCTCTCTCGTGTCAATCGATTTTGGTGAGCCGCACGAGTTGGCAACTGGACCGAAAAACGACGCCAAAGGTTGGTCTCTTAAGCTCTGATCCAATGACACCAAGCACGAGCCGACAACTCCACAGGCTACAAAATATCGAACCTAGTAGTCTCGAGAGGACTTTGAGAAAGATACCTAGAGTGTTTGAGCGCAATGAAGCAGAGTTGGTGCTGAAGGATCAGAGATTCCAGGCCTCAGCGGCTACGCTGGATCGTATGAGGCCAAGGAAGGAAATAATGATCCCCAATCCTAATAATATGTCCATAAAACTCTGATATATGTAAGGTAGTGTCTAGATGCTTCGACAGGGAGAAGAAGAGGTGCCAGATACGATTAATGGTGCATTTAATCAGGTTGAAGAGGAGAAGGGGGGAGGGAGGGTAAAGTCACCTGATTCGTCGCCTACTTACACACGGGCGCGGCGACAAACCAAAAACCCAACAACCCATGGCGATTAAGCATTGAACGCACTACAGAGTAGTATTTCTTCTATAATTTAGTATGGGCTAATGGCTTCAATTCAATTGATATAGTTTGTATGGTCATGGCGCCTTTTTGCTGTACCGGTTGTGGGGGGTGTACCGGTTCTGGGTGGGGCATGGTACCATTTGACCCCGATGTCGTTTTGTCGCAGATCATGGAGAAAGCGGAAGACGATTCCGAGTCTGGCGATAGCTCCGCAGACTCACTCGCCCTTCAGCAGCCCACTGCTCGGGATTTGCGCCGACTGGTCGACAAAGGAGTCGACAGATCCTCGGTAAATGCTGACCGAGACAGTCGGAAGCTGAAAAGTACCCTCGAAAGCCTCCAATCTCAGAACGAATTGCTGAGAACCAGGAGTAATCAAACATGCACTCCGACCTAAACCCCATTTGGAAGAGAGCCCCACCACCAAAATTTGGCGCGGCGCCCGAGGCCACCTCTGCACACAGTTTTGAAGCCATCGTTTTGAAGCTATCACCAACGTCGCCACCGCCGCCGCCGCCTACCGCACAACCGTCACGATGAATTCGACCGATCGCAACATGAATACAAACAGCGACATTGAGGCTATCGAGGAGATGTCTTTCGATACGTATGACGAGGCGTTAGAGACGCTGAAGGCCACGCACGAGCTCCTTGGCTACGTTGTAGTCGTCAGAAACAGCAAGACTGCCGGCAAGCCAAGGCGCAAGGAAGCTAATATCCGCTGCGAATACAGTGGTCAATATAGGTGCTGGGATGCCAAGGAGGGCATATACAAGACCTCGACCAAGAAGTCGGGATGTGACTTTCGCTGTTATATCGGCAAGGGAGCCTGCCCGACAGCCAGGGGATCAGAGGGACACGGCGCCATACAATTTTGGTAGGCAGGCCGGGCATACGTTCGTCCCTTACGTGCCTCGTCCTCCGCCGCGTCAGACGGATCAGACGGATCCTATGGATCCTCCGGCACCGTCACAGTCATAGTCACGGCGTTGATTGATCTCACGGGCGGTAGTCAAAGGTGTGCACATTGTATATATATCGGAAAATCGGTCGGGCCGGGCGTATTGATATATTTGAACGACTCCAAGGAACGCAGCTTCCAGCGTTGGTGATAATTAAATGCTGATTGAATGCGTGCTGATTGAATGCGACCGGGCGGCAGCCGCCGCGGCCACGGCGTTGGGAACGCGCGCGCCAAATTTTGGTGGTGGGGCTCTTCCAAATGGGGTTTAAGTCGGAGTGCATGTTTGATTACTCACCGGAAACAACTACCGGTATGTGCTTACCTTCGGGTAGAGCATGAAGACACATGGGGCTCTATTGTTTCAAATGGGTTTGCTACCCATCGTACTCACGTACTCGAGTATTCCTGAAATTTATTCGCGGCTTGCCACTGGTGGGAATCCATCCATCGCAGCCGCGTGCCTGGAGAAGTTGCCCAAATTTTGAATCCGTGCCGCCGACTTCCCAAAGGGGACGCCGCCAGCATCCTAATTGGCCCGCGCCTCGAGCCCCACCCCTGCCTCGGCTGCTTGCTCCTGCGAGCTTCGCCTTCGCGCCCCGCTTTCGTCCTCGCGTCTGTCTATTTGTCGCGAAGACCGTCGCGCCATGCAGGCAAAAGTGGAACGCGCTCCACTTTTGCCTGCATCGCCGGCGCAATGGTCTTCGCGACAAGTTATGAGCCCGGGAGGGGATGGCTAACCACCCCTGTAACTTCCGGTAGCTGCGCGCGGTGCGGGGGTACCCCGCATATGGCTGTTATCCTTCCCCTTCTTAGGTATCCTTGGTCCCTTACCCGGATGCGGTGCATGGTGTTCGACTCCCGCGCCTGGTTTCCAGGAATCCGGCGGAGCCTGATCCCTGAGGGTGTGTCGGGAGCAGTCATTGGATATGTGTCAATTGCAGCGCACCTGTAGGAGCGCGTTCCACTTTGCCTGCATGGCGCGACGGTCTTCGCGACACCAGACCGCCTGTTGTCATCTAACGTAATCCACCCCTTCCCGGTCACACCCCTACCCGCTCAAAATTCCCCACCGACGCGACCCGCACCTCACGTCACGACCAACCGAACACAACAGACGGCAATTGAGTCCAAGAGACAAACAAGCAAGTCAATTCAGAACTGTCTAGCTATTACACGTCCGGGCATTGTGTTCAAAGACCTGCATTTACTACACCGTTGTGGTGCACGCTGTCTTGGGACGCATAGCTCTTCTTCTCTCTGCCGTCGGGCCTGCTCCTCCTCGACAAGTTGTTGCCGTGCATCATGGTTGCTATTCCTGTCAACCTGAACGCGTAACCGTGACAGAACCCGGGGTCGGATTGAATGGAGAAAGGCCTGTGGCCATGAATCCACATCTGATGTTCGACGGGGAGAGTGCTTGTCCGCGGGCCTCGACGTATAGAGGCAGGAAGTCCTCTTTCTCAATGTGGTTGACCCTGCGAGCATCTTCTCTTGAACCTTCTGCCCATATATCGTTTTCAAGGGCGAAAAGCACCCGACATCCAGAGGCTGTAAGAGATGTGAGGAATTAGCTGGCATTTGGAGTACCACAATGGCATTATCCGTACAGTACTTGTCAAATTCCGGCGTAACATGGCTGCCGTGCCCGTCGAGAATGAGAAGTCGACGTGTTCCAACCGTACGGCGCCGTGTGTATGGGTCGAAAACTGCCTTTAACCAATGCAATCCAAGGTCGTCGGAAGTCCATTTGTCGCTCACGGCAATCTGCCAGTCCTTGGGCACACCTGCTTTGTACCAGCTTGCTTGGTGCACCTTGCCCTGGAAGATGACCATCGCCGGCAAAACCCAACCTAGGCAATTGATAGACTCAATCACCGTAACCCCATTCTCGATTTCCTGGCTGCATGACCATAGGCCGACCTCGCCGGTCAGACCGAGTAAGGACTCTTGCCGTCGCAATGACTCCCATTTGAACCCCCCCCCGTCTTATCGAAGTTGTAGACATCCTCGTCAAGAATCCCCCATTTCTGCTTCGCCATTGCCACTCGATCGTACCATTCTTGGATCGTCTTCGGACCTTCGCATTTGGCACGTTGGTAATCATATCGACGAGAGTATTTCGCCTTGATTTCGTCGTGGCGGCCAACGAACTTCCGCACCCAATTCTCGCCGACAGTTTCTTGGCCGCGCTCAGAGAGCAACAAGTTGGCCATGCGGCGAGTGTAGACCACTGTCGGCGGCATCCTCGCTCGTCCATCGACAAGACCCATTGTACGAGGCAGTCTCTTCCGTCGCCGTCAACTTCCGGTTGTTCATCTGCGCATCGCGTCGGGGGCGGGCACCGCGCAGTCGACCAGATACTGTCGAGTGAGGGATATCATATGCCGTTGCGGCCTTGTGGGTACTGTCGAATTGGCCTTGCTGATAGGCCTTGACGGCGAGCAGGACCCGTTCTTCGCGTGGAATCGATTGGTCTCGAATTTCCGTCATCGTGCTCGGCTTGTCTCGCCATGAAGTGCGGGTCGTGTCGGTGGGGAATTTTGAGCGGGTAGGGGTGTGACCGGGAAGGGGTGGATTACGTTAACTTAAAGGCGCGGGGTCCGCGCCTCTATTCCCCACTCACCTAGCTAGCATACGTACACAGTCACGTGTACGGCTGAGTACGGCTGAGGCCACAAAGCTAGCTTCGTGACTTCCTCTCCCTTGGAGATAGACAATCCTCATAGCATAATACGACACACCGGTTGAACGACGTTCCCAGTTTGTCTCATGCTCGAGCCCTGCCAACACTTACCCTGCATTTTAACATTCTGCGAGAGGAAAGAACAAGACTCCTGGCACCCGGAGACGATACGCCGTGATAGCTAGAGGCTTTGAAGCCCAGAACAGACGCTTGCCGAGCACAGCAACAGAATCGCGAAGCTAGAGGAAGAAGTGGCCCGGCTGCAGAGAGGCAAGAAGAGGAGAGCAATTCCGAACCCGAACAGACGGTTCATGACTCTCAGTGAAGCTTTGGTGGCTGAGGAAGCCATTCCCAAATTAAAAGCCAAGAGATAGCCGTTGTGCTGAATTCTGACACAGAGGAGGAGGCGGTCTCAGAGGTGGAGACAGCTTCAGTGATCGAAGTCAAGGTGGCACCCGAAGCCCTTCCAGTCACCACCAGATCCGGGCGAATGGTAAAAAAGCGCCGGGACATATAAGAGCGTCCATTTCTCTACGGAATGATATTTTTTTGTGTTTATAATGTTAAGTTCTGATCATATTTCATGTAGTTCAAATGGTAGACTTTTGGTGGAGAATTTTTCAATTGCGCTACCGAAAGGTGGGTGTTACCGAAAGGGGTGGGGCATGGTAATGCCCTTGGCCCGGCTGCTGGGAAGAAAAGGAAGAGGGCCATAGGCACAGCAGAGGGCAGCATTTCTCTCAACCCGACCCAGAGCGTCGTTGTTGCCCTAGTCAAGCAACTACCAGAACAGACATACCATGTCTTCTTTGATAACCTCTTTTCCTCGCCGAACCTCCTCAACGCTCTTCGTCAGCTAGAGATTGGGGCCACAGGCACAGCCCGTGTCACACATAGGATATCAGCCTCCAACAGTCTGACCCCCTATTCGCACAGTCCGTTTCCACATTTCCCCACAGAAACTTCTAGGAGGCATCATCAACGCATCAGTGGCTTCCAGATGATCCGATCAGATGCTTCCATTCACTACCATTCCCTTCCATTCTCATATTCAGGCAGTCTATAAAGATCTCGCCTCTTTCCCACCTTAGATAGCAGAATTAAGAGTCTTCCAGTCCCTGATCTTTATGCCCACTTGCTCATCCTCCGTGCGATAGTTATGAGCCCGGTCTGCCACTGACTGGGTATCTTATTCTTGTTCACTCCGCTGCGCAGAATAGCTTCCACAATGAGCTCAGCTCTAGATCTTGATGGCTCTTCCAAGGGCACCGTGCTCAACGGCCCTAGCGACTGAAACAATGGATTTCTATCATCAAGAAATTCGCCACGTCCCACAGTCTTTGGGACTTTCTGGACCCTGCCGTCAAGGAGGGTAAGCCGGTTCTTCAGCAGCCAGTTGAACCAACATTCCGACAAATCAACCACGAAGCATCTGATCTCGTGGATCTGACCTCGGAGGAATTTCGCCGTCTCGAATTCCTCCACACCCAATACCGCTCGAAGCTTCAGGGTATAGGGATCAAGTGAAGGCACTCGCCAGCCTTCAACAACACATCGTCAAGACCATCGGCAACTACTACAGCACCATTGCCGAGGAACACGACGTTGCAAAGCAACTTGCCTTGCTTCAGGCTCGTGTGGCCCCAACCGACTGGGCACTCGAGAGGAAAGTTGTTCAGCGTTATCGTTCCACCCTTCAGTCGCCAAACAGGACCAAGATCGAAGCTTGGGTCACCCAATGGCAGAAAGTCCTCACTGAGGCAAAGCAATTAGGGCTTCCTGATGTCCAGGACCTTCGCCCTACCCAAGATTTCCTACAGGCTGTTTCGTCCATCAACGCCCCATTCACAGACTATTGGGTCAACAAAATGGAAGACGAGGCCGTATTCGGCAAGCCTGATTGGAAGACGGACTTCCCGGACGGCATTAAGATCAGTGAGATCTTTGAACGAGCTCACCGAATCAAGGCCGCCAACAACAGCAAAGGATCATTCGAGCTGCCTTCCAAGGCAAGGGAGAGAAATCGGAGAGGAAAGAGGACAAGCCTAAGTGGTCTTCAAGCAAGAACGCTGATGGTGTTCCTATGTGTGTCTGCGGAGAATATCACCGCTTCGTAGATTGCTTCTATCTCATCAAATCAGCTCGGCCTGATGGCTGGACTCCTGATCAGAAGGTTGAGAAGAAGATCAAGGAAATCCTCGACTCCAATCCATGGGCAAAGAAGATGACGGAGAAAGCACAAGACTTCAAGAAGAAGGAAATGGAGAAATCGTCCCCCTCAACACCTCCATCAACCAGTTTCTCGACGGGAAAGGCAGTCTACCCGCTGTATGACTCCTTTATCCTTGATTCCGGATCAGACACACACATTTGCAACAACCGATCCCGTTTTCTTGACTACACCGCCCCTGCAGAGCCAGAAGAGCTCTTTGCAGGCGATAGTCAACTTCAGATCCTTGGCTACGGCACAGTCCGTATGAAGCTTGAAGAAGGAGGACTTTTTCAGCTCAACGAAGTTGCCTTCGTGCCAAAATTCCACACATCGCATCCTCGACCGCTTTCTTGCGAAGGGATACAACTGGAATCCACTATCTGGACGCGTCTCTAAAGACGATCAGATTATATTTCATACGAAACGCCGCTTTCGTCAACCGGTCATCGAGTTCAACCCGATTAAGGAGGACTCTCACGCCTCCAATTTCACATCTTCATCTGCACCTCGCACAGTGAAAACAGCAGATGCTACGCTTTGGCATAAGCGCCTAGGTCACTTGAACGCTCAAGCCCTAGAGCATCTTGTTGAGAACACGACGGGTTCGAAGATCAAAGGCCCAGTTACCATCGATTGCACCGCGTGTTCCCTTGGGAAGGGAAAGAAGGTCGTCTCTCGCCGAACCCCTCAAAACCGAGCCCCAGACCATTCTGGAGAATCTACGTTGATATCTTCAGTATGAACACCTCATTCAACGGCAAGGAAGCTGTTCTTCTTATCAAAGATGAATTTACAAGCATGATCTTCATCTACCTTCTGAATGACGCGACACAAGGGTCCGTTATGACTGCTTTGAGAAACCACGAGGCAATGGTTCAACGCCAATGGAATCTCAACATTTGCATTATCCACCGTGATAACGATCGTTCTCTTCAGAGTGCGTATGAGAGCTGGATCGAGGAAGGGATTCAAGATGAACCTTCTGCCCTTACACTCCCGCTCAAAACGGTTCTGCAGAGCGATCTGGGGGTAATATCTGCCCAGGCCAGAACAATGGGAATTGATGCCAATTTACCATCTGATCTTTGGCCAGAGACTTGGAAAGCAGCAGTGTTTTGCACAACAGATCGCCCATGCAGAACCACAGCTTCGAACGCCTTTCCAGCTGCTTCATCAGTGGCTGCGAGACAACAACAGAGACATAGGCTACCAGCAAGACCAGCCTGACATCACGTTTCTCAAGGCATACGGCTGCAGAGCCTATCCCTTGACACCCCAGGCCCTTCAGAACAGACAGAAGAAGGACCTAAAGACCGACCCTCACACAGAAATCGGTTATCTCGTTGGATATGATTCCACGAACATTTTCAGGATCTGGATTCCGTCCACATCAGAAGTCCGAAGGGTCCGAGATGTGACCTTCAATGAAAGCATCTTCTATGACGGAAATGATCAGCCACCAGAACCTATCCCACAGCGCGTGGAAGTACAGCTTCCAGCCCACATCGAGGACGAGTCGGATTACGAGGAAATCCCCTCAAATCGATGAACCTGAACCTGACCCCGTTGAGCAATCTCCTCAACCTCAGACCAAGGAGACGCCACCACGATTGTGGTACAACCCGAACCATCTGATCATGAGGACTCGGATGATCAGGATGAGTTTCATGACATTCAGCACCCATATCCGACACCGGACCCCGGTCCGAGTGACTCAGCCACGGCGCTCAGCCCGCTCACCAAAGCTCTGCCAGGCCAGAAATTTGCTACTTTCGTCAAACAACTCGGTCTCGTCGATATCTCTACGTTGCTAGGGATCTAGTTTCTTTCTTCAGTTTGCACTGCCCACTAGCCAGCACAACCTGGGGGGGTATGTCACACATAGGATATCAGCCTCCAACAGTCTGACCCCCTATTCGCACAGTCCGTTTCCACATTTCCCCACAGAAACTTCTAGGAGGCATCATCAACGCATCAGTGGCTTCCAGATGATCCGATCAGATGCTTCCATTCACTACCATTCCCTTCCATTCTCATATTCAGGCAGTCTATAAAGATCTCGCCTCTTTCCCACCTTAGATAGCAGAATTAAGAGTCTTCCAGTCCCTGATCTTTATGCCCACTTGCTCATCCTCCGTGCGATAGCCCGAATCAACTGTGGCTTCTACAAACCCTTCGTGGAGGCGAAGAAAGCTGACACAAAGGGGGACTGTTGGCCGTGGGGCACACTGAAGACTGCGCCAACCCCTGACGGTCAGGTACGAGTACTAGAAGACAGGCTCTCTAGTAATTCCCCTACTAATTCGTCTTCTTCTTCTAGGTCAACCAATTCGCTTGGAAAGATAACGCTCTTGTGCTATTCCTCTCAACAGTCTATTCCGGCGAGGAATTCGAAGAGCGAATTCGGCGCCGGCCGACAACAACGCAGCCTCGAGCACGCCCAATACAGCAAAAATTCGGTGCCGAGCCTGTATTACGTCTTCCTGTGCCGTCTATCTCTGCAGACTACATTGATCAAATGGGCGGCGTTGATATTGGTGACCAACTAAGAGCAGGGGGGGACTAGACCACCGTGTTTGTAGGGAATTGGCGGGCACTTGCGTGGACCTTCCTGCTTGAGACTGCCCTTGTTAACAGCTACCTTCTTCAGCTTTGGGGCCAGCCAAGCTGGCCGCGAATAACCTCACAGCGCGAGTGGCGGCAACGCATTGTGAGAGATCTTTGCGAGGCTTATAGCAAAGACGGTAGCTCAAGACAACTATTTCGAGCTGGAGACATATTTACGCCTATAACACAGCATAAACATGTCAATCGCGGCAAAAGCTCTCGCTGCCTTCCTTGTCAAGGCTTTAAAGCTGGGGAAATAAGATCACGAAGTCGGCGCAAGCCGTTAGGCACAGCTAGCAGCAATGCACGCAAGAAGCCGGGCACGAAGACTCGTAAGGGATGTAACGTAATCTACCCCCTACTCGTACAGACCCCCCACTCGGACAGAAATTCTCCACCGACCGCACCGTACAACTACACAATGTTTGCGTCACAACAACCTTCAGTTTTGCGCAAAGAACGGCTCCTCCGCGTCGTCAGGGCTTATCAACAGGCTCAATTCGAAACTATCCGAAAGGACGCAATCGCGCACTTTACGACGTCCTTCCATCCACAAAATATGATCGATTGCGCGGTGTATTACCCTGGCACGACACGCAGATGAATAGCGAAGGCATCGAAAGAGATGTCTCTTGTACAGTAGATCTTGTCATGGGTGAGTGAGGATGCTGCCGACGGTAGCTTACACTCGCCGGACGACCAATCTATCCTTTCAGAGCGAGGTAAGATCCTGTCGGCGAGAACTGGATGCGCATTTCGTTGGCCGTCACGACTAAACCAAGGCGCAGCACTCTCGCCGATACGATCACCAACGTGCCAAATGCGAGGACCCGCAAAAGATTCAACAATGGTACGATCGACTCGCGGCGACGAAACAAAAGTGGGGGATTCTTGACGAGGATGTCTATAATTTTAAAGAGACCCGTGCTCAAATGGTTGTCATTGTAACGGCAACAGTCCCTACCAGGTCTGACCAGCAAGGCTTGCCTCAACCCACGCATTCTAGAAATCGCGAATAGGTTACTATACTCGAGTCTGCTGGTTGCTAAGACGGGCTTTACCAGCCAAGGTTATCTTCCAAGGCAAGCTACGCCAAGCAAGTCGGTATGAAACAGGAGTAACCCAACACTGGCATATCAGTGTTAATGAGAGCTGGACTTCCGATGACTTTGCCATAGATTGGTTAAAGAAGTATCTGGTCCAAATAAACGCCGCCGCATGGTTCGTACACATCCGCATCATATTCTCGACGGGCATGGCTGTCACGTCGCGCCGGCTTTGGCAAGTCGACACATCCCATCGTAGTACTCCATATACCAGCAGACTTCTCAGACGTTTTCACCCTTCTAGTACCCTCTTCACATAGGGTATTTTCGTCGAGATCCGTCATATGACTTCATGTTATTTAGAGGCTCGCCGTCAAGCAATCTCGCCGTCAGATATCCGAAGAAATTTTGTGACCACGAGCGAATTGAAGAGCGAGTCAAGCGATGGAAAGAAAAGGACAGGAGAAGCGGGCCGAGCCACGGCGAGAAGACGAGGAGTGGGTCAACGACAGATAGAAGAGGAGGGGCCAAGGGCCCCAAGATAGCGTGCGCCACACAGACTTAGAAATCCAGGTCCTTCAACCAACTTCCCGTACGTGTAATGGATAGTCCGAAATTGATTTACTTGCCTCTAGCAATAAATTGTCTTCCATGTGCGCAGTTTGTTGTCGTGGTGAGGTGCGAGTAGCATTGGTGGGGAATTTCTGTCCGAGTGGGGGGTCTGTACGGGTAGGGGGTAGATTACGTTAACCAGTGTGATGTAGCTATATGTACTAAGCAGGATTGCTGGGACTTCTACCATAGCCAAATTTGCTAGTAAAACAATGTACCCCTAATCGCCTAGTGGTCTTATTGGCTGAGATCCCTGTTCGTGACCCCCTTGCTCCTCCTCGACACTCAAAGGGATGGGCCATTCCACGAGCATGAAAAGTGGGCTTTCATGAGTGATGCATGGGGTCAATGTGACTTTACGCACGTGCACTTGACACAAATTTATCGGCAGAACGATAAACATTTTTTAAAGATGCTGTCGGATCTCACCACGAGGCACGCACGAGGGACAAGTCGGATGTGAAAGCTGATCCCGCAGAGAAGGGGTAAAAGAGGTCTCTGTTTGTTGCGAAGCCGCTCGTAGGACCTCTAGAGGTTCCCTGCTTGCTGATGCTCCTGCTGAGACAGTCAGCCAGGACGTCAGGCCTGCTTTCTGATGCGTCGGCTGAGACAGTCAGCCCGGCCGTCAGGGACGGTGTCCTAGGAAAAAGTGGGGGCGCAGCCACCCCCGACGATTGACGGAGGTGTGAGGCAGACGGAGAAGATCGAGATTGTGGCCAGGAATAAAGGGCGAGGAAGGAAGGAACAGACACAGAGAACAGAAGGAAAAATGGAGCAGCACCGGACGATTCTGAAATACTAACTTTATGCCTATTTGGCCCTACTTTTCGTGACAGTCATGAGCCGGGAGGAACTACGTTCCTGTAACTTCCATTCCGACCGAAAACCACTCTCAAATCAACGAGATGTCGAAGTCTTCTGCCGCCCCTGCACGAGCGATCCTCTCAGGACCAAGCAACTGGGACAAATGGAGAAGGGAGCTCAGGAATCGAACTGACAAGACGATCCATAGCCTGATCTTTACCAACGAGGACCCCCTCGAACCTCCTGAGCGACCTGAATTCCGCCACTACGCCCCTGATGCTGTTAGACTCGCTGACCTCTCTGCCGTTCAGAAGAGAGATTATAACGACGCGATGCGGGACTATGATATCAGGAGGAAAGAGTATAAAGATGAGACTAAACTGGTTACCAACGCTCGCATAGCGATGCAGGAATCAGTGGTATCCTCGAAGCAGAACGCCTTCGACGAAGACCTTCCAATTCGTCAGTGGTTTAAACGTCTAGAAGCGTCGACGGCCCCTGAAGCGGGATATATGATGAATCTCACAAGGACCAAGTATTCGACCCACCTAAAGAGATTTAACGCAAAGGATCTAGACTCCTGGATCGACAAATGGGAAGACATAATGTCTGACGCCGATAAGTATAAGCTAATGGAGGCCCAAACGGGCCAGTGGCTTAGAGACGTTGCCACATTGATTAGGCCTCTGGATAACTCCTAGGCTACCAGTACGAACAAGGAAGCAGGATACTCGACGCAAAATCAGAGGCTACCCAGGGAAACTGTTCGACTTCGACCGATATGGTCCTCCTGCTGCTGCTCCTGTTAACCCCGTTGTTCACAATCCGGCAGCAGCTGCAGTAGCCGCGATGGCCGCTGCAGCAACGGCCGCAGTCGCCGCCGTTCTTGCAGCCCAAGCTCCGACGGAGAGTCAATGGACTGTTGAGAGAGTCGTGCGAGATGTGAAGCATCTGGCCGAAAGCAGAGAAGCAGAAAAACCCGAGGTGCTATCAAAGAGGAGGCGCATTTCATGCGGACAAAGCAGCAGCAGACGCAGACGATGCGGACGAAGTACCGCCAGCGAAGAAGAAGAAGCTGGACAGAGAGCCCTTGGAAGGGAGCCATATTCCAAAGAGATCCCTGCCTTGCCTGCAGACGCAAGGGACACGAGCTCGAGGTTGCTGGCAGGTTATCGAAGAAGCCAGACCAGAGGGCTATAATCCGCCCCTGAAAGGTATCTCAAGATGACACGAGAGAGTCGCTGACGATCCTGTCCTGAAAAGGAGAATTGAAGATATTCGAAAGAAAATGCAGAAATAGCAACCAAGGATGAGGGGAAGGCTTGTGGGCTCAGCAAACCCAGCTTTCGTGTTCTCAGCTGAGTCCCTGGCCTAAGGGATCGGAATATCCGCTTAAGAATTCAACCCTCCTTGATTGCGGCGCATCTCTTCATATCAACAACAAGCTCAGTCGGTTCCGATCGTTTAAAAAGGCCAAGAATGACTTTATCGTCGCCGGTGACTCTCTCGTTCGAATCGAAGGATTCGGGCGAGTCAATGTCGCAACGACGATGCCTGACGGCTTCCACCGAACACTCCGATTAAAGAAGGTTGCCTACTGTCCCGGTTTCTCATCGAGCCTGGTTTCTTTGCAGACTCTTATCGACGACGATCAGATCTTTTGGGATACGCTGTCTGAGCCTATGAGGCTAGTCCGAAAGGGCCAGACTATCGGGATCACCGAGAGGAAATATCAGCAGTTTGTTGTTGAATACCAGCCCGTGGAAACCGAATTCCCGGATTTCAACAGTGCGTTCCAGGCATCGAAGAAGGAGACAAGGAAAGCTCGAAGAGCCGGCTCAAGAGATCCTCGACCTGCCTCTCAAGGAGACGGCAAGCTTTGGCACGCCCGTCTTGGTCACCCTGGTCCAATGGCTTTGCACAAGCTAGGCCTACAAAGGGGTCCGGATTAAGGGCCGAAAACCGTCGAATGCGAGTACTGTGCTCAGGGGAAGGTCAGAAGGCAAGTCTCCCGCCGTCCACCTGACGAGGAAAGAGACAAGCCGTGCTACGAGATCTGGATAGACTGGACCGACCTTGCGAGAGACCACGAGAACTACGTCCGTGTGATGTTTATCACAGACGCCTTCTCTGGAATGGTCTTTCCTACTTCATGAAGACCTACAAGGCAAAGGAACACGGAGCTGTCTTGAAAGACTTTTCCTCCTTTATGCTCGCTCGCTTTGGATTTAAGACGAATGTCGTGCGCTCTGACGGCGAGCTCTTCACGAAGAAAATCTCAGCCTGGATGAGGAAGAAAGGGATGACAAAGGCGATGTCAGCTTCCAACACTCAGGACCAGAATGGTGGAGCCGAGAGGTCAGGAGGATCTCTACCGAGAGCGAGAGTCATGAGGATTGCCTCTCGACTACCGCATTCACTATGGAAAGAGATCATCGAAGCAGCCTGCTACCTCCGAAACCGAACGCCAAGAGAGCCTCGATTCGCCGCTGAAAACGCTAACGAAGGAGAAGCCGACTGGAAGTCTCCCATTGACTTGTTCACAGGGAAGAAAAATCAGCTCTCACATCTTCGTGCGTACGGCTGCCGAGCCTACGCAATGACAGCAAATGCACAGCTTGGATTGAGGAAGAGGTGGAAGCTCGACCCGAGAGCTCACATCGGATACCTCATCGGTTATAAGTCTACAAATATCTTCCTAATTTGGATCCTCTCTTGAAGAAGGTCATTGCAACGAGAGATGTTGTCTTTGACGAGTATACGTTCTTCGAAGGAGGAGGCGAGCGGATGCCGCTGCCTGCGAGCATCGGAGAGATGATCCAACAGATTGAAATCCCGGAAGACCAGACGGCGAATCAGGCCATCCTTGACGAAGAGACCGATGAAGACACTGATATCGAGGACCTCGAGGATGATGACATCAGAATGGCTGAAGATAACGAAGTCGAGGAGCAGGGACAACAACAAAGCGAAGAGCAGGAAAAGAAGACTACGGAGAGCGCGGAGCTGGAAGATGCATACCTAACGCCACCAGCTTCTGACCCGGAGGAAGAACCACATGGAGTCTTTTCGGTTCACTTTCCATACGCTGACCCTAATGGGGTGGTGGTAAAGCCCCTTTCCAAGTCGATCTGGAGCCGTTGCAAGCTCAGAAGAGAGTCCGTGTTCAGGATGATCCTGAAGAGGAGGCTCACCCTGAGGGTGGGTTGCTCTCTTGGAGGAGCGGCATTTCAAGCCGACCTTGAAGGCCTGATGAAAGAATCGCGTTTGAAAGCTCTGGAACCATTTGATCAACCAGAGCTGGATCAGTCATACATCGACCGTTTTGCCGACTTCGTCCCGGTGCCAATTGAGGACGGGGTGCACGGAGCCTTCACAGCAGGAAGGTTGTTCAGACCGAAAAGCGCAAAAGTCCACAAGAGAGACCTACCCGAGCCTCCACAGACGCAGAAGCAACTAGAAAAACACCCGTATAGAGAGGAATTCACCCAGGCTCAGAGAGACCACCTGGCCTCACATGCGGAAATGGGCTCGTTTGACGAGGTCTTCTGGACGAAGGCTGCTGGAAAGCAGGTCCTCGGTTGCAAGTGGGTATTCATCTATAAGACTGATAAGCACGGCAATCTCCAAAGTGCAAAGCTCGCCTCGTTGTCTGTGGCAATCAGCAAGAAAAGGGGGACCTGCCTACTCGAGCGACTACCCTCGCAGGAATGTCGTTTCGTACGCTAATGGCCATTGCCGCGAAACACGACCTCGAATTGGAACAGATGGATGCAGTCAATGCTTTTGTTCATGCCCCCCTCGACGACGAAGAAGTTATCTTCATGAGGATGCCACCGGGGTTCCAGAAGAGGGGGAAAGTCCTACGCCTGAGAAAAGCTCTCTACGGACTACGCCGCTCGCCGCTCCTCTGGCAACAGATGCTTACGTCGTCTCTAGAGGAACTGGGATTCAGAAAAGTTCCCCAGGAGCCGTGTGTCATGATGAAGGGAGCGGTGACCGTCTTCTTCTACGTTGATGACATCATCTGGGCATTCCGGAAGGAGGACGAAGGGGTCGTCGAAGAAGCTACTCGGGGACTACAGAAAAAGATCAACCTAACTCGGCTTGGAGAACCTCGCTGGTTCTTGGGGATTCGTATCCTCCGCGATCGTCAAAGGAAGACGCTTTGGCTGACGCAAGACGCCTATATCGACAAGATCGCGTATAAGTTCCTGTTAAACAACGACAACGCCCCTGAGTCTCTCAAGCTCCCAGACACGCCAATGATCTCTGACGAAGAGCTCCTGCCAGCTACAAGCCAAGCAAATGAAAGGGAAAAACATCAGTATCTCCAGAAGGTTGGTTCCGTGCTCTTCTCAGCAATTTCAACGCGACCAGATATTGCGTTTGCCGTATCCCGACTGGCAAGACATAACCACAATCCCGATGAGAAGCACCAGAAAGCAGCAGACAGAGTTATCCTCTTCCTCTTTGCAACGAGATCGTACGCGTTACGTCTCGGAGGAGGATCGAAGGAAGCGGAGCTGTTCCTCTGTTCGAGTGACGCATCGTTCGCAGACAATTCAGTCGACAGGAAGAGCTCACAAGGCTACGTCATGACCCTATTTGGAGGATCAGTGGCGTGGAGAGCGTCAAAGCAAGCGACAGTCACGACGTCAAGCACGGAGGCTGAGTTGCTTGCTCTCTCAGAGGCGTCAAAGGAGGCGATCTTCCTGAGCCGTCTGTTGAATTCCTGGACATCCGAATTCCCTCTCCGTTGGTAGTGGAATGCGACAATGCCCAGACGATCAGACTTCTCAAAGAGGAGAGTACGAAGCTCTCGACGAGACTGAGGCACGTAGACATTCATCAGCATTGGCTACGACAAGAGGTTCAAGATGCTCGAATTCGGGTCAATTGGGTGCCTACGACACATATGCGAGCAGATGGCTTGACGAAGGCATTGCCGAGGCAGAAGCTCCTCGAGTTCCAACGAATGGTTGGGCTTGAGGATATAAAGGAACGATTGAGTAGAGAGGCCAAGCTTGAAGAATTACGAGATGTGATACATCCCGTGATAGCCATAAAAGAGGCCCAGGGCGAGAGATGAGTCGTGCACGACATTCCCGCATCTCTAGCAACGTCCTGGTTGGCCGTCACTAAGGGTGTGTTGCGAAGCCGCTCGTAGGACCTCTAGAGGTTCCCTGCTTGCTGATGCTCCTGCTGAGACAGTCAGCCAGGACGTCAGGCCTGCTTTCTGATGCGTCGGCTGAGACAGTCAGCCCGGCCGTCAGGACGGTGTCCTAGGAAAAAGTGGGGCGCAGCCACCCCGACGATTGACGGAGGTGTGAGGCAGACGGAGAAGATCGAGATTGTGGCCAGGAATAAAAGGCGAGGAAGGAAGGAACAGACACAGAGAACAGAAGGAAAAATGGAGCAGCACCGGACGATTCTGAAATACTAACTTTATGCCTATTTGGCCCTACTTTTCGTGACACTGTTACTGTTACAAAAGAGAGAGTAAAGAGCGTTGGGTGTCCACTGACCGAGCTTAAATAGCTGTCAGGAGGGACCTGATATCTGCATACACAGGAAACAAGTATCCTCCTTCCAAACAGGGTCAGCTCGATGCGACACCTTTTCTTCCACCACACATATCGTTGCGGCGCATCTTTACCAGCCCCACGTCCGGCTCCAGGCTGTAAACACTGGCGGCTTCCACTGTATCCTGGCCGGGTCGAGAGATCTTTTGCTTCTGCTTCTGTTTCTCCCTTTGCTTGATGAGCTTGTCGGGGATGACGATCTTGTGGTCGCTCTTGTGATAGACTTGCATATTCATTGCTTGCAGGGTGTGTTCGACATCCTGAGTCATCATGGCTAGAGTTTTGGAAATCACCTCTATCGTCACTCTGTCGTCTCGCTCGTTGTAGCCTAGCAGCAGATCGAGTATGTTTTCGGACCAGTACTGGCGATAACTCAAGAGGCCCAGATCTGAAAGCGGCTTTTCCGGTGATCCTAGCTTGCCTTCGATCTTGGATAGCTCGTATGAGAACTGAATCAGCAACCTTCCGTATCCCTTCCTCTGGTGCTGCGGCAGAGTCATGATACAAGCCACGTTGTATCCGTCCGCACTCTCCTTCTCTTTGGAGAAGTATCCTACGATATGGCAGCCCTTGTCGCTCCGGGTCGACATGACGTAAAAGAGAAAGGGGTCGACGTCGTAGTACAGTGTCTTGTGATCGAGAAACATTTTAGACAGTAGGCAGAGATTCCGACACCATGTGCGTTGACGACGGCCATCGATTTCGAAAAAGGACACGTAGTCGTCTCTGTATATTTCATTACCCGGTGGGTGTTGCAGCGTGCACTTTCTGCGATGTCGCAGGAATGCCTTCTCGTCACCATAGTAACTCAAGCAGAATTCGCAGATGAAGATGACGTCATCCTGGCTGAACACTTCTGGATAGGGGGAAAAGTACCACGGAAACAAGTCGTTCTTCCCGAATTGGACTCTCGAGATATTTCGTACTCGCGAAATTTCGGCGGGTTTTGACTCATAGAACCTGAGGTTCTCAACTTCTCGATTTCCTCTTCGCGACTGAACCCGCTTTCTTCATAATTCCTTACTTCCTCCTCGTCCGCGTCCAGCTCGTCGGTGGCGGCCGGCGTAGCACTAGCCCCGACGCTGGTGAATGTCTGGGGATCGCCATCGGGTCCAATCGACGATGATTTTCGGGTTTGAGACTCCACGAATTCTGGGTGTGACGGAGTCAGCAGATGGATCTGTCGTCGCTTTCCAAAACATTGTGATGGTGGGCACACCTGTCCAAGGATGAGGAGTTGTGGCCTCAGAGTGAACCGACTGCTCCTCTTTCCGGGGCGTTTTGTGCCTTCGTCGAAACTGGGGCCTTTTCGTTTGTACTGACGGCGCTTTCTTGGATTTTGAATCGTTCAGGTTGCCCTTTTCTGGATTCGGCCATTCTACATCCTGGCTGAAGTCGATTCTGGCCACAGGAACCCACTCATCCAGTCGCTTGTTAAAGTTGTCGAAGTTGCAATAGAAATGCTTGCCACTCTTCGTTTCTTTGATACTGAGGATCTCGGCTCGCCGCGGTTGGCCTTCCTTCTCCACCCAGGCAATGCAGCCCGTCCTCAGAGTTTCGGGAGACGCCTTGCCCTTTTCGCGGTGCGTCCGACCCGACAGCCGCCTCACCACTCGGCGTATCAACCTCATGATACGGAAGGAGGGTGCCGGAGAAGGGTGCGTGGGCGACTTTTGATGGACTCGTAGCTGATGCTGGAAACTCGATGCCGAGGGCAGGTGGGTGCTGGTAAATTATTCATCGCTAGGCGGTCAAGACAGGAAATCTTATCAGCCCCTGTTAGAAGCATAATGAATGAACCATGGCTTTGCTGCATGCATACCTAGGTTAGGTTCCTGCCTGCAAGGGAAAGGGATTTGAATAACGAAACATACACCCCCAATTTCGAAACATGCACCCCCGAGCTAAACCCCATTCGGAAGAGCACCAAATTTTGGAAGTAACGAAACATGCACGGACGATTTCGAATCATGCACGGAGACTTAAACCCCATTTGGAAGAGGGACCCGCCCACAACAATTTGGCGCGCGCGTTCCCAACGCGATGGCTGCCGCGGCCACTGTAGCCAACGCCGCCGCCGCCGCCGCGGCCACGATGACTACGATCGAGGGCTCAGGCCCTGAGCCTATATCTATCCAGGACACACTTTTTTGCACATATTCCGAGGCTCTTGAGGCACTTCGGAATGATCAGCAAGATCAAGGCTACGTCGTTAACGTTGCAAACAGCAAGACTTCCGGGAAGGCTAAGCGTAAAGCAGCCACTATTCGGTGCCAGTGGTAGGCGCGACGAGGCGGCCACGGCGTTGGGAGGCGCGCGCCAAATTGTTGTGGGCGGGTCCCTCTTCCAAATGGGGTTTAAGTCTCCGTGCATGATTCGAAATCGTCCGTGCATGTTTCGTTACTCAGACGGGACCACACCGACCTACGCCGCTATGGCCCAGAAGGGGATGGTGCAGGCAGGGGGCCCCCTGCCGGTCCGCCTCGACCCACGGCCCCGGAAACGCCTCCGGTCCAGCCGCCTAAGGATGACCTGTCCGTGGGGCTTAAGGTGTTACGCATTAATGTATTGAAATGTCAGTAGCTTTTACGTCTAGGCCCTATAGGAGAAATCCTCCGGGTGAAATACACTACATACATACATACAAGGATGACCTGCGTGTCTTCATGCGGCTCGACGACAAGTCCCCAGCATGGGGCTACCAGGGACATGCCATCAGAGCTCACGTAGCTAAGACTCTCAACCTAGGGATAGAACGCATGCCACAGATCGCCCGGGTGAAGACTGGATGGGCTATTCGGGCCTCAGACCGGGAGGCGAGGGACCTGCTTGTGGAACGGCAGGACGACTGGGCGGCCCGGCCCGCCTCGGAGCGGTTGAAGGCTTCCAGAAGTGGCACACTTACGCTGTGGCTGACTGCCCGAGGCAGCTCACGGATATCTGGGGGGCCGCCGTGGACTGGCCAAGCTATCAAAGAAGGATCAAGCCCCAGACAGGCGCCGAACCAATTGATGCTCCATGTTGCTAAGAGACACTCCGAACGCTCCGTCGCGACCAGCCTACTGTGACGATGACTGTGTCCTTCGAGGCGGCGATACAGAGGAGGTGGCGGCTCTTGGGCACCAGCCGACTAGCCCGACTGATCGCCAAGATTGGGATCACCACTCCCGCTACGCCTGCGACCGAAAGCAGGCCCGCCGACGATGTGGCGGGAAAGACCACCGTGATAACGACTGCAAGCACCCGCAGAGGTGCGCGAACTGCGCCGAACCCTTTCCGACAGACCGACCATAAGGAGTACCCTGCCAGACCCAGGCGCTCACACGGCCAACTCGTGCGGCTCACCAAGATCGAAAAGTACGCCGTAAGGAATATCGGTTCTCAGCAATATCAGCAAGTCAATATGGTTCTGGAAGGCGCCGAGAGTGACGATGATGTATGCAATATCATGCGGTGGCCGAGAAGGCGAGTCCGTTCAGGCCGCCTATACAAGTAGGCGAAACGTGTGACGGCTTTCGTTGAGCACCGTCACACCCCGTTTGCGTACATGACCCACATGTTGTTAAGCCACGGCCCACACGTACGGAAGACATATTTAGGGAGAGGACACCCGGCTGTATTGTTCTGTTCTCCTTTCTCTTCTTCAGAGTAGAATCTTCGTAATAGAGTCCACAGCCTTCTGGCTCAGTCCGTGACCGTCACAAAACGTTCTATGAGACCCAGACGGAGAAGGCAAACGTGCTTCGGACAGAGATCCTGGAGAGGCGCGTGACTGCAGACGACATCACGGACCCCTAGGCGCCGGAGGTCCGGCAGAGGACCCTCGACTGCAGCGTCGTGCTCGCCGACGCGGCTCACTCGTGCACTTCCACTGGAAACATCTCCCCGGGAGTCGACGGCATCACAGTTCGGATGTTGCGTCGGATCTGGAGCCACATTCGGCGAAGCGGTGAGGGAATTGTATAAGGGCTGCATACACCAGGGCCACCACCCGGTCTGCTACCGCCTGGCGGAGGTAGTGATGATCCCCAAACCGGGCAGGAGGGACTTATCTGCCCAAGAGGCTGGAGGCCCATCTCCTCCTGGCCTGCCTCGGCAAGGACTCGAGCGTCTGATAGCCCGCCGTCTGGCCTGGGTCGCGATCACGCAAAGGGCCATCCACAGCCAGCACGCGGTGGCCTGCCCAAATGCTCAGCGCTCGACCTAGCGTTAGCATTGCTTCACGACCAGGGCGATATTGCCACGTTGATCATGATGGACATACAGGGCGCCTTCGACAGGTGGTGCGGAATAGGCTCCTCCTGCGACTGCGGGAAGCCATGCCTTCCGACCTTGCACCTAAGCAAGATTCGCTTCTCAAGTCATCGTCCTTCACGACATTGATAAAAAGCATAGCCGGCCCAATGCTTGTTACACGCCGCTATAGGCTTTTAAACTCGTCCGAATCCTTTAGACGACTGGGCAACTTATGACAGTAGTCCCGGTTCTTCATGGCGCTGACCTTGCGAAGGTTAGCGATGCCGTTGCCCGTTGGCCATATCATCAAACATCGCCAAATCCCCCACCCTCTCCTCCACCGCATCAAAATGCATACACCTATCGTAGTGGTTCAATATAACGTGCGGTTCAGTCCAAGCAGTTCCGAAATCAACAAGCTTCCCATCTCTATAGTTATCTTCCTTTATATCACGGACAAATATCCCCATCGAGTGTAAAGATCGCAGATCTCGTAGGTTGCGCGGCAAGCTTTTGACACTGACCCGGAACCTGCACTTGCAAGATCTTCAACAATGGCATAGATCGGACGGATTGGTGTTTCTAGGGCGTTGTCCTGTTCAACACTGAAATCAAGGTTCCACTCATCCTCCAGTTTTCGGATGTCTTTTTCCTCCAAGTGGAAATAAAGCCGTGGCATGGAACTGCAACTTGATGCGGCAGTAATCGCCTGTCTTGCGCCTGCTTGATTCGACCGTATGCGCGGCATTCTGAGTAAAAGGGCATAACATGCCATTCCAACTCTTCTTCAGTGCAGCGGATACCCGCAGTGTAAAATTGGTGGTAGTCATACGAAATATCGTACGGCATAAACTAAGGCATAGTTAACCTCTCGAGCTGCCACAGCTCCTCACCACTACTTACCACCTTCAAAGCGTAGTGCTTAGACTCGATCTCAACCTTGAAAACATGTGCCATGATCTCAGAGTGGCCCGAATATGGTTCCAAGTGGTCATCGAGCATATCTTTCCAGGTGATCGATGCGTTGGCGAGTGCAGAGGGATGCAACTTCGGACCATGGCAAGGCGGAAGTCCGTCTTGAACGTCCATGTCCTCGTCGAATAGACCATCAGCACATCTAGAGGTGGCTGTAGTCTTCCTGGGGCCCTAATTCGAGAAGATTTGCTCCGCGTCCGCTTTGGCTTTCTTCCGTCGTTTTGTTGTCGCCGTCCTTGTCGTGCCATGTTGTCATATTTTGCTCAAAAAATAGAGCACATAGTAGAGTGAAATTTGGAAATAATGGAGGCGGGAAATGAAGCCTGTGATTGATGGCGAGTGGATGAGAACAGAGCTGGCGAGGCAAAGCTTCCTGACTTGGAGAGAACCACGGTTGTATTGCAGTGCGCGCGTCACGGTCGTCAGGGCTGGCTGGATGATTGGAGGTAACCAAAACTCCAACCATTACGCCCAGTTCTTGTCCCAAATGCAACGCATGTCTCATTGAGGTACTACTTACTCCCGTTGTGCCGATATGGGCATCGCGGTTCCCGTCGCACCCATCCTTCCCTGTCAATTTCGCCTTCCCAGCCTCTTTGCACGTCTCTTTTCATTCAGCCGTGCAGGATACAGTATATCTCGCTGATGCTACAGGCTAGAGCAACAAGGCAATATGAGGTGCATCAAGTGGCCAGAATCCGGCCTCATCGTCGTCTTGCACCTCTCCACGCCCTCCATTGCAAACTTTCCCCTACACCCCTTCTCCCCGGCGTTAAATATCCCAGCCAACGACACCACGGAGCGGGTAGCTACGCCGGCTCTAGCCAGTCGAGACCGCCCCTCAGACCGCCCTCTGGTCATACCGGCTTCCCGGGCACGATCCTGGGGCCGACCTTCCTTCCTACGAATCCTCTCCGAGATGCGACCGACCATGCCTTGCAGATTGGAGACGCAATGTGACCATCACGTCGTGCAACCACCTGTTCACCAACTTGACCCGCTCCTTGAAGCTGTTAATCCCGACGTGAGCATCCTGCCCTTGCCACGCAGGCAGCCTCCCTGCAAGCCTCGCCACTTTCCGTTACTTCAATATGTATTGCCCTGCTTCGGACTAAGCTGAGGGAGTAGAGATCAGGGGGTGAACCTGCCTCAGGTCCACCCCCTGACCCTCACTACGGGGGATCCTGTGGGCTAGTCTGGCCTAAGACCACCTAATCACTTTGGAAGTCTGTCCCTACTCTTGCTTGGTAGTTGGCTTGCTGATGACGTTAGAGAGGGATGAGTCGGATGACCGGCGCATAGATGCAGAATCTGACGGTGTTCCAGCCAAGGATGAGCATTATCTGATGGAAGGGTGGCCAAAGAGTAAGGCCAATTGCTAGGCATTCTCTCTTAGGGGCGGCTTGCAGGCATCAGCCAA